AATTCCAGACAAGCGTGACTGATCGTAAAATCATCCGGTAGTTACAAAGCGGGATGCTTGGTAATTGTATTGCGGATATGTAGGCTTTTACAAATGAGGGGTGAGAGAGAGAGAGAGAGAAACTTTCATTTTTGCCGAGGGCGTCACTCCAATTTTTTCCACTTTGATTTATTGCCAATTTTTCGAGTTTCTCTATATATATTCAAAAATAATTTACTCACGCAGATGTATAAAGTCAAAGATCGTTATTTCCAATTAGAGCCAAAAGAATGCTACTCGTTTTATTTTTTTTCATTTACGAAACATTTTTTTTTTTTTTTTTAATGTCTCGAGTGGAAAAAAAATTTATTTGATTCGAATGACCGATTACTTGCTTGTTAGGAAATAAATATTTAATTGAATATTGAATCAAATAATATTTGTTTAAATATTTGTTTATTTAAGTCAAGTAAATTTTATTTCAATTGAAATAAAATTTACTTGACTTAAATAAAAATAATACTTGATTCAAACAAAAATTATTTGATTCAATATTCAAATCAGATTTTTTGATTCCAATCAAAGAATTTTTTTATTCAGAATTTTTATTTTGGTCAAAAAAATTTTATTTGTTTCAAATAAATGTCAACTTGTCTATTATCAAATAAATATTTAATTCTGTCAAATCATTTTTATTTCTATAAAATAATTTTATTCGCAGTAATTAATTTTTATTTGCATAAATTAATTTTTATTTGCATAAATTAATTTTTATTTGCAACAAATAGTTTTTTTATTTGCACCAAATAATTTTTTTATTTGCATCAAATAATTTTTTTGCAGCAAATAATTTGCTCGTTTTATCAATTAATTTTTTATTTGCACCATATGATTTTTATTTCTATCAAATAATTTTAATTCAAGTCAATTAAATTCTATTTCCCTGAAATAAAAAAACGATTTTCTCAATAAATAAAATTTCTTTAATAAATAAACAAAAATAATTTGATCCAAGTCTAAATATCTATCCAATAAACAGACGAAAAATCGTTTATTCGAATTAAATAAATTTTTTTCATTGTATTATTTGATAGTCTCTCCCAATAAATATAAATTCAGAGGGAGAACAAAACAATTTCGATTTCAAAACGAAAAATACTGTATAGCATATATTGTTATTAAAAACCACTTATCTGAATGAATTTTTTTTTTATTTTCCAACAATTTGAATCAAATTTTTTTTCCACTGTCGTATTATTACTTGACTGTGAAACAAATCTTTCTGATTGAGCCGCAATATATATATAGAGGCAAAAAAAAAAATCCGCGATTACCTGCAGAAACACGAAAGCGGAACTAAATTAAACCGGAACCGAACTTGGCCTCCAATGGATTGAGTTCACGAGTAAAATATCACTCGCAAAGTCGTAAATTAAACTTGACACGTTAATTACAAGTTCGATGTGAAATAATTTCTTAGGGGGGAATTGTCAAAATAAATATCAAATTTCAATTATGAAATTTTAGGCGAAAAATTTTGAACCCTGAAAAATTGGCAAATTTTAAATATGAAATTCTGGCAAAAAATTTAATATTTTTATTACAAAACATTTTTTTTTTAATCTCTCGAATGGAAACAAATTTCGATTTGATTTTTATTTTATTTATTTATAATTATTTCTTTTACTATTTTATTTCCTATTGTAATTTTTATTTAAATAGTAGAATGAAGTTTGGAATTCAGAAAAGAAAAAAAATGTTGTCTAGCAAGAGAGAAAAATTTTTTTTGACGGAGATAAAAAATTGGCAAATTTCAAATATAAAATTCTGGCTAAAAATTTCGAATCTGAATATTCGATCACAGCTTATTTATAATAATTTATTTTATTATTTTATTTATTATTAAGTTTATACTTAAAAAAAAACAGTGGAATGAAGTTTTCAATTTAGAGAAGAAAAAAAATTTCGTCTAAGAACAGTAAAAATTTTTTTTGTCTGAAAAAACAAATGTCAAGTTTTGAAATACGAAATTCTGGTAAAAAATTACGAACCTTAAAAATTTTAAATATTCGATTAGAGTTTATTACTTAAATAAATAGTAGAATGGAGCTTTGAATTTCGAAACGAAAAAAAATTTGTCCACTTTTTTTTGTCTGAAAAAAATTGGCAAACTTCAAATAATATGAAATTCTGGTAAAAAATTTCGAACTTAAAAATATTCTATTATAGTTTATTTATAATTATGTATTTTATTATTTATTTTATTATTTTTTTATTTATTATTTTATTTATTACTATTTTATTATATTGTTTAATTATTACTTCCTCATAGAGGAAGTATTTATTTTTTTATTTACAATTTTATTTATTATTATTTTCTTTTGCTTATTATTACAGTTTATACCCAAAGAAATAGAATGAAATTTATAATTTATTTAGAATTTAGAAAAAAAAATTTTTATTTATTATATTAATTTTTAATTAAAATTTAGAAAAGAAAAAAAAATACCTAGGAAGAGAAGAATTTTTTTTTGTGTCTGAGAAAAAATGGGCAAATTTCAAATATGAAATTCTGACAAAATTTTGACCTTAAAAATATTCGGTTATAATGGACTTGGAGTTTCGAAATTTAGAGGAGGAAAAAAAAATAATATCGTCTAGGAAGAGAAGAAATTTTTTTTTCCTAGACAAGAATTTTTTTTTTTAAATCAAGGACAGGTATAGGATTTTTGCGATTGGCTTTTGCTCATTCGTTCACCAAGGTCGGACACAAGGCGTGACGTCAGAGTGCGTTGACTTCTGAAGGTTTGACCTCGTCTTCCTCTTCTTCTTCTTCTTCTACTTCTTCGTCTTCACCTTCCTCCTTTGCACCACCTCCCTTTATTCCATCACCAACTTTTGACTTCTTCTTTTTTTTTCTTAAACTTCTCGTTCGTCCATCTCCTTTATAAGTCCACCTGATGTGGTCCTTCAAAAATTTCTTCTTTTTTTTCTTTTTTTCGTTTTTTTTCTTTTTCTTTTCTTAATTTCTTTTTTTCGCACTTTTTCAATGTTTTTCGTACTTTTTCCATTATTTTTCGTCCTTTTTCCTTTTTTCGTTCCTTTTTCATTATTTTTCGTTCCTTTTTCAATATTTTTCGTACTTTTCCATTTTTTCGTCCTTTTTTCTTTTTTTCGTCCCTTTTCCACTATTTTTCGTTCCTTTTTTAATATTTTTCATTTCTTTTTCAATATTTTTCAAAATTTTCCATTTTTCGCTCCTTTTTCGTTATTTTTGTTCATTTTTCATTTCTTTTCGTTCCTTTATCAATTTTTTTTCGCTCATTTTTCCATTTTTTTCGTTCCTTTTTCCCTTTTCTTTTTTTCGTTCAATCCTCTCTCTCTCTCTCAAAAGTTGTCTGTGCTGGATACCATTATAGATGTGGGCTCAACCGAACGGTATTTAAAATCAGAAGAAGAACCTCTACTCCGTTTTGGCGTTTCAAGCACACGAGACGATCAAAATCGCTTTGGCGAAAAAAAAATAAAATTAAAAAAGAAACACGCTAAGAGGAAAAAAATAAATGGCAGTCAGGTTGAACATTGGAGAGACAGTTTTATGGCAAAGAAAACAGAACAAAACTTCTTTTTCTTTAGAAGAGAAAAAAAGAGAGAGAAATGAAGCTAAAAAAATACAAGGCTTTTGTTTGAGTTTTGCTTTTGAGGCAAGCTGAATTTTTGTGGTTAAAATATTCCTCGTCTGCGGGAAATGAAAAATTACAATGAACAATATTGTTGAGTGTTGGGGAGATAAAATGTTATTTTATTTCGAGTTTGTGTGGGAACTGTGGAAAGATGTATACTAAAAGTTTTTTTTAGAAATACATTTTTTTTATATCGTCAATTGAGAATTTTTTTTTTTTTTTCAAGGACAGAATTTTTGTTGGACAATATAGGAATAGATACGCAAATTTTTTTTTGATTCTTCATTTCGTCAAATTGAGTTTATTTTCAATTCCTAACTGTTTTTCTTTGGTGGGGAAATTTTTATTTAACAGAATAATTTTTATTCAGGAAAATCTTTTTTTATCAAAATTTTTAAATACCAGAATTTTTAACTTACACAATTTTTATTTAGTAAAATTTTATTTAACTGTGTTTTATTTGTGGTTTTTTATGTTTCATTATATTTTTGGTTTTCTATTTTTTATTTTTGTTTCTATTTATTCATTTTATTATTTCAAATAAAATATTACAATTAAATGCAATCAAATCATTCTACTCAATTAAATGAAAGCAATATTAGATTTGGTAAAAATGTAAAGTTTGTAAAAAAATTCATTTGAACAAAATTCTATCAAATAAAAAAGTTTGAGTGAAAATACGTTAATTGAAAATACAATTGAAATAATTGTTTAAAATAAAAATTTAATTTAAAAAAATTAAAAATCCACTTGAAAAAAAATTCTAATCCAGAAAATTCACTTTAAATAATTATCTAGAATAAAAGTTTAATTAAAAAACTTTCTGTCAGAAAAAATTTCATAAAAAGGAAACAATATTTATTTGACAAAAATGTCCCACAATAAAAATTTAATTAAATGAACATTACAATTGAATAAAAATTGACAGATATGTAAAAATGAATTTTAATTAATAAATTTTATTTTAATTAAAATAATTTAACTTATTTTTTTATTTTTCTTATAATTTAAATTGAATTAAGTTTCTACACTGTTAATATATGAACACATTGGATTTTTTATAATAACCTTTTTTTGTTTTAACATTTTATAGTTAAAAAAAGGAATGATAAAAATAATTGAATCAAGGTGAATGAAAAATAAATTTTTAATTATTTTTAATTTTTAAATTAAATAATTCACGTAGAATAATAAATAAAATAAATTTAGGGAATAAAAGAGAAAATTTTTTCCAGGATTTAGACATGCGGTAGTTATACCTGAATTCCGTAGATTACCTTTTAATTAGGATAAGCTCGTTCTTGGGAGATTTATTCTGACGTGATGTTTGATTTGAAGGTCTTGTATGCACAGGTAAAGGTGGTTAAGTTCAGCTACATGTGGACGATAAACAACTTCAGCTTTTGTCGGGAAGAGATGGGAGAGGTCCTCAAGTCATCCACGTTCTCAGCTGGAGCCAATGATAAACTGAAATGGTAAGTTTTTCCCCTTTTTATTTTTAAAATAAGAAAAAAAAACGATTTTAATTAATAATTAACAATAAAAAATAAAAAGAAATTTTTCAGAAATTAAAAAAGTTGAGAAATAAAATTATTTAAGAAATTTTTAATAAATAAAGAAAAAAAAATTTTAATTAACAGAAAAAATAAAAAACAATAAATAAGTAAATTTTAAATTTAATAATTTTAATTTCTACAATTTCTAATTTTCTTTAAAGAAAAATTCTCTACTAATAATTTGAACAATTTTCTAAAACCACTTTTCAATAGTTTTTCTATTATTAAATTTTAATTACTTATGAAATTATTAATTACTTAAATGAAATTAAAATTAAAACATATTTGCGAAATTTGTAACTATTTTAAAAATTGACTCAACATTTTTTAAAATTTTTAATAAAAAGTTACTAAAATTATTTGAATTCGGAGTTTTTAGTAAAAATATAAATTGTAAATTAATACAAAATTATTATAAATAATTAGTGCAAATAATTTTAAAAAAATACGTTGATAATGTAAATTAATGCAAAGTTAGTATAAATAATTAATAGAAATAATTATTTGAAAAAAATACAAAAAGAAATAAAAATGTAAATTGTAATTTATTAATGAATATAAATAACTGATATGAATAATTATTTAAAAGTTTTAAATTTAAATTGTTAATTAATACAAAATTAATATAAATAATAATTGATACAAATAATTATTAGAAAAAAAATATATCACTAAAAATACAAAAAAGATATAAAATTATAAATTGTAAATTAATAAAAAATTAGTTTAAACAATTCATAAAAATAATTATTCAAAAAAATATTTATCCTCTTTGCAAAGAGAAGAATTATTTTTATTATATTCAGCAAATTTTTTTTTTCGACAATTCTTTAAAAATCATGAAAAAAAATGTGAAGTTCAATTTCCAATTTTTTTTGCTAAATAAAATAGAAAATGAACTAAATATTTACAATTTATTATATATTTTTAAAGTGGAAAAAAGAGAAAAAAACTTTTTTAAAAGCATTTAATTGGCAACAGGTTGATAAAGAAACTCAATTATTTCACTTTCCTGATGACTATTTTCTTTGCTTTTAAACTAGTAATTGATAATTCAAGAGAGAATAATTGGTTTCCAGATAATCAACTGAAAAGTGAAATCGTCATGTTTCTTATTGAATGTGATTCAGTTGAAAAAAAAAATTTGTTTTCTAACAATTTCTTAATTGAAGCGTAAAATAGATAAAAAGTTTTTTATAATTAATTTTTTTTATTTAATATCATTAAATATTTGCTGAATGTATTTTATCATTTATTTAAATTCTCTGACGAATATTTTTATTTATTTAAATACTTGCCAATTATTTTTTTTACGTGACAAAAATATTTTTTTATTCATTTAAATACTTGGCGAATATTTTTCTCAATATTATTTAAAATACGTGCTAAATTTTTTTCTTATTTATTTAAATACTCGCGGAATATTTTACTTATTTGCTATCAAAATATATTTAAAATTCGAAAAAACTTTATTTTTCTGTTTCTTTATTTAAATTCAATGAAAAAATGTTGATGGTAATCCAAACTCTGTATTGTGATATGTAATATCGATTTGTGGAAGCACGTGGCAAGGTCATTTTCATTGAAGTGAATTCATATATTTTTAGCTTTTCTGCTTTTCACAAAATTATTTCCTAACAAAAAACATTGTTGAAAAATTTATTTTACTTCTTTTTTTCTTTTTTATTTCAAAGCATTTTATTTTATAAACATTATTATCATTTGTTTATTTTGAACGTTGAAAATATTATTTTTCAGTCATCAGAAATTGATAATTAAATTTGCTTTAATTGGATTAATTATCTTTGCAATAATATGAAATTGAAATATTTAATGGAGAATCATATTTTTTGTTTTTAAATTACGAATTTTTATTTTAAAAAAAGCTTCGGTTAATTAAATTAAAAAATTATTTAAATGTATTTTCTTTTATTGATAATTATTAATTAAAAGTATTTTATTTTTTGTTAAAAAATAAGTATTTTTTTTCATAATTTTTTTTCAAATAAATAAAAAAAATGCTTTAAAAATTAATTATTAATTAAATTATTAAAATTTATAATTATTAAATTATTAACAAAATAATAAAGAAGTAATTATCCTTTAAGACTGCGGGTTGACATTAGTAAATAAATAATCAAGTAAATTTAAAACATTTTCTTAAATTTGTTTCCTTCCACTGAAAATTATTGAAAAGTGGTTTAATTTACTCACATCGTCATTTACGAGAAAAAATAATAAAGACGAGAAATAATATAAATCAAAACGAATAATATTTTTAGAAAGATCTTTATTTTAATTGACTGGAATAATTTTTAATATATGTATATTAATTTTCGAGAGACATGAAAGAGAGTGGTCAACTTTTACTCCACTTTCTTCTATTTTAACTTTTACTTAACTACTTTTCTAAATTGCTATATACAATAAATCTGTGAAAACGTTTTACTTTTTTTTTCTTTTTATATACACAATTTTATTTATTTCTAAATCAATTACTTTTTATAATTGGATATTCGTTAGGAAATTTTTTTCTTCTAAAATAAAAACAAATTCTTTTTTCTTTCAGGTGCCTACGAGTAAATCCTAAAGGCCTGGATGAGGAAAGTAAAGACTACTTATCCCTGTACCTCCTTCTCGTTTCTTGTAACAAGTCTGAAGTTAGAGCAAAGTTCAAATTTTCTATTCTTAATGCCAAAAGAGAAGAGACCAAAGCCATGGGTAAGTTTCTTTTCAAAATAATAATTACTAATTCAGAATAATTTAAAATATTCATTAAATTAAATTCGAAATCAATTTAAATAAAGAGAATTTTTTCCAATATTATTATTTTCAATATTCGTTATTTTTTATATTTATTATTTTTTATATTTATTAATTTTCATATTTATTAATTTTCATATTTATAAATTTTTATATTTTATTAATTTTTATATTTATTAATTTTTATATTTATTACTTTTTATATTTATTATTTTTTATATTTATCATTGATTAAGAGAATATTTTTAATTGTTTAGAAAAAAAGCGCAGGAAAAATTTATTACTTATTAAATAATTATCAAATAATTCGAATAATTAATTTTATTGCTTTTCTTTTTATTTTAGAGAGCCAACGAGCTTACAGGTTCGTGCAAGGAAAGGATTGGGGTTTTAAAAAATTCATCAGAAGAGACTTCCTGTTAGATGAAGCTAATGGTCTTTTACCGGACGATAAACTCACGATATTTTGTGAGGTATTTATCGCTAAATTATTATTTAATACCAAGGAAATTAATCCAAACAAAGTAAAATTGTTTTTATAATTTACAAATTTTTTTTCTCCTTTTCTTTACAATTTCTGCTTTTTTCATGGAAAACGAATATTCAAATTTCAAATTCAAAATTTTCAAATTTTTAATATAAGAATATTTATTTTAACGATATGAATTTTATATTTAAGTATAAATAAATAGACTCATTCGTTTATTAATTTATTCATTCCAATTGAAAATTTAAACGGACAGGAAACGAATTATCTATTTTCTTCTACAAAAAAGGATTGTAACCGATTTATTGATTCATTTAATAATTTTCTATTTTTCTATATGTAAAGAATATTCAATTTCTTGTTTAATTCTGTTTTTATAAAAATAAAAAGAAAAGAAAATTCTGAAAAAACTAATTTTAGTTATTTATTTCAGAAAAAAAGAGAAAGTAACACATTTTTCTAAATAAAAAATTCTTTTTCCAGGTCAGCGTGGTGGCGGATAGTGTCAACATTTCGGGACAAAGTAACACGATACAATTTAAAGTACCTGAGTGTCGACTACCCGATGATCTTGGATCACTTTTCGAAAACCAAAAATTTAGCGACGTCACGCTTACCGTTTGTGGGAGAGAGTTCCAAGCACACAAAGCAATTCTCGCCGGTAACTAAAGAATATTTACAAAATTTAGTCTCATCAAAATATAAATAAAATATAAATTATTATTCGTATAAAAACTATTAGAAAATATAAATTATTATTCTCCAATTTCATTAAGAAATTCTTATCAAGAAAAGGAAGAAAAATTTCTAATTTATACAAATTTCTATTATTTGCGAAAAAAAATATTCGACTGTTTTTATATTTTAATTCTCCAAATTTCTTTTCAATAGTCAATACATATTTTTTTTATCAAAAATCCAATTGGTACATAATAATTGAATTAAAAAGAATCCAATTTATTTAATTTTATAATTTAAGAAATTCTGCTTTATTTAATTCTTCTTTAATTTTTTAATTATGAATTTATAATTAATTTTTGGAATTTTGATCATTTTAGCAAGAAGTCCTGTGTTCTCGGCGATGTTTGAACACGAGATGGAGGAGAGAAAGCAAAATCGAGTCGACATTACGGACGTGGATCACGAGGTATTAAGGGAAATGTTGCGATTTATTTACACTGGAAAGGCAACAAATTTAGAGAAAATGGCAGACGATTTATTAGCAGCCGCGGATAAATATGCGCTAGAGAGGTTGAAAGTAATGTGCGAGGAGGCCCTCTGCACAAGCTTAGCCATCGAGAATGCGGCAGACATTCTTATTCTAGCCGATCTTCATAGTGCCGATCAATTAAAAGCCCAAGCCATAGACTTCATTAACACGTTAGTAATTTTCTTTATTAATTATTAATTAATTAATTTCTCCATTTCTCTCATCATTTTCGTAATTTTATTTGTAATTTTCGAATTTCAAATTTATCTAAATTTTTTCAATTCTAAATTCATTTCCATTGAGTGGAAAAAATTTCTTTTTATTAGAATTTAAAATAAAAAACGTAAAGAAAATAAAATAATGTATAAATAATAAAATAATAAAATAGTAGAGTAAATAGAAAATAAATTAGAAAAATAAATAAACTAGTAAAGTAAATAAAATAGTAAAGTAAATAAAAAATAAAGGAAATATTTTATTTGAACTCTAATTTTAGTATTAATTTAATAATATCTTAATAATTAATTTTTTGGTATCCTTCAGTATTTCTTAATAAATTTTCCGTTTCTGTTTTCAGACATGCAACGGATGTGATGGAAACCGCGGGGTTTAAGTCAATGATAAGTTCTCATCCGCATCTGATAGCGGAGGCATTTCGTGCACTTGCCACACAACAAATACCACCAATTGGCCCGCCACGAAAACGAGTTAAACAAAGCTGAAAGCAGTCACCTCTGACTCCGGGTACGACTACCACATCACCCCCTCCCCTCTTACATCCTTGACTTTTTATGTACAGTGATATTTCGTAGTGCTAAATAAATGTTTCCTAGTGCGCCGTTCTTTGGTCCACTTAAAACGAAAAGAAAAAAAAGGCAAAAAACTAAAAAAAAAGAAAAAAAAGAAGAGAGAAACAATGAAGAAGAAGAAGAAGAAGAAGTGAAACTGACGCGCCCCAAAAGAAGGTCCAATCGCCCAAGGAACGTCGAAAAAGTTGTCAACCGAAAAAAAAGACGCTCACGCAGAACTTTTACGTGTGTGTGTGTGTGTATTTTTTTTTCTTCTTGTGAATATTGTTAGTGACGAACAGTTTACGAAGAAGAAAATAAATGAAGAAAAATAAAACCTTTTCTTCTTTATAATGTGGCGTGTGATAAAATCCTCGTTTATGGACAACGTCGACGTTTCTCAAATATCGATGTCCAAGACACGAAAAGAATAAAATGGACTCTCAAAAATTATTGCTCTTTAACTCTCGTAGGCGTTGAATTGCGAATGGACCAATAACCACCAGAGGACCAAGACGATCAAGAAAAGCTCGCTAAAAAAAAAAATAAATAAATTTGCCACGAGAAGACACACACACAAAATAAATTAAAACAGAAAAAAAAATAAAAGTTGTGATAGGCGTCGGCCAGACGAATTGTAACCATTTTGTTCCTTTTTCAAACGGATCAAAAAACCAACTCCCATCTCGTCAATGTTGATGTTGAGGGGAGAAACCTAGATACTTTGTTTATTATACCGATAGTGATTTTTAATTGTAAATCATACAACTCTTCCAACATGGAAAAATGATTCTAGTTAGCGTTTTTTATGATCTCTTTTTCTCTCGATATGTATGATGGTTACTGCGGTTATGACTCTCAAAGCTGCGCGACATGTGGCCCCCCCCAACCCCCCCATATGCCCCAATTTCCCCCCTTGTATTTTTGTATATTTTTGACCTGCAGACATCCCCGATATTCCTCTCAAAAGAAAAAAATATCTCATAGGCAAATTCTTTATTTCTTTCGACTCTATAGAATTTTACCTAAGCGGCTGGTTCGATTTTTTTTTTTACCACTGTACATTATCCTCGGGATTGCTTTTTCTTTTACTAATTAAATAAATAAAATAAATCCATTGACTAGCCCCGAAAAGAAAAAAGAAAAATAGAATAATTATATAAATATTTAGGAGAAAATTAGTCAATATTATTTGATAATTGTCCAATAATTATTAACATTCGTTTAGAAAAATATTTTTACCAAGAAAAATATCGATTCTATATTGTAAAATTATCATAATTCATTTTCGAAAATCAAATTCTTTTTGTGTTCTTTGCAAAATTTTTAATTTTGAAAAAAAGAACAATAGCAAACATTTTAATGAAATTAAATAAAAAAAAAGTATATTTTTCTTAAGAATTTAAACAAAAAAAAATAGACAAATGTTATTTTTAAAAATCTATTGACCTCTCCTAAAGAAAAATGAAAATTAATTCAATTCGAATTTCGAATTTTTCAAAACGTCCGTTTTTAGACATTTATTGTCAATGGATCATCATCTGTCTTTACTGGCAAAATAATTGTCTCTCTATGTAAAAAAATGAAAACAAGAAAAAAAAATGGTGAATTTAAAGATTAATGTAATTTTAATGTAACATTTAATTGTTACATTTATTTACGTAGATTTTGAGACGTGAAAGTTTTTCATTTGATAAAACCAATGTCTCTCATTAATTCATTCTTGAGAAAATAAAAACTTGTCACTCGTTAACAAAAAAAAACGTTTTATCAAACGTAAAATGAACGTTTCAATAAAAAAGATCAAATTAAAATTATACAACAAAAATTTACTTTTTTTTTCAAAAAACTAAAAAAAATTGTCAGAAGGTAAATCTTATTTTCTAAACCCGAGGACAAAGTTTGAATTTTCTGTACAGTGTTCTTTGTAAATTAAATTAAGGGTTGTCCATAATTTTGTTAAGTGTTTCTTTTTCATTCTCTGTGTTTTTCTTTTGTCTAACATATATATGAAAATATTCCGAAATTAAAATTGATTCAAATTTTTTTTTTTTTTAATACTTTTTATTTATTTAAATATATTTTTTAATATTGTTCTTGAAAAAAGTAGAAAAACGGATAATTTGTTCCAACTGGTGTAAACGTGAAAATAAAAATAGTAAATTGAGAAGTGATTTTAAATTAAAAAAATAAAAAGCAGTACGCAAGTCGTAAGCATTAGTCAATTACGATTAAGAATATAAATAAAAAAAAGAAATATATATATAAATGTTTTTCTGTAATTAACTGTTTAAAAATCGGAAAAATTGCGTATTTGGAAATAAACTGAATTATGGGCAACCAGAGACAACGATAATCATCGTTTTAGTACTAAACTGGCTTCCCGATTCCCCGTCTCTTAGTTTTATCGAATATCGAATACTTACCATTATGTTAACGATGAATAATAATGCCATACGTGTTCTGTGATAAGTCCATTTATTGTAGTTGCATCTGCGTCTCTGCTCTCCTGTTCTCGATCCTTTATTGCCGCGTCCTTTAAACAATTCTGGCAGCCAGTGAAGTTATCTATAAACATGCAACTATTTGCCGAACAGTCCCAAAGTTTTCGTTTATTTTTTTTTTTTTTAGTTTTAACATTTTCACCAGATTGTGTAATTAATATACATATATCTGAAAATTTTTATTAACAGTAACTAAATCGATAACAGAAGTATGTAAAAGTATTTTTTTTCTCTCCTTCTGTTTCTCTAAATTGCGAAATTTCGAAAAAATTCTTTCATTTACTGTTAAAATTTATTTTTCTCACTACGATCAAAAAAGAAAATTATTTACATTTCTCAATTTAACAAAAAAAATATTTCGACGTACAAATAAAGAAAATTTTAATTTACATTGAAGAAAATTGATAATTCAATAAATTAAACTAAAATTTATAAATTCAATTTTCAGAAATATTTGTTTATAAATTTCTAAATAATATGTACAATTTTTTCTAAGTTCTGCAGAAATTCTTTGGGAACCTTTAGGAACCTGGAGAATTTCTCTAGGATTTTTTAATTAAAAAATAATAAAAAATATTAATATTGAGATAGAAGTGAAGAAAAATGAATTTTAACAGTATTGGAAATTAGAATTTTGCTTCGTTAATTTTTAGTAAAAAAAAATGTATTTCAATGTTTCTCTATTTATTAACACTTTGGGACTGCGAGATAATTTCTTAGAAACTCTATAATGTTCAATGTTTCAAATGAACCGCCGATGTTAGACGAATGACAATTTGAGAAAAAAATGAAAAAAAAAAAATTTTATCGTCGATAGCGATCTGCAGCAAGAATATATGAGTGTATGACTGGATAATTTGATAAACTAAGTACAATTAAGACAAGCGTTACCTCATCATTGAAAACAGTTACTGGTGATTCATGGATTACCACTGGAGCACTGTTTATTGTTCTATTTTTTTTTGTACACTTCCCAATGTACAATGCATTTAAATTGAAAAAAGCTTTTTTTTTGTATAACGAACAATCTCGCAGTGGTCTTTCATGGTTCATAGTAACTGTTCATCGACACCAGCTCATACAAACGTTCATTTTTCCATTTATTTTAAGTCAATGCACCGCATCGAATAAATTACATTTTCATTATAAATTTGACGATTTTATTATTACCTTTCCCTTTCTCCTTTTTGGCTTTGTATTTTAATTTACCCGAATCCATAATTTTGAAATTTTCCCTAGAAAGTAATAGATATTGACTTTTTAAGAATAAAAATTACTAAATTAATTTGACTGTTTTCTAATCTAAATTTTCCAGTTATTTTTAAATATCTCTAAAGTTTCGAAAGTTCAAATAAACGACGATATTTTTATCACTTTTTTCAATATATGAATTTTATTTACAATGTTTTTTTATACTTAAAAAAAATTGTTTAATTAAAATATTTCTCATGATGAGTCTAGTAATTTAAAAAAAAATATTGGAGAAGAGAATAATATTTCTTTGAAAAATTTAGAAAATTTTTAGTAAAATAATGTTACAATTTTTATTGTAATAATAATTTTTAGAAAAATAAACTTTTTTTCTTCTGTTGGAATAAAAAACTGAACTGTTTCAATGAAAATTTAATTGATAGAGAGAAATAAAAAGTATTATAATTTGAGTTACTGTAAAAACTGATTTGCTATTTCATTAAATATTTTTAATAATAATTGTAATTGTACAAGTAAACATAAATTAACTTATGTAACGGGTAACCTGAATCCTCAACGAGAATTCCTCATAAGATTGCGATCAATTGGTTAAAGTCACAAGTGCCTCCACAACATCGCCTCTGTGTTCCCTAAGTGTTTGTTCTGCTAGATTTCGATTAATTTCCATTTCTTTCACCTAGAAATTAAATTTATTTTTCATAAAAATTCAATAATTCTGTAAAAATTACGAGTTCTAATAATAATACTACTAATAATATAAATAATACTAATAATAGTAATTTAAAAAGGAAAATTTAATCCACTTTCTTATTTTATTAACGTCAGTGAATATCGAAACGTTTCTAATCGACGATTAAGAAGAAAAAATATTAATCAATAAATCTTAATTTAAAAACAAAAATTTAATCCACTTTCTTATTTTATTAACTTTAGTGAAGTTTAAAACTTTTTTAATTAACGCTTAAGAAGAAAAAATTATTCTATTTGAATTTTTATACAAATTTTTGTCGAAAACAATTTTACTTTTAATTTTGTGATAGACGATTAAAACAATTTTTTTAAACGAATTTCGAATATTTTAGAATTGAAAAGTATTTTCTTTCTCAATCGTTGATCAATACATGTTGTGAACTTCACCGACGTTTGTATTAATTACTTTTTCAAAACTGATTTTTAAATATAATTGCCAAGATTTTAATTCAATTGATATTAAGTAAACTTAATAAAGAAATAATTTAAAGAAAATAAATTTCTTACAATTAGATCAACATCTTCTTTTTTTATGGAAATTTTTAAAAGTTCCTTCTCCTTGGCTTTTTTCTCAGCTACTTCCTTGTTTCGACGATCTCCAATTATGCTCAGCGCCTACAAAAATTCGATTAATTAAAAAATTATTAATTAAAAAATTCGATTATTCTTTTAAAAAATAATTATACTTTAAAACTTAAATCAAAAATAATATTAATAAATGAAATAATAATAAAATTAAAAGTAATAAATAAAAATAAATAATAATAATAATCAGAAATAAAATAAATAACATATAGAATAAATAAAATAATAATAAAACAAAAAGTAATAGATAAAAATAAATAATAAATATAAAAATAGGGTAAAGAAACCAATAACCGAGGCAGCTCCGAAATTTTCGATGTTACTATGGTAATAACCTTAAATATTACCTACAACAATAATTTAACTTCTAAGTGCGGATATACATTTATTCTACATTTACAGCACTTATTTTTTAGAATTTACAATATGATTTACATTTTTTAAAAGATTAGATTATAAATAAAAAAAATTTATATCTTAATGCGCGGGTATAAATTGGTTCCCCTAACCTATAAAACTCTCTTCCAAAAATTCGGAAAAACGATTCGAAAGAAATATTAAAGTACTTAAATAAAAGCAAAAAAATATACTCAATTATAAATTAATTAATTTAAACAAAATAGTACAGTAAAAAATTTAGTAAAAGTACACTTCGTGAGTAAAAGTCTGAAGGGAAAATATTTTTAGGTTATGTTTTCCGATTGCAAAACATTTCCCCTCACACCGATAAATTCAATTTTCTCTTACACTTTCTTGCAAATAAAAAGAAAACAAATAAAAGAAAATGTTTGTTTGACAATAAAATATTAAACTTACACATGAAAAATCCTCAGAAGATGAAATTTCTTTCTCCTCTGCATAATCTGTTACTCTCTCCAAATCAGCAGCTCCACTATCATATTTCGCCGTTCTCTTTTGTGATTTCTCTTGCTGAACCTCGTCAGAATCACCATTAACGTCTTCATCTGCCATTTTATTAATTTACAAATATATTAATTAATTAATTAAGGTTAAATGTCGTCAAACTGCATAATATTTTGTACCATGTGTATATATAACTATATATGCGTGTACATATACTACCTCACGTATATTTACGCACACACAGTAACATAAGCGCAGGCGCAAAAGCACGCAAAAGTCAGTGTGTCACTTTTTGGTCTGCTGTGTGCACATACATCAGATCCAACAAATAATATACAGATGTTTTATTAGTTTTAGAAGATTGTGACGAAATAAATCCTCTTAAGTTATTTCATATTTAAACTCGCAACGCATTCGCGAGTGATTCTTTTGTGAACAGTGTGTTAAAATTGAAATAACAGAATACAAAAAAAGATGTGTGGTGGATTTACGTGCTCGAAAAATGCATTGACAGCACTCAACGTTTTATATATCGTAAGGAAGATAAAAATTGATTTGCTCTATATTATTTACTTGTATTCCTTTTTTTTTACTAAATTAATTTTTTATCACAGAAATTATTGTTTTTAATTGTTAAATATATGATTTTCTATGTACATAGGTAATTGCATTCGTTTTAATTGGATCGGCCGTTTATGGAAGGGCTTCGGCTTTGGTTACTGATCTTCCAATTATTGGAGGTATTTTAGCATGTGGGGTAATGCTGATTTTAATTTCAATCCTTGGATTAATTGGTGCGATTAAACATCATCAAGTACTACTGTTTTTCGTATCCTTTTTATGTCATTATTGTAGCAAATCAAGTTTTATCAGAACAATGTATTTCCGTTGCCATATAACATTACTTTGACCTTTAAAGCCACCGACAATCTTCTTATCAAAACGTGATATTTGTTCTTGAACTTTTTTTCAGTTTACCGAAGATTTTATCTCACTGAGATAATAGGTATTTTGAATATTGTAAATTTTTTTTCTTAAATTTTCATTTTTGAAATTCGAACTTATTTCTTTCTATACTATGATATTACATTTTCATTTTACAAAATATTCAAAAACACATGGGGGAAAAATGGCCTTGAATTATTAGATTCTTGTCCGTTATATTACATTTTAATTTATTCTTTTATGAATAAATTATTAAATTATTCTGGGGTAAGAAAAATTTAGTCATAATAAAATGAGAGTTTGAAAATAAGTTACAATCATTAATTTAAATACGATAATTATTTAAATAATTATTTACATTTGATTTATTTAAATACGATATTTAATTCGATTATTATTTACAGGAATTAACAGAGTTTCAATTTTTTAAGACGTGAATTATTCCTTAATATTTATTTACAGTATATGCTGATACTTTTCTTATTGTTCCTTGTTCAATTCAGCATAGCGTGCGCATCTCTTTCAGTCAATACAAAACAACAGGAGGAACTCGCCGAACAAGTGAGTATATAATCAATCAAAAAAAAAAATTTTTTTATTCTAAGAGTTTTTAAATATTTATCATGCCCTTCTATTTTCTAGGGCTGGAGAAATGTTGGACCTGATCTCAAGCAAAAAGTTCAGGAAACATTTAGTTGTTGTGGTTTTAATGATACCTTGAGTAGTGTGCCTGTTTCACAAAATTTACACTGTCCCGAGGTAATATTTAAAATTTAATTAAAGAATAAAATTAATTTAGTTTTCTAAAAAAAATTATTTTGTATTTTTAATTTATTTAGATCTGCGCACAAAATGGATGTCCACCGTGTATGCAAAAATTACAATCGACTATTGATTATGCATTTAAATTATGTGGAAGTATAGGACTTTTCTTCAGTTTTACTGAGGTGAGTTCATGAAGGATTTGTTTAAAAATTTATCAAAATTTAAAGGAGTGTTTTGTTCGGGAAAAATTAACCACTGTGTGCACTATTTATATTTTTTTTCCCCAAAGAAAGTCTGTAAATACACATCCAGTACTAACTGTTTGATAATCAATTGGGCATTTTTGTGAATAATCTTCCTCGTGGGACTTTTTTACATATTTACAAAGAATATAATTATTTAACAATTTATTTATATTTTTAAAAAATTGTTTTCTTAATTTTTGAATTTTATTTTATTTTAATTTCAATTTTGAAATTATTTCAGATTCAAAATTTCAAGAAAAATTCAATTATTAACTAATTTATCAATTAATTATAATTATTTATTGTTTTCCAAAACTTTAATAAAATTGTTCGCAGAAATTCAATTATTTTCAATAAAATTCCTGGAAAAAATTCAATTATTTTTAAAAATTTGGTAAAATTCTTCGCAAAAATTCAATTATTTTGAAAATTTTTGAGTAAATTCTGTATGAGAATTTAAATATTTTCAATACTAGTTTAATTAAATTCATCGAAAAAATTCAATTATTTTCGATAATTTTAATTCAATTCTTAGGAAGATTTCAATTGCTTTCATAATTTATAACATTTTTAACAGAAATTTAATTATTTTAATAAATTTTAATAAAATTCTTTGCAAAAATGTTATTTTGAAAAATTTCAATAAAATTCTTTATAAGGAAAAATTTTAATTAAACAATTTGAATAAATTTAATTGTTTTCCTAAATAATAAAGTTCTTTGCAGAAATTTAATCATTTTGAAAAATTTTGATTAAATTCTTTATGAGAATTATAATATTTTCAATTCGAATATAATTAAGTTTCTCGAAAAAAATTCATTTAGTTTTTAAAATTTAAATAAAATTCTTCACAAAAATTCGATTATTTTGAAAAAGTTTGATTAAATTTTTTATTAGAATTGAAATATTATCAATAAAATTTTAATTAAATCTATCGAAAAAATTTAATTATTTTTGAAAATTTTAATTAAATTCTTAGCAGATATTCAATTATTTTCATAATTTATAAAATTTTTCGCACAAATTTAATTATTTTAAAGAATTTGAATAAAATTCTTTGCCAAAACTTTATTATTTTAAACATTTTCAATAAAATTCTGTATAAGAAAGAATTTAACTAAATAATTTGAAATTATTTCATTCTTTTCCTAAATAACAAAATTTTTCGCAGAAATTAAATTATTTTGAAAAATTTTAATTAAATTCTGTACGAGAATTGTAATATTTTTAATTCAATTACAATTAAATTCCTCGAAAAAATTCAATTAGTTTTTAAGATTTTAATAAAATTCTTCACAAAAATTCGATTATTTTGAAAAATTTTGATTAAATTTTTTATAAGAATTGAAATACTATCAATAAAATTTTAATTAAATCTATCGAAAAAATGTAATTATTTTTGAAAATTTTAATTAAATTCTTAGCAGATAATCAATTATTTTCATAATTTATAAAATTTTTCGCACAAATTTAATTATTTTAAAGGATTTGAATAAAATTCTTTGCCAGAACTTTATTATTTTTAACATTTTCAATAAAATTCTTTATAAGAAAAAATTTAATTGAATACTTTGAAATTATTTAATTCTTTCCCTAAATAACAAAATTCTTCGCAGAAATTAAATTATGTATTTTGAAAAATTTTAATATTGATAAAATTATTTATGAGATTTAAATTATTATTTTTATAATTAATCTAATTCTTCACAGGAATTTAATTATCTTAAAGAATATTTTAATAAAATTCTATCTCAGAAATTCGGTCATTTTGAAAGATTTTGGTAAAATTCTTTATTCACTTATTTTTCATACAATTTTAATTAAATTCATAACAAGATTTAAATTAATTTCATAATTAATAATTATTCAACGATTATTAATAAAAAAGATTGGTAAAAAAATTTTAAACAGTTATTTCGAAAATGAAAAGAGGGAAAATGGTTCAAAGTAGAAAAATTTGTTTATATTACTTCAGAAAAATGGCACTGGTTAATTTTTTTAAATATACGTTTTTTTCAAATATAAATTATGAAAAATGTAAATTAACACGTCGTGGAAAGCACAAGGATAATTGTATAAAATATCAATTACAGTTTGTTGGTGTCTGGTTGACGGTACGCTACAGGAACCAAAAAGACCCTCGAGCTAACCCTAGCGCTTTCCTCTAGTCTAATACCATCGCTATGACTCCCGTTTTCTCGCATGATCATCTTAACAGATGGTGGGTTTTTTATCTCACATGGTTGTGGTCATTTTTGATTCTTGCAATAATTTTTTCTCTAATTCATTTATTTTCAATTTTTTTTTTATCAAAATAAATCGTTTCAATTTTAATTTGTAAAATAGCTAAAATTTTCTATTGTCTATTTTCTAAAATAGACAAAATTTTTTGTCTATTTTAGAAAATAGTATAATAAATAGACAATAATATTGTTTATTTTAAAATAATTATGAAATTACAGAAACAAAATTCGATGCAGTTTCAATTTTTGAAAAAGAAAATTCACTTATTGATTTATCTTAGCGCTCTCTTCATTTATTATTAGATTAAATAATATTTATTATCGCAGGTGATTGCGGCTTTCTTGGCAATACGGTATAGAAATCAATACGATCCAGAATTAAAAGCTGCCAGAGCTGTTTTTCCACGAGATGATTATTTATATTGACAGAAACTTTTTTTTTTGTTTCAACAATTTTCCCTTGATTACTGAAACTTTATAGGATTGTTTACAATCCATCGACTTTAGAAAGAAATCATCATCAAACAAACATACTCTCGATTAAATTTTATTTCTTCTTTTGTTTTATATAAAATCACAAAGAAGTAAATTTTTATAAATTTGACAATTTAGAGGAGCATGAAATTTAAATTACTATCATACTTCCAAGAAACTCGATTTTATTTCTTCTTTTAATTATTAACTGAAAATAGTGATATTTTTACTGTACACATTGCATCTATTTAATCTTTTATCTACTTTAGACAGAAGCTCATAATTTTTTAAGCCAAAGATTTATTTTTTATTTAGAAAATAGAAAAATTTCATTTAATTCAAAGATTGAAAAGGAATTTTTTTTCTTTTTGTCTGTTCAAGATCATTTGACTAGTATTTAAGAATAGAAGTTGCTTCATATTTACAGATCTCAAACAGAACGATAGCGAACGTCATAATATAACAATCATTCCAATTTTACATATGTGATATTCATATACGGTCTAAGAAAATCTGAAATTGATTAAAATGTAGATCAAAATCGGAAATTCTGAAATTACAGAAATTAACAGAAATAACAGAAAAATAATTTTTTCATAAAATAATTTATTTTTACATAATTTTATTTATAGACACTTTTTTTCTTTATTGGTATTTTAATTTATCAAGAACAGAAAATTTCTTACGAATTATTTGAACTGTAATCTGAGTTTTATAGGATCTGAATAAAAATTTAGTTTTTAAACACTTTTTGTTTCGTAATTCTGTCAAAAGTTTTTATAGAATTATTAAATTATTAATACTCTCGAATTGTGTATTTTAAAGTAAAAAAAAAATATCGAGGAATTTTCGTTCCTGTAAATTGTAAATCTCCATGAAACATATAAATATATATTTGCTTTAATTACCAAAAGGAATCAAATAGAATTGAAATTCATCTAAACTGTAGAAAATTAATTTATTAATACTTTTATAATTATTTATGAATTGAAAATGTCAAAAATCAACTTAGTGCTCTTTACATGAAATCAAATATAATATTGTAACAAAATGTTATTAATATTGCTTTCTCGTTCATAGGAACAATTTTACAAAATGTTAATTCAGCAATAGAGGATAGATACTCGTTTTTATCTAATTGTTTTAATCATAAAATCTATCGTTTGAAATTGTGCATATTTATCATTCTAAGTATTTTGTCACAATAATATTTAAAAAAAAAAAGAAACAATTTAATAGATACGTACAATTTAATTTCTAAGATAAGAAAATATAGTCGGCACCGAGTTGTAAAAAATATACATGTATTTAAATTTAGAAAGGCAGTATTAACTTTTTCATTGCTATCATTGCTGTTCAATTCGTAAAGCTCTTTTTTAATTTAAAAAAAAAATCTTTTTCAAGCCATAGTTTACAGCAAATAAGCGATAAATGAAAAAAACTTCAAGTGCCTAGCAATTCCTGTCAATAATTAATAAAAAAGGGAAATTGTATTTCTGTTCTTTTGAGATTCAATTTCTAAATTTCTAATTTTTTTTAATTTTCAGTTTAATTATATATAGATGCTTAAAGGAGAAAAAGAAAAAGTTACTGTTATAATTTAATTATAATTTTCATCTTTTATTTTTTGCTTAACTGTAAGCACATAAATAGTTTCGCTAAAAATAATTTCCGTTTTATTAATTATTGACAGAAATTGTTTAGCGCCTTTATTTCGAAACATGTGTAAAAGTGAGATTTAAAAAACGAACATTGTATCAAATGAATTTTCAGCTTTAAGTACATATCTGTCTAAACTCTTCGCCTTTAGTAAAAAAAAATCCATATCTTTTCTAAAAATCTAAAAACGCTATTCTGTATTTAAACATATTATATATACTTACGTAATCCAAATGAGATTATTGAAAAAAATGTACAAGTACGAAAATAAAAAAACAGTCTAAAATTATAATTCTAATTCAATTGTCATTTAGAAGAGATCATTTAGTAATAGAAAAAATTCGATTTCCAATACGAGAATTATTTCGCTAAACAGTCTTGAAATTTCCGTTTTAAAATTGAACATCAATTTTAATTGATTATTATAAATTAATTATTTTTAATTAATCACTTAAAATATTGTTAACATTTTTTAAGTGATTACTAAAAATTGAAATTCAACTTTTACTATTGATAGATTTTTCCCCGTTAATTGAATTTAATTCACCTTGAATTTCAGCAAATGTTTTGCCTTTAGTCTCGGGAACACAGTAAATAATAAATACAACTCCAATAAAACACGACATAGAGAACCATAGAAATGAAATTTCCACTCCCGATGAATCGGAAATGACTTGAAATAATTTTGTCACACTAAATGCTACAAGACCGCCCCAAATATTTGCCGAGCAAACAGCAAAACCTTTAATATCGGTGGAAAATAATTCCCCTAACATCATATATGTGAGTGGATTTAAACCAACTGAAATTATAAATTCATAGAATATTATTGAAATTACTAAAATATAACCATATGGTTTCATATCTAATTTTAATTGATTTTTAAGATAAAAGAAAATGCTGCTAATCAACAATGAACAACCAGCGAGAAATGTTGTATTTATCAATAATGGTCGACGTCCAATTTTATCGACAAGAATCGCCGAAAATATTCCGGCAATTATTTGGAAAATATTGAGAATTATCACCTCGATTGACGCTGATAATTGTGTTTCTGCCTCGTCCATTATTTTCTGTCAACATTTTGTTTTCAAAAACAAAAAAAAAGGTATTTTCAATTTATTTTTTGTAAATTTTTTCTTTAATTAAATATGTACAGGCCTTGGATAATATCGTTAATTTACGAAAAGATTTTAATTAAAAATTCTGTAAAATAATTGAATATTTTAAGATTTGTAGTAAAAATATTTAGGAACAAAAACTTCAAAATTCTAAACAATTTAGTTTTCCGAAAAATTTCAATAAGAAATTAGTTGAATTTTTAAAAATACTATTAATTGAATAATTTTTGAATAATTGAAATTTTATAAAATTTAATTGAAAACAATTGAATTTCAAATTGTATTTTCAGGAAAAATTCTTTCACTTTTTTTGAATAATTTAATTCTTGAAGAAAAAAATGAAAATTATCAAAAATAATTGGAGTAGAGAAAAATATAAGTTAAAAATTTTAGAAAATAATGGAATATTAGAAGAGTCTACAAGAAAAGTAGTAGAAATTTTTAAGAAATAATTGAATTTCAAAAGGTTTTTGAATTAAAATTTTTGAAGCTATGAATTTTGAATAATTTCAATCAAAAATTTCTAATCAATTTAGTTTTTTTGAAAAATTTTAATTCAAAATTTTTTTGAAATTAGTTATTTATTAGTAATTTTTTTTGGAATTATTACAATATCTATCCAATTGGAAAATAAGAAAATAAATTGTATTTTAAGTGAAATTTCTTTCACTTTTTTTTGCATAATAATTTAATTCTCAAAGAAAGAAATGAAAATTATCAAAAATAATTGAATTAGAGAAAAATATGTGTTAACAATTTTAGAAAATAATTAAATATTAGAAAAGTTTACAAAAAAAGTGGTAGAAAATTTTAGAAATAATTGAATTTCAAAAGGTATAAATTGAGATTTTTGAAGATTTGAATTTTTAATAATTTCAATTAAAAACCCTACACAACTTAGTTTTGTTTGAAAAATGTCAGTTTAAATTTGTTTAAAATTAGTTAATTATTAGTAATTTTTTTATAACTTATAAATTAATTGGAATTATTATAATATCTATCCAATTGAAAAATTCTAGAAAATAATTAAATTTTTAGAAGAAATACAGAATTATATTTTTTTAGAATTAATTAATTTTCAAAAAGGTTTGAAAGTTTTTTAAATTTTAACTCAGGTGGAAAAATATATTACTATAAGTATTAAAATATTTATTTAATAAGATTATTGAATTATTAAATTTAAGAATTCTGGAAAAATTAGAATTTTGAAAAATTTTATTTACAACTTTTTTGAAGATACATAATTGAATGTCCGAAAGTAATAAATTCAAAACTTGTCAAAAAAATTAAAATTTCGTCAATCAAAGTTTTATTTGAAATAAATTCTATATTTCGGAGAATTTTATTCCAATTTTTTAAAAATAATCTTGTTTTTGAAAAAAAAAAATGTTAGGGAAATAATTGACTTTTCCAAATAAATTTAAATTAAAGCTGATGTGGAATTAAAATTAAATAAAAAAATTATTAAAGTTTTTAATAATTTTGGTTAAAAATTGTAGAAAATAATTAAATTAATTGTTATTATTATATATTATTATTATTGTTTTGCATCTTAAAGTCGATCCGAGGCCTGTATATAATATTTGAAAAGTTAAGACTGTAAAAATAAAAAAAAGAATACAAAAAATACTTTAATTAATAAAGTGAAATCCCCTCTTCTGGGAATCGAAATAAATATTATAATAAATTATAATTTAAATCTAATTTTAGAAATAATTATTTTTCAAATACTAAAAACAGTTAATAATTATTTCTCAAAGATAAAATAAATAATAATTTCTTATTTTTTTTTAGAAAGAAGAAAAGCAAACCTGAGTATAAGATTCAATAGCGGCTAATCCACTGAACTGAAGAATCAACTGCAGACCAAAACAAATGATAACAGCCTTCTTATTCCCAGAGGTACGAAAAAGATACCAAAATTTTCTTTTATTCGACAAATCCTGAATGACAGTTTCATTTATTTGTTCCAGTTCTTCAAATAATTTATTATCATCTCCATAGTGTCTCAAAAATCGAAGACTATTCAGCGCATCATTTTTTCTATTCTTCACCAGAAGATAATACGGTGATTCAGGCATCCAAATGAAAGTGATGAAAAATATTATCGGAATAATTGCACAACAATAGCCCATTATTGTATAGGAGACATAGGGTCCAATTGCGTGACTATAAAGTTCACCGAAATGCATCATTAACTTTAAAAATGAACCTAGTGTACCACGAATATTTTTGTCGGCAATTTCACCGATATATATTGGACACAATGTATAGACACTTCCCATTCCAATTCCACTGATGAAACGCGCAATGAAGAGCGTATGTGGTTCATGGGAAATTAGAATTAAAATCCATCCAATCATTAGGGGAATATTTGTAAGAAGTAAACTTATCTTACGACCAATACGATCGACAATAAGTGAGGCAATAATGCATCCTGGAAGTGAGCCGAGCATGAGGAATGATGTGACCCAAGCGGCATTTGCACTCGATAATTGTAGAGGTGAATCTGATGATGAGTTTAATAAATTTGGAATTATTGGCGATGTCCATCCAATATTTGTGCCAAGTATTATCATTGAAATTGTGGCTGAAAAAAGAAATACGGGTAATGAAATTTAATATTTAATATAATTAATTTTATTTCTGGCACCGATGCTAAAATTAAACTAAATATTAAAAGTCTACTTTTTCAATATTTTTAATACTTTTAATCAAATTCTTGTAAATAATTCAATTTTATTATTTTCATAATTAATAAAATTATTCTCAAGAATTTAATTATTTTTAGAAAAGTTAAATAAATACTTCGAAAATATTTAATTATTTTCATAAATAATAAAATTCTTCGAAAGAAATATTTCAATTCCAAAAATTTTAATTTCGCTTCGCCACCAGTTCGTTCCAAAAAAAGTGCTCATTCAAAAATTGCCAACTGCTCGCACTCGTTACGAAATATACTATTCTTTATTTTGTTTTTATTTTTTTTGATTTAATAATATTATTTTTATTTCTCAAATAATTCAAAAATATTTTTACTAATCTAAAAAAATTATTAATATTATTATACTAGTCATTATTTCCTTTGATTCTAAAAAATTAGCATTTTGTAACAAACATTTTAGAAAATTAACAAATGTAATTCCTGTAAAATATTTTCTTTTTTTTAATATAAAAAACTTTATTACTTAACAAAATTTTGACTTCTTCCTTGACTCTAAAGAATATTCTGATTCTCTCTAAAAATGATTAGATACTCCAAAAAATGTTCCATTACATTTATTTACGAATTTCTTTAATTCTAAAATTATTTAAAAACATCAATTACTTCTTTTCTAAATAAATTTTAATCATTATTATTTTCCCACAGGAATAAATTATTTTTAATAATTTTTAAAAAAAGTTCTTTGAGAATTTTAAAATCCATTTGTTTACGAAATTGAAATTATTCAGAAATTCTTCAACTAAATACGAATAAAAAAAGAAATATTTCAAATAATTTCAGAAAAAAATTCAATTAAACTTTTTTAAAATAATTAATTCTACAGAATTGTTAGTTATAAGTATGAAAAATACAAATTTTTAAAGAATTTGATTTGGAACCATTTTAAAATTTAATTATTTCTTAAAATTCATGCTATAATGCTTTTAATATTTAATTATTATGTAGAACTTTAACTGAAATTCATTTTGAAATAAATTTTTATTAGAGAATTCAATAATTTGAATGCAAAAATAAATAACTTATTGAATAATTAAAATTTCTTAAAATTTAAGTCTGATAAAGAATTTTATCAAAACATTTTTAAATTCATTTTTTGAAGGCACAAATATGAAATTTTATGCAAAGTTAGCAAAGCAGTGATATATTTTGTAAATTTCAATTTTTAACGAAATTTTTAAAAATTTTTTAATTATTTTTTGTGATTAAGTAGTTAAGTGATTAAGTACCAGTTTTTATTGTTAATAGGCATTATTATTAATACTAGGAGAAACTACACGCGCGTTTTTTTAGCTGTCACCTGTAATAATTTCAAAAGATAACATTTTTGTAATTTTTCATAAATTTTTCGAAGAATTTTTTATTGAAATTTTGTAAAGATAATCGAATTTCTTTTGAGTAATGATAATAATAATAATAATAAATTAAATACTTTGTTTGGCAGGCGTGACATTTACTACTTATTTATATTATTTATAAAAAAATTTTAAATACAAATTTCATAAAATTCAATTATTTTTTTAATTTTTAAATAAAAAATTATTCCAAAATAATTAATAAAAAATAATTTATTCTCGATAGTTTTTTAAAAATTAAATTATTTAAGAAAATTAATTTTAAATCTGTAAAGTCTAATTATTGTTAAAGACAGGAAGAGTTTGAAATATATAAAATCTTTTCAATGCTCAAGAATAACATTCAGAATTTTCTTATGAATTCTTGAAATTGAATATTATTCCAGCACTTTTGACAAAATTTTCTGGCTTTTTCCTGATTTCCCTGAATAAATTTAGAAAAATAGTGATTTTGTGTAGAATTCTTTTGAATAATTGAATTTTTGAATGTTAATGATATGAAAATAATATTAATTAATTTTGACTAGAAAACTATTAGAAACCAAATAACAAATAAATAATTAATTATAATTAAATGTATTTTATTTTTGATAATTAATAAGTCAAAAATAATGTAATGAACATATTTTTCATTATCGTCTCATTGGCATTCACGCTTTCATTAATTTTCATGTGACATGTAATGTAAAAATTACATTATTGTTATATATATGTTAAAAGTGAAACAAGAAACTTCACGCGCGCTTTAGCGCGCGTTATTTGTGCTCGTATACATTATAATAATCGTAAGTTTCCTTTCCGTTAGCAAATTATCTGCATTCATTTGTTTGTTTTGAATATTAATTTTTGTGGGTTATTTTTATTTTTTTTAATGTCAAAAAAAAAAACGAAAAAAACTCGTTTTATTCACTTCACAAAATTGACAAAAATTCCATTCCATATTTTTTATTTTCCTGACTTTTTCCTAATTTTCATCAAAAATATTTACTTTTTTCTTATCCTGCTTATAAATTGAATTTCTGCTACGAATTTTATTATTCATGAAATTTAAAATAATTTAATTCTTGCGAAGAATTTTATAAAAATTTTTAAATAAGTCATTTCTTTCAAATAATTTTTTGCAAATTCTAATTTAAATAATTGAATTGATTAAAATTTTTATTATTCATGAAAAGAATTGGATTTTTACAAACCATTTTTTAAATAATTGAATTCTATTTGGAAATTTTATGAAAATAGTAGATATTGAAAATCATTGAATTGCGAAAATTGTTTAAAGATAATTAAATTTTACAAAGAATTCTATTAAAAAATTTGTCAATAATTGAATGTCTGTGGGAAATTTTATTAAATTTTTTTAACTTAGAATGTTTTCAGGACAAATTTATTTGATTAAATTTTGTTGAAAATAATTAAATTTCTAAAAAACATTTTATTATTTATGAAAATAATTGAATTCTTGCAAACGATTTACTAGAACTTTTTAAAATAATGGAATTTTCAAGAAGAAATTTATTATTTTTAAAAATAATTGAATTATTGTGATGAATAGTATTGTTCTTTATGAAAATAATTGAATTTTTAAAAAAATTTTATTAAAATACCTCAAAATAATTGAATTTTCGGGAGTAATTTTTTTATTTATCTTTAATAATTGAATTCTTTGGAAAAATTATTTGTGTAAATAATTGAATTCTTAGAAAAAATGTTATTAAAATTTTAAAAAATTGAATTATTTCAAAAAAATTTAATTAAAATTGTATTTAAAACAATTAATTTCATCCGAACAATTTTATTAAATTTTTGAAAATAATTATTCAATTCTTCCATAGAATTTAAAAAAAACATTTTTTTAAATAATTAATTTTTGTCGAGGAATTGAAATTAAGTTTTTAAGAATAATTAAATTTTTGAGCAATTCAATTGTATTAAAAATAATTGAAATCCTGCTATAAATTTTATTATTTATGAAAATAATTGAATAGTTTTTAATTTGAATAGAATTTTATTATAATTCTCAAAAATAATTGAATTACAGAAAAGAATTTTATTATTTTTGAAAATAATTGAATTATTGTGGAAAAGCTTATTAAAATATTTAAAAAGTATTGGATTTTTGTAAAAAATTTTATTATTTTTGAAAGTAGGTGAATTCTTTAGTAGAATTTTATAAACATTGTTTTAAATAATTATTTTTTCGAAATATAATAAATATTATGAAAATTTTATTATTTAAAATAATTGAATTCTTGTGTGAAAACTTTATTTGTGAAAATAACTGAATTTTTCGATTATTAATTTAAAATAGTAATGAAAATAATTGAAATTCTTCGATGAGTTTTATTATTTATGAAAATAATTAAATTCTTGCTTAGAATTTAATCAAAATTTTTTTTTAAATTGATTTTTCATAAAAAATTTTATTATTAGTGAAAGTAATTGAATTATTGTGAAAAATAAATTGCATAAAATTTTGTTAAATAATTGATTTTTTCGAAATTTTTTTGAAAATTAGCAAATTTAAAATAGTGGAAATTCTTTTAAAAAAAATATAATTTATATTCTCTGTTCAGAAAGTTGAAGATTATTTTTAATTTAGGTGTCAAATATCAATTTTTACGAAATTCAATTTACCTCGTACAAGAAAGTTTAATTATTTTCAATTTTGAAAATCTGATGTAAAATTTGAAATTAGTATCAAAATTTGTTAAAGTTTTTTTATGTACTTTAAAGTTTAGAAATATAATATAATTTGAAAATTTAATTCTAATTAGTTTTTCAGTTATGTGTCATAATAAGTATTTCTTTAAAAATTATTTAAATTAAAATGACTTGAAATTGTTTACAATAAACAGTGTAATACAACATTCCCGCGCGCTTGCGCGCGGATAATTTGGCTAGTTTCTTAATAAGAATTCAATTATTTTCATAATTGATAAAAATTGTACTTCGCCGCCTCGTCCTCTAGATCACACAGGTAGTACCGTGGTATTATACGTTCCGCCACAATAATTTCAAAGTTAAAAACTTTTAGCGCCTCCAACAGGTGGCGTCCTATTATCTAGCCCTCTGCTCGTCATTACGTTGTATTGTGCGTTCCTTGCAACATCGCGTCTCTCGTTGTTAAAAGAAAAATGAGTTCATCGTCAGGAGAAAATTCATCATCCGAGAGTGACCGTCGTCATCATAAGAAGAGGAAAAGGAGCTCATCGAAAAACATCGATCGAAAAATAAAGAAGGCGAAAAAAGAACTTAAGAAACTCAAGCGTGCTCGATCACGCACTCGCGCGAGTTCATCGTCATCAGCCAGTTCACGATCAGTGTCGCCTAAAACGGTAAGATCAAACAAGAGGCATAGCCCGAGAGGCAAATCTCCTCTCCCTTACAGGAAAAAAGACGGACACGACAAACGATCTCGAGACCGAGAGTCCAGATCGCCCGGAAGGCGAAGTAAAGAACGTACCCCGCGAGGGACGCCGTACTTCAGTCCCGGCAAGAAACAGCGAGAGGTTAGTCCTAGAGATAACCCAAGCACAGTTTCAGGAAGTCGCTCGCGATCCAGAAGTTTTTCCCGTTCTCGATCCATAACCCCATCAGGAAATTCGTCAAAAAATTCGCACCGTTCACATCAAAAAACAAATCAAGATGGCGGCGAAAACGTGGCCAAAAAAGACGCCAGTTCTCTGTCGGTAACAGCTGAAAACTCAATGCTAATGTTGTTAGGGGAGGGCGCGCCAGAGGACGCGCATCCCAGCGAACCGATACATAACACTGTTGCTGATCTGTGGATAAAAATATTACAATTTGGATTGCCGCCAGATGCCTCTAAAGCGCTAATAAAAAAATATCAGCTACCAGAAAACTGTTTGCTGATGGGAGCGCCTCAGCTGAACCAGGAAATAAAATCTGGTATGGGAGTGACAGCCTTAAAAAAGGATCAACACCAAGTGACAGCTCAAAACAAACTCGGTGCTGCGATTAGTGCCTTAGGTCAAGTATTAACAGTAGTGCTACAAATTAAAAAAGAATCTAAAGATCTTGACGCCGCTACATTGGTGAGCATATTTTCGACATTGTGTGACATCGGCAGAATATTGACCGATATCCAGCATGGCCTGTCGATGACGCGGAGGTCATTTATAGTGCCGACGTTTAGCATCTTGTTAAAACAAATAGCCGATGTAACGCCAGTGGACACTTATCTTTTTGGCGAAAACTTATCGGAGAAACTTAAGTCTGCGAAGGAAGTGGAGAAGTCCGCGAAAGACATCACCAAATCCAACCAAAGTTCAAGTAAAAGTTACGTGAACAACAAGGAGAAGTTTGCGGGGCCGCCAAAAAATAAGAGCAATTTAAACTACAAAACCCCCTCCTCCAAGAAGAACTATCCGAACACGAATTTGAGGAAGAGGGGGCAAGAATCGAGGACACCACGCAACCAGCCATATCGTCGTCAAAGGACCCAGTGGTAAGTTATAAAGCAGGTCGAATAAAATATTTTATTAGCGAATGGGAAAAGCTGACACTCGATCCCTCCATACTGAAATGCGTTCAGGGTTACAGTATACTTTTTGATAGCACTCCGACGCAGTTGTTTAAACCAACAGAACCTCAACTTTCCGTTGAAGAATGTGTCAGGATGGTAAAAGCCATTTCCCACATGCAAGAAATAGGTGCTGTTTTCCCATGCGACCCGTGCGAAGGTGAATTTTTATCTTCTTTTTTCTTAAGGCAAAAATCTAACGGCGATGACCGATTTATTTTAAACCTTAAGAAACTGAACAAATTCATCACAGCAACTCACTTTAAGATCGAGGACCTTAAAACAGCCTTGCGGCTAGTAAGTAGAAATTGTTTCATGTCGGTGATTGATATCAAAGATGCTTATCTTATGATACCAATAATAAAAGAACATAAAAAATTTCTCAGATTTCGTTTTCAGGGGGTCACTTACGAATTTAGTTGCTTACCTTTTGGGCTTTGTACAGCACCACTGGTTTTTACAAAACTATTAAAGCCGGTGGTACAAGTACTAAGAAACCAGGGCATTGTCTTAGTCATCTACTTGGATGATATACTAATCATCGCTGAGACTGAGAAGCAATGTGGGAAAAACGTCACGATAGTTCGATCTCTTCTTAACAAACTGGGGTTCGTTATAAGCGAGAAGAGTCAACTCAAACCTTCAAGAATATGCACGTTTTTAGGTTTCGTTATAGATAGTGAAGCATTTTGTGTTCGACTAACAGATAAAAAACGAGTATCAATAGATCAAAAAATTCAAATCTTTTTAGGTAAAAAGACCTGCAAAATAAAGGAGTTAGCTCAATTTCTCGGAACATTGGTGGCTGCCTGCCCGGGAATCAAATACGGGTGGCTCTACACCAAAAGGTTAGAACGCGAGAAATATTTAGCTTTAGGAAATTGCGGTAATAATTTTAATGCTACCATTTCCCTCCCTAACCTGATTCAACCTGATTTGCAGTGGTGGTCTCTTAACGTAAAAACATCAACCAACCCAATCAGAGAATCTAAATTTGCAATTGAAATTTTCACAGACGCTTCGCTAACAGGTTGGGGCACGTTCTGCGATGGAAAAGTGGCTAACGGTCTGTGGAGCAAAAAGGAGCAGGAACTCCATATTAACGCATTAGAATTGATGGCCGCGTTTCTAGGGTTAAAATGCTTCGCCAAAAATTATTCTGAGTGTGAAATCCTCCTTCGTATGGACAACACGACGTCCATTGCCTATGTAAATAGAATGGGTGGGATTAAATACCCTAAGTTAACCTATCTTGCCAGTGAAATCTGGAAGTGGTGCGAGAAAAGAGACATATGGGTCTACGCGTCTTATCTACCGTCAAAAGCCAACGTAGATGCAGATGAACAGTCACGTATCCTTCCTGAAGAAACGGAATGGGAACTGTCAGATAGGTCATTCAAAAAATTAGAAAGAGAATTAGGGCCATTTAATATAGATCTGTTTGCGTCTAGAGTCAATGCCAAATGTAGGAAGTATGTGTCCTGGAGACGAGATCCAGACTCCATACTTGTCGACGCTTTCACTATGGATTGGCGAGATCAGCTTTTCTATGCATTCCCTCCTTTCGCACTTATCTTGCGAACCCTTCAAAAAATAAAAATCGACCAAGCCGAAGGCGTGGTTGTGGTACCAAGGTGGCCTACCCAGCCTTGGTACCCATTATTCATGTCTTTAGTCGTATCAGAAATTATTACTTTCAAGCCAAGTAAAAAACTTCTTTCTTCCCCTCACAGAGATCTACATCCGCTTCACCACAGCCTTTCCCTGGTAGCAGCTCGCTTATCAGGGACGGTTTCAAAAGCAGAGGTGCGACAGAGGAGGCTGCAGAGATAATGGCGAAATCAATCACGGAGAAAACCATGAAGCAGTATGCAAAACCGATCCATCTATGGTGGGAACATTGTCGAGACAATCGCTGCAGCCCGTTTCATTGTTCGACGTCAGAATGCCTAAAGTATTTTACGAAAATTAACGAGAGCACAAAATCCTACAGTACTCTAAATGTACATAGAGCAGCTCTCTCACTTCTTATGGGCAATGAGCTTGGAAATAACGCAAGTATTAAAAGATTCTTCAAGGGTATTGCTGTCCTAAAGCCGCAGAAAGCAAAATATAATACCACCTGGGACCCGAAGCCGGTGCTGGATTACCTCTCATCTTTTTATCCTATTAACAATCTTACACTCGAAAAATTAACGAAAAAACTGGTTACAATACTTGCCTTGTGTACTGCACAAAGAATCCAAACTCTAACGCTGATTGAACTACAAGACATTAATCTGAGAACAGAGCCTATTACAATAAAAATCCCCGCACGAATAAAAACGACGAGGAGAAATGGCTACCAACCTTGTCTACAAATCCCGACCTTCACAGATAAACCTGAAATATGCGCCGCTACCACGCTTCGAGAATATATCCAAGTAACCAAGGCACTTAGACAAGGCAACCAGGAAAATGGAAAACTACTCATTACCGTCAATAAACCGCATCGACCTGCAACTGCTCAAACAGTCAGTCGCTGGATTAGGGACACTCTACAAGCCAGTGGTATAGATACGGAGACATACACCGCTTATAGCACTAGGCATGCGTCAACGTCAACCGCTGCCCGTCGAGGTGTAAACGTCGACTTAATTTGCAAAGCAGCTGGTTGGACAGCGAATTCTTCAACGTTTGCACGGTTTTATAACCGTCCCATTGTAAGTGAGGCTTCTTTCGCAGAAGCAGTCATTAGAAATTAAAAAAAAAAAGAAAAAAAAAAAAAAAAAAATCCTTTTATTTTATCACTATAATAATGTTTAAATAATCAAACGAACTGTTTCGTATTTATATATTTCGTATTCTTACAACATTGTTTCTAAAATATAATTAATAAAAATTATATGTTTAATTCAACAAAAACGCAAAACAGAAAAATCATTATTCACTTTAAAAATCTACCTGTGTGATCTAGAGGACGAGGCGGCGAAGTACAATTGAACGATTGAACGAACTTACCTAAAGTGAAGTTCAATCATAATTGTATAAGCCGCCTCGTCCTCTAGATCAAACCCACCACTCCCATAAACAAAAGTTGTTAATTTACCCGGTCATGATTTTTATTGCAACTGTTTTGCTAAACTTTCAAATGTAATGACGAGCAGAGGGCTAGATAATAGGACGCCACCTGTTGGAGGCGCTAAAAGTTTTTAACTTTGAAATTATTGTGGCGGAACGTATAATACCACGGTACTACCTGTGTGATCTAGAGGACGAGGCGGCTTATACAATTATGATTGAACTTCACTTTAGGTAAGTTCGTTCAATCGTTCAATTTTCCCAGGAATTCAAAGAATATTCAATATAATTTTAATAAAATTTCTCGAAAGAATTCAATTATTTTTAAAGAATTTTAATAAACTGCGTTGCAAGAAATTCAATTATTTTTAACATAATAAATTTTAATTTATTAAATTCTTGAAAACAATTTAATTTTCAAAATTTCTAATAAAATTCTTCCCAAGAATTCAATTGTTTTCAAATATTTGAATAAAATTCTTTCCAAAAATTAAATTATTTTAGATTCAAAATTATAAAAATTACAAAAATTATTACTTTATTTATTTTAAAATTCAAAACAAATTGTTAATTAAATACAATTTATCTTCTTTTTCTCTATTTTGTATCAATTGAATTTCTTGTTACTGGAATTTTTTTGCTATGTTTGAAAATTTTACCTGTCAGTGCCACTAAAATCTGAGACGAAGCTTGGGAACTTTTGTAAAATATTCTTGAAGGCATTTTTTTGTACTTGTTTTATATTTCTAATTTACAATATAGTTTGAACTTATGGCTTATTTTCATTTATATAGATATTTATTTTATATTCACTTTTTTTAGTTTTTAATTTATAATTTTTCTATGCTTTAATTTTGTGTTTGGGTTTTTAATTTTATCAATAATAATTTATAGATATCGATATTTATAGACAATGTTGACTTGACATTTTAAACTAAAATATTTTATGACTTTATCTTCAATTGGTTTAATAATTTGTTTTTTATTTATTTATCTTTTTTTTGTAAAAGAATAATTGTAGTATAATTTTTTTGCAAGTTGCTTTATTTCCGCACTTATTTAGATTAAAAAAATTATTTGTTTTAAATAATATATTATTTCATGTTTTTCCTTGCACGCACAAGTACATTTTTTCCCACTCTTTCTTCAAAAATGTAAAGAAAATATTCTACAGAATCGAATGTATGTACTATCTTTTACATAATTATTAAAACATAAATTTGTTTTGTTATCTATTACGTGCTTGTTTTTCATAAATTTGTGTTCATAATAGTAAAATACAAGTTTAGAAGGTCACTTTTAAATTCAATTTCTTTTCTGATTGACAAATCATATAAATTTTTTTTTTTAAATTAAATAAGTTTTTTATTCTTTTCAATTTTTTCATGTTTTTAAAAATTCTGTATTTATTTTTTTTCAAAATTATTTTAAAACAAAATTTTCGTCTATTTTATTTATCTCTTTGGAATTTTTATTTTTGTACAAGTGTAGATGATTTTAAGCTGCAAAAAATTGAATTTGAAAATTTAATATTAACCGACAGTTGATCAATTTAAAAAAAAAAAATTGAAACAATTGACGGAATCTGTTAGAAATATAGCTCCATAAGATAATTGTTATCTGACCCTTTGTAACTTAAGTGGGGATTCAGTAAAGTAGATTAAAGTCTCAGTCCTAGAAAAGTATTACACAAAACAATGTGACTTAAAATTGTCTCTCTTGAAAAATTCACTTTAATTTTATCTGCACTTTCTCGTTAAAATTGGCGTATTCAAAATCAATTTAAAGGTACATAATTATTTAATTATCATTATTGTTTTCCAAAAATTATTCGTCTATAGCATTTTTTTTTTATTTTTTTCTTTCTTATCTAAAAAATTAATATGTAATTAAATTTAAAAAAAAAAATTAAATTAAAAATTTTTTTTTATGTACTTTAAAGAAAAACCTTATTTTATTTTTCTCTTTCTGGAAAAAAATAATTAAATTTCAATTGTAATTTAATAATCATACGTTATTATACATTCTTGAGTTGAACTCCTCTTCAGATTAGATATATTTACATTCAAACATTGTGTACGTTCAAAATGATAAATTCTTCTCCGGGGAGGATAAGATAATATGTTATTATCAATATTTATTCTAACCTTATTCAAATTCTATTAAATTTATTTTTAGTTTCTTTCTATACTTTTAATTTCTTTCTGTATTTTTAGTTTCGTTCTATATTTTTATTTTCTTTCAGATATTCCTTGTTTCGAGTGGCAAAAAAACATGATGGGAATTTATAAAAATTTCCTTCTACTTTTAATCAGTTTATTACTGATTGATGCAAAATCATTGCATGTCAATAATAAGTCGGAGAAAAATTCAGTTGAAGTTTGTTCATTACCGGACAGTTTAATTGAAGAAATTGAATCATACGAAGAAACTGTTAATGAAATTGTAAAAACAGCTGTCAATGGCACATTGAAAGGTTTCACATGGAAGGAACTTGAGTTTTTTGTCGACAAATTTGGTTCTCGATTCACGGGCACGCAGAATTTGGAAAATTCTATAAATTACATGCTCGAGAAATCGAGGAATTTGAGTTTGGAAAATGTTCACGGTGAACCAGTTATGGTACCGCAATGGGTCAGGTAAATATTTGATTTTCATTTCATTAATAACAAGAATTTCAAATTTAGTTCTATGGAAATTTAATTTTGCGAATTAATTTAATAGAATAATTGAATTTTATAAAAATTTAATTCTATAAATTAATAGAATAGAATAGAATTTTATTCATTAATGTTACAAATTATTGTTTCACATCCTCTTCCAGCCTTTGGTTTCTTATTCACACTTACATAAACATATAATATAAAATATTAATATAGTATATAAATATATATATATATGTCAATACACAAAAAGAAATTATAAATTACATTTACATTAATACTCTCTTACGTAAAATTGTTTCTAGTTCATTTAGATTCTTACACAGGTTTTTATCACAATTGCCTTTCAATCCCTCAATTAGTCTACTCCTCCAAAGTTCCTTTGCACTTTTGCCTCTCCAATCTTGCCACCATGTTTTGGAGTCTGCTTTTAGCTCTTGGAGAACGGTATCACATTGGACTACGTGTTCCAAAACTTCTTTTTCCGACCTGCACCCTCTGCAGGATCTATCTGAAAAGCCCTTTTTCTCTTCTTTTATTGCATTTCCACATCTCCATCTAGCCCAGCCCTCTTTTTGACTTTTTGACATATCTTTCCTCCCCCAATATACCTCCATGTTTATTCCTTCTTTAATTGATTTGTAATATTCACAAAAGGACGATTTATCCACCTTTGACCAGTCCGTTTGTACGTCTTGTTCCAATTTAACTTTAATTAGCTGCCTAACTCTTGCCTCGACTTCCTCCACTGGTTTCCTATCCCACAGTTGATTAATAATCTGACCGTCTCCTAGACTCTTCAAGCACCGTTCCAAATCTTTCCCCCACTTGGATGGATTGTTGTTCTTAATTGCCCTAATTTCTTCCATCAGACACTTCCTTACCCACCTGTTTTCTTCCATTTTGTATATTTTTATCATGAAGTTGATCGATCTTTTAAATGCTTCGATCTCAATGCTCCTTCTTCCTGCCTCGAGCTTCCAGATATAGTCTGGCGTGTTCTTTGCTAAACCCATACTCATTTTAGTATATTTTCCCTGCAACCTCTCCAATTCCTCTCGTCTGCTCCAACCCCACAGTTCTACACCGTACATAGCTCCTGCTTTCACTGTTGAATCCATAAAGTAGAGTTTCCTTCTTAAGTCAGTGATTCCCGCCCTCATAGTCTCCCCCCAGACTTTATTTATCAGCAGTTGCGTCTTTCCTATTGCCTTATTTATATGTGCTTTGTAACTATTCTTGGTAGTGAACCAAAAACCCAGATATTTAAACTTTTGTACAATTTCCAATTGCACTTCTTTATACTTCCACTCTTTTTTACTTCTCCTGCCTCCATTACTAAAGACCAAAATCTTCGTTTTGTCCGTGTTCACTTCCAGCTGGTTTTCATCCGACCACCTTTCTAAAGTCTTCAGCATCCTTTCCAGTTCCTGGCCGTCTTCCGCTAACAGCACCACGTCATCAGCGTATATGAGTACAAATATTTTCACTCCATGATTTGAGCCTGATCCTACCGCCGTTCCTCCTTCCTTCTTTTCAGTCAGCGTTTCCTCCAGATCGTTTATAAAGATGTTGAAAAGTATTGGACTTAGTGGACAGCCCTGGCGTACCCCGTTATTTGTTTCAAACTTTCCTGTCACCTCCCCATCTATTAGAATTCCGTTCCAAGTTGTTCTATAAATCTCTTTCGTTACTTCTAAGAATTTTCCTTTAATTCCCATATCTTCCATCTTTTTCCACAATTTCTTTCTATTAACTCTGTCAAAAGCTTTTTTGAAATCAACAAAACATGTGTATAGTTTGCCGCCCTTTCGCCTTAGTCTATTGCCTATCAATGTGTTTAAAACAAAAATATGTTCTGCCGCTCCTCTTTTGCTTCTGAAGCCCCCTTGCGCCTCCGTCAGTTTATTTTGTTCTTCTAGCCACGCTCCTAACCTACTAGCCATTATTGTAGCCAGGATCTTATATCCAATATCAAGTAGAGAGATCCCTCTATAATTGCCTACTTGATTCTCGTCCCCACTCTTGTAAATAGGGAAGATAATTGCCATTCTCCAATCCTGCACAATTTCTCCTTTTTCCCAGATTTCTTTAATTAAGTTATACAGCTCTTCTTTACCGTTATCAGACAGGTTTGTCAAAAATTCCGTTGTAATGCCGTCCTCTCCTGCTGCTTTTCCTGCCTTCAATTTTCCCATAGCCTTCTGCACTTCTTCAAATTCCAGAGGTTTATTTAAAGCTTCTGATTCTTCTGCCATCCCGTCCTCTCTTGGTTCTTCTCTTTTTCCCTCTCTTTCCATTTCTTCAATCCCCTCAGGTTGCTCATTCAACAAGTTCTCAAAGTGTGCCTGCCATTCTCTTCCACTAATATTATTTTCTATACATTTCCGTTTCTTTCTGAACCAACTCATCGCTCTCCACCATTCCGACAAATTTTTGCTTTCTTGCACCTGTTTCTGTTTGTCATCTATCCACTTTTTTATTAGTTCCTTTCGTAGTTTTGCAGTTTCTTTCCTGCATGTCAAATATTCCATTTTGCTGCTCCAATCCCTTTTCTTTCTAAAAACGTGTAATTTTTTAAAAAGTTTCTTCCTCATTGTTCGATATTGACCATTGTCCCATCCATCTTCAAACGTTCTAGCGTAGTTTCCTTTTGACGTCATATTTACTTTTTCTGCCGTTTCATTAATTATCTGTTTAATTTTCTGCCACTTCGTTTCTATGCTAATAGAGTCCTCTATTCCTTCCATAGCTGCTACTGTTTCTTCTTTAATTTTCTCCCATATTTTGTCACTCACTTCTTTGTATTCCTCTCTTCTAGCCGCTTTCCATCGGAGTTTATATTTAGTTCTCTTCCTCAGATTCTCTGTGTTCTCTTCTCTCCTTGGGTCTCCCCAGTCTAATCTGTAAAATACCATTAGATGATCGGAGCCTTCCTGTGGAGATATCTTTAGTCCCTTGAACCATTCTGGTATGTTTTCTTCTTCCATTTTAATCAGTACTAAGTCAAGTACACTTCCCAGTCCCATACCATGTCCTACACATGTTATTTTTCCTTCCTCGTCTCCTTCAGCTCTGCCATTCATGATCATCATCGTTCTCCTTTCACACCAATCTATAAGTTTTTTGCCTTCTTGTCTAATTTCCTTATCTTCAGACTTCCTAAGTGGCCATTCGTTTACCTCGTCCATCCCACAATTTGCTACGCCTTGCTCTTCACCTATTCTGGCGTTTAGATCTCCTGCTACAATTATTTTTGCTTCTGTGCCTTCTAGATCATCAAGCTTTTCGTCTAAAACTTTCAAGAATTTCTTAATGTTTGAGGCTTTGTTATTGTATCCTGTGATTATTATATAATTAATCTTATTGTCCTTTTTAATGTCTATTTGCAAACCGAATTCCCATTCTGTTACTGACCACTCCATCTTCAGTTTCTTTTTTATTCCTATTAATTGCCCACCTCCTGCTCTTCCTCGTCCTGATTTCTCTCGGGTTGCTGCTTTTCCTTGCCACCAATAATTTTTGTTCAAACTCTTTAAAACCTTTTCCATTTTATCTTTTTCTACAAAGGATTCTTGAATAACTATCACATCTCCTCCTTCTAAAGCTTTCCAATTTTTCCTTAAATTACTTAATCCTTGAGAATTGAATTGAATTATCGTCAGCTCCCTAGCTTTCTGCTCTTTTTCTTTAGTCTCGAAATCTCCGCATGTTCCGTCTGTCATCTTTTTCCTGGCATAATCTTAATTCCCCTTCCAATTCATCCCACTTTAGCCAAGTGCCTTCTATTTGTATCATTTGATACACGACTTTTGATTCTTTCCCTCTTTGTCTCCATCTATCAGCCTCCTCTTCCAGGAAATCTTGGATATCTTTCTGTCGATCTGTTAGATCATCCATGATCCAAACACCCCATCCTAATCGATTCAATTTCCTTTTTTCTCTCATAATCTCCCTTTTCTTTGTCCATTCTTCTAAAGTAATTCTCCAACCATTTTTAATTCTTTCCATAGCGTTTACTCTTACCTCTATTTTCAACACATTCAAGATCCAACGCTCGAATTCCTCTTTCCGTTCCCTTGTTGTCAATGTTAGACCTATCACTATAATGTTTTTCTTCCTCGCCCACCTTTCCTTCTTCTCTACTTCCCAGTTTTCCTCGCCTAGCTGTATAGGTTGATTATTATTTGTCGGAGTTGGATTTGCACTTTCAAATTCTGCCCATTGATTACTCAAGTCATTTTCTCTTCCTGTTTCCTCGTGTCGTGTCTGTGAACGTTGTTGCCCTGTTGTATTCGACATATTTGATCTATCATGTTCGAGAAAGTTATCTTTCTGTAGAGTTTGCCTATTGTTTATATTTTTGTATTCTCTCTCCTTTCTCATAATTTCCTTTACGCAGGTTAATTCTTCGTTTTGGTCTTCGATTAGTTTATATAATCTTTTAATCTCCTCCCGGTATTTTGTATTCTCTCTTTTTAATTCCTCGTGGAAATTTTGTTTTTTAATTTCTTCTTCTTTTCTCTCCTTCAAGTCCTTCCTTATCGTCTCAAATTCTGTTCGCATAAGACTTTCCAATTGTGCCAATCGCGACTCCCACTTTTCTTCTATTTTAGATTCCCAATCCCTTCTATCTTCCTCCGGACAATCTTTTTTTCCTTCCTCATTTGCCTTGTATTTTGTATCTGTTTGAGTAGTCTTGTTATGTATATTGTTTTTCTGTGGTGTTCTTATTAATTGTTTCGTCGTTACAAATACATTATCAGCTTTTTCGCTAAAAGTTTCCTGCCTTTGGTTAGAATTGACATCCTCAGTTTGCAAGCCATTCCCGGTCACAACCTTGGGATTGTCTTCTCCTTTTTGTTTTTCGTTTTCATTTACCTGTTTATCTTTGCCTTCTTCGATTTCATTGTCACCTCCGGCCTTTGTACTACTAAATCCTTTCCAATAATTCTCTAGATTCTTCATTCCTGTTTCTTCTTTTCCGTTTTCTCCTTTTCTCGGTCTGCCTCTTCTCCTTTTTTTGCCTATTTCGCCTGTTCCTTCTTTATCCTCTGCGACAGTTTCCTCAAAAGATATTAAATCTCGTAAGTCACTCGTGAGTTCTTTCGATGCACTCTGGATGGCGCTCGCGTCGCTCGGTTTCTCTCCGGAAGTCCCAGAAACCGACTGAAGCGCCTCCAAATCACTTATCATCAAATCGTTCATAACCTCACTTTCTAAGTTTCTACACAAAACACTTCGTCCTACACAACACCCCGCACAACACTTATTACGGCTATCCAGTCCACAACCCTTTATTTAATCGTTCACAACACTTTTATGTATCGTAACAACCAGAAAGCCCTTTTTTTACGGATATAGCGAGAGCGTTTCTCGAGACGCGTGCACATGCCACTTTACTCAAACCGGAAGTCTCTATAAATTAATTTATATGCATAGAATTTAATTTTACGGAAATTCAATTATTTTACAGGATTGCCACAAAAATTTAATTTTGTTTTTCCCTGATTTCCAGATAAAATTTACACTTTTTCCTTGACCCTAAAGAATATTCTGATTCACTCTAAAAATAATTAAAAATGTTCTAGGATTACATTAATTATTTACGAATTTCTTTAATTGGAAAATTATTTGAAAAAATCAATAACTTCTTTTTTAAATAAATATTGAATTATTATTATTTTTCCGTAAGAATTAAAATTCTTCAAAACATTCAAATTCAAAACTTTTTTAAATTCAACAAGTTACAATAATTAAAGATGACTGAGTAATAAAATCATTATTTTATAATTATTATAATTATAAGAATTTCATATTGTAAAATGGAGATTTTCAAAGATTTTAATTTGAAACCTTTACAAAATTCAATTATTTCTAAAAATTCGAATTCTTATAGTAACTTCTCCAAAATTTTAAAATAATTAAATTCTTTTGACGAATTTTAATAACGTTTTTAAGAATAATTACATTTCTCGAGGAATTCGATCAAAATTGTATTAAAAATAATAGAAATTCTGCAATGAGTTTTATTATCAGGGTGTCTAACAAGGATTGAGAAAATAATTCCCTGACTTTTCGGGCTCTTTAAAAACACTTTACTTATTTGATAGTCTCTATCCTTTGATAAAAAATTTAAAATTATTAAAAATTATCAAAAATTCGAAAAACCGAATTTCTTAAAACTCAACATTTTTTCTTCTCTTTTATGGCATTTAGACTCACTATTTTTGGGCTCTTTAAAAACACTTTACTTATTTAATAGTCTTCACCCTTTGGTAAAAAATTTGAAATTATTCAAAATTCTGACTTTTTCCTGATTTCCCTGACCTGTGACATCCCGATTTTAATTTTAATTAATTTTTAATTTTTAAATTAAAAAAGTGTTACAATTGTTTTTTTCTTTTTGAAGGGGTTCAGAATCAGCAACTCTTCTTCTACCTCGTCTGAAGGATATCGCGCTTTTGGGACTCGGATATAGTATTGGAACACCGATTGGTGGAATTACAGCATCGGTGATAGTTGTTCGAAGTTTTGCCGAATTGAAGCAAAGAAAAAATGAGGTAATTCTAATTATTTTGATTTAATGTCAAGAACAAGAGAAATTTTTTCTCAACACTTTATATATTTTAATTTTTTTAAAAATTTTGAATTTCTATTTTTTTTAATTCTTTTAATTTAAGATTCCGGGCAAAATTGTCGTCTACAATCAAGAATTTGAGACGTATGGAAAATCGGTGAAATATAGATCTCGAGGTGCTAGTGAAGCAGCAAAATATGGAGCTGTTGCTGCTTTAATACGCTCAGTGACACCATTTTCCATGTACACACCTCATACTGGAATGATGTCGTATGCGGAAAATATAACGAAAATTCCAGCAGCTTGCATTACTGTCGAGGATGCAAAACTTTTGTATCGACTTCAAAAAAGGGGTAAGAGTTTGTTTTTTTTCTCTGAATCTATATAAATAAAATGATTCTTTAATTAAAGTTATTCTTTATTTTTGGATTTTTCAAAATAAAATAATTATATTTTCTTATTTTCGAAATTCAAATAGAGAACTGAAAATTCTCTTTATTTTTGAATTTTTCAAAATGAAATTATTATATTTTTGTATTTTCGAAATTCAAACGGAGAACTAGACATTTTATTTATTTTTGGATTCTTAAAACCAAAATAATTATATTTCTGTATTTTCGAAAATCCCACAGAGAGAATAATCTTTATTTTTAGATATTTCAAAATGAAATTATAATATTATTATATTTTCGAACTAAAATTACATTATTTTAAAACATTTTATAGAGATTTTATAAGAATTCAATTATTTTTAATTAAATTCTACAAAAGAATTTAATTATGTTTAAAAATTTTAATAAAATTCTACTTTAGAATTAAATTATTTTCAAAAAATTGAAGTAAAGACTTTGAAAAAATTCAACTACTTTTATAAATAAATAATATTTATCACAGGAATTCCATTTTTTTTTATAGATTTCAATAAAATTCTTTACGGAAATTCAGTTATTTTGAAAAATTTTGAAAAGTCTTTAGAGAGATTCAATTATTGTAATTCCAATTTCAATTAAATTCCTCGAAAGAACTGAATTATTTTCAATACAATTTTAATCGAAAGAATTTAATTATTTTAAAGATTTTATTAAATTCTTCGCAAAAATTCAATTATTTTGAAAAATTATGATACAATTGTATATAAGAATTCATTTATTTTCAATGCAATTATAAAACAATTCCTCGAAAGAATTCAATTATTTTCAGAAAATTTAATAAAATTACTAGGAAGAATTCAATGATTTTTAAAATCAATAAAATTCTTCGCAGAAATTCAATTATTATCCATACAATTTCGATATAATTGCTCCAAAGAATTTAACTATTTTAAAAAATTTGAATGCCACGCTTAACCAAAATTATATTATTTTAAAAGATTTTATTAAGAGACTTTATAAAAAATTTTATTATTTTCTAATTTAGTAATGAATTCAACGCAGGAATTAAATTAATAAAATAAATAAATAAATACTTTGAAAAAATTCAATTACTTTCATAAATAATATTTATGGCAGGACTTCAATTTTATCAATATTTCTCAGCGAGAATTCAATTATTTTCATAATTGTAATAAAATTCTTTCCATCAATTCAAATATATTCAATACAATTTAGTTAATTAACTAATTCTAAAATCAACAAATGAATTTTAATTCCAATGAATTATATTTGATTAACATTAATTTGATTCAACAACTAATAATAAACTTTTACAGGCGAGCCTCTGAAGATAAAATTAAAAATGCAAGCGAAAATGCTGCCGGAATCGGAATCGCAAAACGCTATTGCTGAAATACAGGGAAATGTGGCACCCGAAAAAGTAGTTGTACTTTCCGGTCATATCGACAGTTGGGACGTCGGACAAGGGGCAATGGATGATGGAGGTGGTGCTTTTATTTCCTGGAGTTCTTTGGTGCTTTTGAAAAAATTGAATTTACGCCCGAAACGAACAATAAGGCAAGAAGTTTATTTTAATAAATTTTTTTGAAAATCAAAAAGACGAAAAAGTTTTATTTAATATTATTTTTTCTTTACAGAGCCATAATGTGGACGGCTGAAGAAATGGGCATAATTGGAGCCTCACAATATATTAAAAATCATGAAGCTGAGAGAAATAATTTCCAATTTCTCATGGAATCTGATTTTGGTACTTTTAAACCTCTCGGATTGGTTGTGAGTGGAAATAATGATGTTCAATGTATTGTTCAAAAAATCTTAAGGTTAGCAAACATTTTTCTGAAAAGGTATTAATTAATTAATGAAAAAAATAATTAACTATTAAACGTTTTCTATGTTTTTTCCTCCAGTTTACTGAAACCCTTAGGAAAGTTAAAAGTTCAAAAAGGAAGTGATGGCCCAGATATTGGAGAATTATTAAAAATGGGAGTACCAGGCGCATCATTAATGAATAAAAATGAGAAATACTTTTGGTATCATCATACGCAAGCCGATACAATCGATATCTATAAAAATACTGCCGATCTCGATCAAAATACCGCTCTTTTTGCTGCCGTTGGATTCGTAATGGCTAATTTAAGTATTGATCTTCCTCACGAAATTCTTTCTCAATAATTCCTCATTAACTCATTAATTTCTCATTAATATACAAAAATATGTAAACAAAAATCTCTCTATATTTACGAAAAAAATGATTTCTTCAAATATATGAGGTAATTTCTTTTTATTATAACAATTAACAGTCTCCAGTTATTTAATAATTTACCAACATTTACATAATTTTGTAAAAATGTACATACTTTTACAATTAATATGTATATTTACTTTCTATTAATTCAAACATCACAAAATAGCTACAAATTTTCGTTGCTAATATTTTTTTTTCTGTAAAAATTTCCAAATAATCATTTTAGGAAGTGAAAGGGGGAGGGAGGGGTTTACTCTACAGGGTTAATGTTTCTCATAGTTTTTTTCTTATCACTTACAATAGTACTAAATAATCAATTGTTATTTGATTGAAAATTTATTAGAAACTTTTAAAATTTAGAAAATTATTAACATTCACCAATAAAATAACAATTAATTAGTTTCATTATACGGGGAGTACATTAAAATGTACAATATTGGACGAAAATGTTTTCTCATCATCATTATTTTTGTTTATAAATTAATACTATAATTCTAAATATAATCATTTTAAAACATAACTTTGGATAAACTCTGTTTCTTTCTTAACTTTATATTTAAAAACAAAAATTAAATTTTTTGTGTATTTGATTTTTTATCTTAAATTTAATTTTCAATGAAATTTTACAATTTTTAAAACTATTTCTCCTGTTTATAATTTCTGTTGTTTTTCTATCATTTGATGGAAAAATTAATAAATTTTTATAATAAAGAAAATTGAAAAGTAATTGTCTTTTTTTTACTCACATCCGATACTTGGTTGAAAAATTCTTCAAATGTCACTTGAGTAGGCCATTTTGAATTACAGTCATCACAGTACGTATTTTTTTCTATTTTTGTTTTCAAAATTAGGTGAATATTTCTGTAAAGTGTTATAAATGTTCCTATAAAATAAACAAATAAACAAATAATTAGTGTATAATGAATCAATCAAAAAAAAATCAAATAATAATCAAACGAATAAATCAAATAATGAAATAAATAATCAGAAATTACTATAAAATGCTTTTTTTTATAAAATTAAATTTTTTTTTATAAAATATTTAATGTAAATGATAAATTTAAATTGATTTAACAGGGTTGCCAAGAAAATTTAATTTTTCCCCTAATTTTCGGACAGAATTTTCAAATTAAAATTTTCCCCTGAACATAAAAAAATATTAAATTATTCGAAACATCAGTAATTTCGTTTTTAAAAAAATATTTAAATAATTACTGCGGGTATTATTTTTTCACAGGAATTAAAGATTTTCAAAAATTTTAAATTGAAAACCTTCTAAAACTATTGAATTATTTATAAAAATTAAAAAATCAATTATTTTTAAATTAAATAATTTCATAAAATTTCAGCAAGAATCAAGTTATTTAAAATTGAATTCAATTTCATCTTCTGTAAAGTTCAATTATTGTCTGAAATAGAGAAAAGTTAGGGTTTTTTTTATATTAAAATTCGTGGTAATTTAAAAATTTACAAGGCAAACAAAAAAATGTCAAGAAGAATTAAATTGAATTAAATAAATCTAATTTTTTAGACACAAAATTAATTATTTTTTAATATTTTAAAAAAAATCTTGCCAAATTTCATTCATTTGAATATTTTTTAATTATAAATAATTATAAAATTTAATATCTTTTAAAAATTCTTTGAAACTATTTTCAAAAGACTAATTTTAAGTATTTCCTTTTTATAATTTTCCAAAAATCATTTATTCTCAATATTTTCAAAATAAAACAATTTTTGCAACGAATATTATTAAAATTTTTTAAAATAACTAAATGTCTGCGAAAAATTTTATTAATTACGAAAATAATTTAATTTTCATAATTAATTTTATCAAAATTTTCCAAAGTAATTGAATTTCTAGGAAGAATTTTATTTTATTAAAATAATTTGAACTTTTGAAAAGAATTTTATCAAATTTTTATAAAAATAATTGAATTCTTTTGAGAAATTAAATTGAAATATTGAAAATAATTTAATTCTTGGAGAATTTTCGTGAAATTGTTAAAAATAATTTACTTAAAGAAGAATTTCAATAAAAAATTATAAAATTTATTATCTTTCAATAATTCTTTTAAAATATTATTAAAAGACTATTTTGAAGTATTTCTTATTGTTTATAATTTTTCAAAAATCAGTTATTTTTAATATTTTTCAAATAAAAAAAATTTTGCATCGAATTTTATTAAAATTCTTTAAAATAACTAAATGTCTGCGAAAAATTTTATTAATTATGAAAATAATTTAATTTTATTTATAAATAACTTTATCGAAATTTTTCAATGTAATTGAATTTCTAGGAAGAATTTTTTATTTTATTAAAATAATTTGAACTTTTGAAAAGAATTTTATCAAATTTCTATAAAAATAATTGAATTATTTTGACAAAATTAAATTGAAATATTGAAAATAATTTAATTCTTGAAGAATTTTCGTGAAATTGTTTAAAATAATTTACTTGAAGAAGAATTTTAATAAAAAATTATTAAATTTATTATCTTTCAAAAATTTTGTTAAAATATTATTAAAAGACTAATTTAAAGTATTTGTTGTTATATAATTTTTCAAAAATCAGTTATTTTCAATATTTTCCAAAGAAAACAATTTTTTCATCGAATATTCTTGGAAAATTTTCGTGAAATTATTAAAAATAATACAGTTTTTATTTTTAGAAGTATTTTTGATAAAAGATTGTAAAAAATATAATGAAATTTGGGAAGAGTTACAGTTTCTATTTTTAGAAGAGTAATTAAATTTCAGAAAGTCTGAAAATAAAATTTCAAAAATTTTAATTCTTGTTATTTATTTGGGAAAACAAATAAGTATTTAAATATTTATATAAGAAAATCTGTAGCACTTTTTGAAAAAAATTCTCTGACTTTTCCCTGAATTTCCTGAGTTCCCTGCTATGCCCCGGGGCAACCCCGTTTTCTTTTATCAAAAACAAAAAGTATTTGTAAATATTTTCAAAAAACTTATCAATTGAATGATTAAAAATTAGCTAGTTCTTTAAACAAGTTAATTAGTATTTTACTCCATAATTACTGAAGTGATTAAACTAAATAGCATCTAATTAATTATTTTCTCCTGATAATTTTCCTCATGAATAAAAAAAGAATTATTTGAAAAAACAAAGTAGATAATTATATTAAAGTATCTTCATCCTGTAGTTGTAAATTAGTCGTTTTTTCACTATTAATACCATTAATGGAACAATCGGGAGAGCTTCCTTGCATGTAATTAGTTGCCGTGCTGCTGGTGGGCGATGCCAATGGTGGTCCTTGCATAAGTGAAATATTGTACGATTCTCGATAACCAGACGTACTCGATGTGTCCTCATCAAAGGAGACATCAGACTGTGGACGAAGATGATGATGATATTGAGATGAAGAGGAGGACTGAAGAGTTTGCTGTTGACTGCCACTATGCTGATCAGACAAATTGCTCTTCTCCCCCTCCGTCTGCCTCATCGAGAAGCTTCGTCTGGAACGAATTGAAGACGTTTCTGATGGAATGATGACTGTTTGTTCGGCTGATGGTGTGACGGATGTTGTTGGTGTTGAGGGTGGTGATGATTCTTGTTCAATTTTCGTTTGTAAAATCTAAAACACATTTATCTCAACTGAAAAATTTGTTATTGTTTTTTTATTTTGTTTCTCAATTTCTTTTTTCATTCTAATCAATTAAGATATTTAGTGTTTCAGTTTTAATCTTTATTTTTTGATAGAGATAAAAAAAATCATTTTTTTTTGTTATAAAAATTATATTTTTATGAATTTATGATATGAATTTTCTTTTTCTTTTAGAAAGGAAAGCTTACTTGAAAATCATGCGGTAGATGAAAGTTTGTGTCCAGACTGTGATGAGAATGAGGAGGAAAACTGAGTTCTCTAGAGACCTAAAGAGAAAATTTTGTGATTTTTGTTTTTTTTTTAAGAAAAGAAGAAATAAGAAAGTGGTTGATAATTTTACCTCAATGTGAGCTCTTCGACTCTTCTTTAGACGAAAGGTCCTCCGTTGCAATCGTGGAGGACTGTTCGGACTCAATTGACTCGTCACAGTCTCGCCTGTGAATTAAATTATATTTCATGAATTTTTTTTTTGTGGAGAAAAAAATTATTTTTTTGCTTCTATTCTAGGACAGTTCTTTCGTCATGCAAAGATTAATAAATCCCATTCAGAAAAGTCAGGAAGGACCATTTCTTCCCTTTGATAAAATGAATCTTATCAAAATTCACTCTGTAGAATAAATTTTTGAAAAATATTTTTCTATTTTTTTATTGCTTTCTTTTTTATTACCTTACTTTTTATTATTTTCTTTTTTATTACCTTACTTTTTATTGCCTTATATTTTATTGGTTTATTATTTTTTTTCATTTATGATTGAAATTCTTTTGTAGTTTCAATTTCTTCAAAGCGAAATTCCCCATAATTTATCAAACCTAAAAAAATACTGTAATTTCACCTTTTGGAAAATTAATTATAATTTTAAATTTCAAATTCAAATTTTCTGCCAATTTTTAAACAAAAGTGAAGAAATCGTTGGCGATGGGAAATTAATAATATCCTATAAATTACAACGAACGAAAATGGATGATCTATAGAAGAATCATGCAAAGTTTCAGTTCGTTTGTGTATTTTGGTGCGACAATAAATTATGCAATGATCGCTAAAATGATTTTATGAGAGTTTATTTTTCTCCTTTTAAGATTTCAGAAATTTCTTTAGTTTTTTTTTTTTTTTTTTTTTGAAATTTTCTTTGGAGGGGAAAATTTTTCAGGATTTATAGAAAAAAAAGGAAGAGTGGGATTTTAATACTTGTTTTCTTTTCCTTTTTTCAAAAAAAGGGAATTAAAAAATTCTTGGATGCAGGATTATTTTAAGGGGGATGATTTACCTGATGAATGTCTATACTCTACAGAAGAGACAAAGCGCAGTTTTGGCGCCTTAGAAGTTGTTCTATCTGAAACATGCCACATTCAACATCTAATATGACAGGAAAAAAGGCAATCAGCGAAGAATAAGACAAAACACATTGCGTAGCAATCATTTTTTTTCTATTATTATGATTGTTCCAAAATGATTAAGGAAAAACAAAATCTTTTTAATTTTAATTCCAGTTCTCTTGGTTAAACAATAAAAAAATTTTCTGGAAGCTTTTTTTTCAGAATCGAAAAAAACTGTTCAAAATAAATTTGAAATAAAACGAAAAAAATTGTTCAAAATAAATTTGAAACAAAACGAAAAAATTATTTAAAATAAATTTGAAACGAAACGGAAAAAAATGGTTCAAAATAAATTTGTAACAAAACGAAAAAAATTGTTCAAAATAAATTTGAAACAAAACGAAAAAAGTTGTTCAAAATAAATTTGAAATAAAACGAAAAAAAATTGTACAAAATAAAATTTAAAAATTATTATTCTTGTAAAATTAAAAAAAAAATATTTTTAAACGAATGAAATCATCAAATCACAAAATAGGAACAAAAATTGTCCCGCCTGTAAAAAAAAAAATTCGTAATAAAATCAAAATAATAATAAAAATAAAAGCATCGATCAAGCTTTTTACCTTAATTACAGTAGATCTGTGAATTTATGTCCATCCTAATTAAATTACCTTCTACGCGGTTGCTTCGATTATAGTAAATTTCTTTTCGAAAATCCTCTTTATTTTTTAAATAATCTTTTTTGTGATAACATATATTGAAAGAGAAAAATAAATTTCTCTGAAATAAATCTTGAAGCTTTTTTTTTAAGCAACATAAGCTTGAGTGTAGCAATACAAATATTCAGAAGTAGTAGAACTGCAGATGAGATAATGATGATGATTTTGTTTTTAAAAAATAGACAACACAGATGTTTTTTGTTGTTTCTTTTTCATTGAAATTGTTAAACAATTTAAAAAAGCAAAGAAAAGTCGAAGCAACTACGCAAATGAAGAGCACTAAGAGATTAGGGTACCAACTGTTGGAATTTACCATTGTCTAATATACTGCTATTAATTTAGAGTAATTATAATGTAACGAATGTTACAGCGATGGAGGGGGCTGGGGTACGACAGTGACGTTACAAAATTTTGAGAAAAAAAAAGTATACAGGGTTTCAAAAAAAGGGTCACTTGAGGAAATATATAAACAGATCACAGATAATATTGGGTCTTAAACAGTTTAAAAAGAAATTAAAAAAGATTTAAAAAAGCATGGGGTACACAACATAAATATTTATCAGGGTTCGGAATTTTATGAATGAAAAAATTTTTTTTTTAAATAAAATAAAAAAAAAAGTTTTAGAATAAAACAAGTTTGAACTTTTTATCCACTGATAATTATCGAGTTAAAAGTTAAAAGATAAAAGATAGTTATCAGTTAAAAATTTTGAATAAAACTATTTTTCTATTTAGTTTATAAATATAAGAATTTTAATTAATTTTCAATTTTTTTACTATAACTTTAATTTAAAAAATTAGATCAATTTTTAATTTACTTTTACAAAAAAGATTATTTCGTTAATTAAAATTTTTTTCGCTACTTCTAAGCTAGCTACAAGCATTTGAGGTGTAAAGGTTTTTTCTAGAGTGCTTTTTCTAGAAGCTAACAGACAAATATTTTGAGAGTAGAAATAAATTTGTTTTTAAATTTATTTTTAAATTAAATTTATTTTACCCTTATATAATATAAAGAAAATTATTCCGAACCCTGTTTACAATAGGTAATAAAAAATATTAAAATTTCGTTGAGATAATTGATCTTACCTTTGTCCCCTAGCTGGCAATAGAAGTCACTCATTGATCAATTTTGTCAAGAATGAATTAACTTTCTAAACTAGACATTTTTTTACCAAATAAAATTCACAGTTTTGTAATTTAATAATTGAAAAAGAAAAGAAAATCAATTTTTTTTTTTGCAGCGTCCGATAGACAATGGCTTGATCCAACTGTGGTTGAAAAGCGAAATTCAAAATGCGACACTGTATACAATCAACAGCGCTGCTTTGAAACAATCTCTCAATTATTAAAAAATATATATATATAGCAAATAGCAAAAACATTGGCGCATTAAATTATTGTATTTTGAAAATTAAATCAAAAAATTTTTTTTAATGAAAAAAAAACTTTAAAAAAAGAAAGTCATAAACTCTTCTTTCCAAGAACCAAAAAATCTATCTTTTGAAATATATTTTTTTTTTATAAAATACAAAACCATTTTTGAATTTAAATTGAATAAGAAATGAAAGAAAAATCTTTTTAAAAAGAAAAATCGAAATGTAACTGAAAACCAGGAATTTTGAAATATTCATAGAAATTAGAATACCTGTTCCTGAGATTGGTTCAGATTGTCCTTCACCAGATGGACCGGTATCATTTCCATCCCGAAGAGTCGTTGATCCAGCGCTGACACTTGAAATTGATTCTAAAACAGAAATTTTCTTTTGTAAATTGTCTTCAATTTTTACTATTATAATTATTATTTTTAGTTAACAAGATTTTTATTTATTTTCTCTGTCCTTGTAACGAAAAAAAAAAAGAATTTAATTATTAGCAAGTGCCAAATTTTTTATTTATAACTATCTACTTCAATTTTCAAATAATTTTATATTCAAAATTAAACAAACTTCATTTATTAACAAATTAATTAACTTTTATTATTTACTATTTTCAATACAATTTTAATGAAATTCTTCTCAAAAATTCAAATATTTTTAGCTTTAATAAAATTCTTTATATTTTGATTTTTTGAATTCGATTATTTTCATTAAAATTTTAATTAAATTTCTCAAATAATTTAATTATTTTTTAAAATCTTAATAAAATTCTTCTAAACAGTACATTTATTAAAAAAATTTTTAATAAATAAAGTTCTTCTACGAAAATTATTTCCAATTCAAAATTATAAAAGTTACAAAAATTTTTGAAAAATTAGATTAAAAACATTTGAAAATTATTAAATTCTTTCATGGAATTTAATTGAAATTGTACGTACTAAAATTAATTGAATTCTTTAGAAAAATTTATCATGATTTTTAAAAATAGTTGAAATAATTCAAGGAATTTTAATACAAATGTTAAAAGTAATTAAATTCTATCAACAAATTGCTATTAAATTCGTCCGAAAATGTTTCTAACTTATGAAAGTAATTAATTTCTTACGACACATTTTATTAAAATTTTTTTAAATAATTAAATTATTTCGAAGAATTTTATTATAATTTTTTAAAATAGTTAAACTATTTAAAAAAATTAAATTAAAAATGTATTGAAAATATTTAAGTTCTAATAAAAAAATTTTACTAAACTTTTTGTAAATAATTGAATTCTTATAAGAGAAATTTTATTAAAATTACATTGAAAATAATTGAATATTCCAGTAAATCATTTCATTATTTATAAAAGTAATAAAATAAAAATATTAACAAAATTTGTAAAAATTCAAATTCAATTGCTTGGAAGGAAATTGAAATTCTTTCGAGGAATTTAATTCAAATTTCACTGAAAATAATTAAATTCTTCCAATGAATTTTATCATAATTTTTGATAATAATTTATTTCTTTCGTCGAATTTTATAAACAAATTTTTTAAATAATGAAATTCTTTCGATAAATATCATTTAAATGTAATTGAAAATAATTAAATTCCAATGAAAATTATATTATTTATGAAAATAATTGAATTCTTGCGTAAAAGTTTATTAGAATTTTGGAATATAAATAAATTGTTTCAAAACGTTTTATTAATATTTTGGAAAATAATTAAATTGTTGCAAAAAATTTTATTAATCTTTTGGAAAATAATAATGAATTAGTTGATAATAAGTGATTTTTTAAAAAATTTGAAATATGAAATAATTTAAAAATTGAAATTGATATTTGAGAATAAAAAAATTTGAAATTTGCATAAGAATAAGAAATTAAATACCGCGTTTCGGGCATATAACATTTTGGCTGGTGATAATATAATTATTAAATAATTTTATTTTTTACTGTTTACTTTCGTCACCTCGTTTAGTTGCTCCATTTATTGCCGACTGACCAACCAGCGTAGTTTTCGTAGTACTACTCGAATTAGTGGAATGATGAGACGAATGTCCAGCTGTGTGCTGTCCTGTCGATTGAGAAACCGGTGTTTCAGCTGGAGTACGATTTGAATGTGTTCTAGATCCAAGATCACCAGTGAGAAGATCAATTAGCAACGAAGGCCTCTGAGTTCTCGGTCCACCTTCATTCGTAATATGCATTTCCGCTACACTTCTCTTTGGTTCCGGTTGCATTTCATCTTCATAAAAATTAAAATTCGACAACATTTAAATTAAATTGCTAACAATTTATCTACATGATCGAAGGACGTATTTTTCAATTAATAAAAAATTGAGTAAAATTTCTGTCTATTTTCAAAAAGTAAAAAAATATAATAGAACTGATAATGATAAATATGATACTTTGAAATTTAATCTCACCAATTTTTCGACTTTCAATTTGTTCCTTCAATGTTTTCAAATCGTGAATAAGATCGGCGAGTAAAGTGCCACGAGATTTTGGTACACATGTCCAATCGCCGTTGATTTTCTCACGTATTATACTCTGCATATTGCGCTCGTGCTCGGATATTGGAGCTCGGCCAATTTTTTGCACGATAAACGGCATCATTTGAATGTAGAGTGGTGTGCGATGTGTTACGACAAATTCCAAAAAGTCCCATAAATACAATGACGCTTCATTTCTTTTATTTAATAACCTCATTGTTCGTGCAATTTTCGGCCACTCTGTTGTTAATTCCTTCTCGAAGCAAATTGTTATTATTTTCAAAGCTGAAAAAATGCAAGAAAATTAATTTCACTCGACTGAAAATTTTTATATATTAATTTCACTCGACTGGAAATTTTTATTAAGTCTTGAAAATTTAATTAAATATTTGAAATTGTAAATGAAATGTTAAATTAAAAGCAAAATTTTAAATTCTTAAGAAAAATAGAAATTATTAACTAAATAAATTTGAAACTATAATATAAAATTAGTTAAATATTTCATTTCGCTAGTTAAATATTAAAAAAGAAGTGGTGAATGAAAAAGTATAGAATTTAAAAGAAAATAGAAAATTCAAAAAATGGAAATAGAAAAAATAGAAAGAGAAAAAAAAATAAGGATAAAAAATATAATTACAATAATAAAAACAAATAAAAATGATATTTTACCTAAAAATCCAATTTGGTACAAAGTGATAGATATTTTCGTAGGAAGCTTAGCATCTCGAGCGGCGAAAGTCAAACTTCCGGCTCTCATATCCGGTGCTCCTTTTGTACTTTGATAATGAATTTGCAATGTTCTTGCCCCAGCTGGCCAAAGGGTATTCAAAACCGCCGTCAGAGCAAAAGCAATGTCCACAATTCTCAATTGTGGTACATCTATAAAAAAAAATTAACTTTATAATCTTGTCACTTTTGTTTCGAAATAAAAAATAAATCAAGTCGTTTATAAATAATTTCGGGGAGCTTTAAACCAAGACAGTCGTAAAACAAATTTTTTTCCGTCTTAACTGTTAAATTAAAAGCCAAATATTTAATCCCCGTCAAAAATAATATAAAATAAATAAAAACACCTTAAAATTATTTTCCACAGTTTAGAAAAAATACCTTGTCTTCCAGTGCCAACTCGTAAAAATAGCGGTATCAAAAAATTTAATAACATATTTTCCGTCCTCGTGTAATTCGCAAACATCCCATGACTTCCGCAGGCATTCTCCAGAGAATAGCCCTCGCCCAGAGAAATCACATGAAGGGAAATTAATCTCAACACAGTCGAGCAAAAATGTTGTGGAGGTATTTTCGACATTAAGGCAGTGGATGCTGCGGAAGTCATTTCAATTCCGGTTATATCGCCAATTATAATCGCCTGAAAATACGTTATCATGTTGAAAAATTTTATCTAACTAAATGAAAACTATTAAACAATATTTTATTTTCAACAAGAAAGAAGGATCTAAAAAAATTTATTAGATAATTATCAACAAGAAAGTAAAAAAGAATCTAAAAATTCTATTCGACAATAATGATTTTCGAAACGAAAGTAAGAAATCTAAAAAATATCTATACAATGTTCATTTTCAACAATTAAAAAACAATCTAAAAAAATCTGTTAGGTAATATTTATTTTTAATTAAAAAAATCTAACCAGAAATCAATTGTTTACTATTTATATTTACTTTTTTTACTATATTACTTTTATTATTTATAATATTACTTTTAGTATTTACTTTCAACAAGTAAAAAACAATTTGTAACTTACTTGACAAGTGGATAGGAGAGTTTTTAAATACTGAAAGTGAGCGATATACGGACATTTCAATAAAGTTTCATAAACTCCTTTTAATAGATCACTCGCGGCATCCCAATCAGTATTCCTCCTAATTGACGCTTTCTTGTAAATTTTACTAAAAGTTTTATCCAAACGTCGTAGAATCAAAGTTAGAGCCGGTCTTAAATCATCGCTCGACCATTCTGTCGATGGTAAAAGATCATTCATGTATCTCTTCAATCCTTTACAGGCCATTGTCTCTGGATCGTAGGGCGAAATTTTCAAAAGACTGTGCGCAATGTCAGCTAAGCGCTAAAAAAAATTTGTTCCCCAAAATTTGTTTATTTCGATTTTTTTTAAATTAAAGAATTAGAAAAATTTTAAATAAACTCACAACGTGACATTTGGAGTCAAGAATTTCAATGGTCTTTGCATCCTGTGATTTTTTATTAAGATCCACAAGTCGAGCAGTGCAACGAGCTGCAAAATCGCCGACCATATTCAACAAAGTGTCCCTAGGTCTTCGAAATTCACTTTTATGACAACTATCAGTATCGTCCATGTCACGTTCATAGAGACTTCGATTTTTATTGTGCTCCATGTACTTCACGTGCGTTTCATCCTCAAAATCAAAACCAGGCGAATATGGACCTTTTCCATAATTCCTCTGACTCGATCCTTTATGCTCTGGACTCAATTTTTGAGGCCTATTATAATACCTTTGGGGGAAAGCAAAAAAATTGGCAAATAAAAAAAATGGTAAATAAATCTACCAAACAGTAGACAAAATATTATTTTTCATTGTTTAAAGAAATAAATAAATTACTTTGTAAGAGTTTCGGAATTGTTGACTAAAGTCCTGACAGCAATGGCCAATTGATTAATAACTTCCTTTTCAGTTCGTCCCTCTCTATTGTAAGTTGGTTGCTGAATTTTTTGCACATAACACGGTAGAATAGCTTCTAGGATTGTCTGCGACAAAAGAAAACATTTTTTTTTTTCATTCGATTAGCGAAATATGAATTTAATTTCAAGAAATTACCAGCATCTGTTGTCCTCGAATTGAATCCGCTGAATATGCAATTACCATCACGCAAAGAGAAATACAGTCGAGAACTGTCACATTTTCGTCTTCATCATGATAACAAAAATCAATCGCCTTCAATGGTTTTTCTTCCCTCACGAGCTCTCCTATATTCAACGGATCTGGAGAAGGATCCTCTAAACTGAGAAGTAAATTGAAAAGGCAAGTCGACGGGACCTGAAAAATAAATATATTTTTTACAATTATAAATGAATATAAATATTTTTTTATAATTATAAATAAGCATAAATATTTTTTTGTAATTATAAATAAGTATAAATATTATAATATTATTATAAACAGTTAAATAAGAGAAAAATATGAGAGGAAAAAGAGAAAAGTAACTTGTTCTTAAAAAAATAAAATTCTGAACCTTGTGAGCATCGCCAACGGCACTCATGACGTCAGTATCGAGAATTGTCGAGACACTTCCAAACATTTGAAGAATAAAGGGTTTTCTATTGAGAAGATAAAATTGCTTCACGGCATATTCGACAGTGGTCGTGACGAGTTTATTAGTCTGATGTGTTGAATAAAGTTGCAGAAGAGTTGGCATAATCAACAGATATCCATTGATGGAAAAAATATTCTTAAAGTTCGTTGCCGCATTAATGTAAGTAGCGACGACATAACGCAAAATACACGAATCCTGACTGTGTAAAATAACAGCTCCGTTTAGTACATTCAAAAATAGATGAATATCACCCGAATATGCAAAATTTCCCGCCATTGCTTCAAACATTCGAGCGATTAATCTCACCCACATGAATTTGTGCATTACGTCCAAGCCAAGAAGTTCCTAAAAGAAATGAATTAAAACCAAAAATTATTATAATATATATCGATTAAAATTTAATTTTTTTATCTTATAAAATTTCTAATTTTAATTTAAATTCTTAAAAGAAAAATTTATTAATATCAGAGGAAAAAGTTGGAATTATTAACTCACTCTTCCCATTTCTCCTCCTTTATAAAGATCAAGATCAGCCTCCAAAGCCTTTCTGGGAAATGATGGTAACTTCATCAGTTCTTCATGTAGAAAAACAACTCTCTGAACAACCATGTCAACATTTTTCAAAATTGCCCAAGTGAGCATTACTTTTCCAACTTCCACAAATTTGTGCAATAATTCTTGACGCTGAAGAGCATTGAAAGCATCCTCCGGCTTCATATGGACCAATTCTAATTGTGGATATTGGGATCTTTTGAAGAAATAATAGTCCCGAACGTAGGACGAAGGATTGTGAATTTGATCTAAATTTAAAAAAAATTTCGATTAGTAGAAACATCCTAAAAAAAATTGCTTTTATTGGATTAATAAATATATAATTACAGATTGATAAAAAATAAGATAGTAATTGATAAAAAAAGATAGTAAAGATATAAAATAAATTAGCAAAAAATGATATAAAATAGATCTTTAAAGAATAAACATTAGCAATTTATTTATTATTTTAAATTGAATTTTAATTTATTATTAATAAATTATAATAAATATAAAATAATATTATTCTTACGTGTTTTGTAATCAATGAGAAAGTATTCCTTATGCTTGATTTCGTCAATTCCAAAGAAATCTAAAGATTCTCGAAGAATTTGACAAAATTGTGTATCCTCCTGAACCGGAAATTGAGAAGGAATTCCACCAGCATCAGGGTCTTGAGGACCGTGAACGATAATTTTTTTCGCTGACGGAACATTTGCTGTCAATAGAATTGACGCATCACACTGTTCTTTTCTGAGAATTTGCTTTAAATCTTTGAACATTATTCCATGAACACTGTGCACCACCTGTTCAGTACAAAAAAAGCACAATTTATTAAGTTAATTCATTAATTTATTTAATTTATTATTAAGTATATAAATTTAACAATTCAATTAAGTAAATAAAAAAAAATTAAATAAAAAAATGTAATAATTAAATTAAGTAAATAAATTTAATAATTCAATTAAATAGGAAAATTTAATAATTAAATTGCATAAAGAATTTAATAATGTAGTAAATTTTATTTAAAAAAAACGAGAATATTAATTAATAATAATAAATTATTCACTTACCATCCACAAAATCGAGAGTGCAGTGCCAATTAGTTTCTGACCTTCTTCGTGAGGGGAACGAACGTAAAACATTATATAACCAATTATATAATTATAAAGTGCAAATGCCGCCTGTTGAGGAAGTTTCGGAATAAATCTGATAAGGTGTCTCAATAATTTGAACATTTGTTCCTGTTTCTCTCTTGTCAATCGTTCGAGAATGTATCGAAGAAAAAGCGCACTGTCCTCGACGAGACAATTCCAAATTACCTATTAAAATTTCAAATTTAATTATAATTTAATATTATTTATTTACTTGTAACAACATTTTAAAAGTTTAAAGTTTTATTTATAGTTTCTTGTAATATAAAGTTTACAATAATCTTACGTGATAAGCAACTTCATAAACAGCATTTCCATCATTTGACACTGCAGGATCATCCAAAAGAGTTATAATTTGCACAATAGCCGAGCACAATGAAGAGGGGAAAAGAGAAAGTGCTGATTGTCCATGATGAGATAAATTTCTAGGAACTAAATCGCCACCATCCTCATCAACGTTTCCTAAACAGATGAAAAATCAAAGATTATAATGATTTTTATGATAATTACTCATACTACAATTTGTGCAAAAAAAAATTGTTAATAGCAAAAATTCTTTTTCTATTTATCTACTTTTAATTTGATTTTTTTGTACATATTTTCTTTTATATTTAGCACTAAATTATATTATTTTATAAATTTTTTTCTATACTAAACACAAAATTATAATAATAATTTATATTTTTCTCTTCTATACCTAATAATATTTTTTTTATTATATGTTTCTTCTGTAATAAATACTAAATTAATCCAAAATGACGACGAAAAGTAAATGTTCGCTGAAAAATGAAATTTTAGTTTTATATTTTTTTTATTGTTACAAAAATACCTTCATCGTGATCATCGCCAACTGGACTCGGTTCATGAGCAGCTTGAATAGTAATTGGAATTGTTGTGAGAAGAAAATTTTCCCTTTCCTCCCTTTTCTTATCATCCTGTGCTTGCAATGCTCTTTTTATGAGTTCAGTTTGTTGCTTTTTTCTAGTTTTCGTCGCCGTTACGAATGATCTCTGCGATTTTAAAAATTCAATAATTTACTAATTAAATATTATTATTTATTATTTTCTAAAAATATTAAAAATAACCGAAATTCTTCGTAAAAATTAAATTATTTTCATGAATAATAAAATTCAACACAAGAATTGAATTATCTTCATAATTATTTTCAAAATTCTTCAGGACGAGAATTTAATTCTTTTCTATGCAATTTTAGTAAAATTTCTAAAATGAATTATTCAATTATTTTTTAAAATTCGAATAAAATCCTTAGAAAGAAATCAATTATTTTCAAAAAATTTGAGAATAATTGAATTCCTTTGAAGAATTTATTATTTATGGAAATAATTGAATTCTCGCAACAAATTTTATTATTTATGAAAATAATTGAATTCTCGAAACAAATTTTATTAAAATATTTGGAAAATAATTGAATTCTCAGAATTTTATTATAATTTTCTAAAATAATTTAATTCACTCCAGGAATTTTATTAAAATATAGAAAATAAATTAATTCTTTTAAAAAATTTCTTTATTTATTCAATATAGAATAAATTTTGTTAATAATTCCTGATTGTAATTAATAATTTCACTATTAAAAATTAAAGTTTTTGTAAATAATTGAATTCCTGAGAAGAATTTCATTGTTTATAAAAAGTAATTTAATTCCTGCAACTAATTTTAGTATTTATAAAAATAGTTTTATTGTTTTGAAGGATTAATTAAAATTTTAGAAAATAATTGGATTCTTTCGAAAAATTTTATTAAAAATTAAAAAAATAATTGAATTGTTTTGAAGGATTTATTAAAATTTTAGAAAATATTTGAATTTTTTTGCTCAAATATTGTTAAAAATTAATTAAAAAAATTGAATTCTTTCATGAAATTTGATTAAAATTGTATATTACAAATACTTATATGAATTTTTGCAAATAATAAAAAATGATTGAATTGTTCCGAAGGATTTATTAAATTTGTATTAAAAATAATTAAATTCCTGAGAAGAATTTTATTGTTTATAAAAAATGGATTTATTAAAATCTTAGAGAATAATTGAATTCTTTTGAAAAATATTGTTAATAGGTAATTAATCAAAAAATTGAATTCACTTATGAAATTTTATTAAAATTGTATGAATAATAAATAATGAATTTTTGCAAAGAATAAAAAATGACTGAATTGTTTCGAAGGATTTATTAAAAATTTAGAATTATATATTTTGAAAATATAAGTAATAATAATTAATTATGTATTTAATAAGTAAATTGTTTAATTTTGATTATGAAATTATTCAAATGGAAGGACTAAATTATATCTTCAGAAAGAAAAAAACTCACATGACGTTCTTGACTGATCGTAACTTCCTCGACCTTTGTTTTCACCTGCGGCATCCAGGGAGGATCAACAACGGGCAACGATTCGATGCCAATTTTCGGTGACGGAAGAGTGAATTCAATTCCAGGCGGTGGCACTTTGAATGTAACGTGAGCAGCCTCCTCCATACGTGGCCAAACTTGATAGCGAAGTTTCCACAAGACTTGAAATCTTAAAATTGAATTTATTCGTATCGATGTATTATTATGTTGAAGTCCCTGATGCATCAATTCACTCGCCTGGTTTGGAGCGCGAACGGCCGCAACAATAAATACCGACGCTGCCGAGGCACAAACTTCTTGATTTGATTCCAATAAAAGTTCCCAAGCAACCGGAAGTACATCAACGAATAAATCATCCGACATCACAACAGCGCCTTTCACAAGTGTTGCCAGTGGTGCATGAAAAGCGTTCTTCACTTGTGTCTGAACATATTTTAAAATTGGCGACGGCTCCTTATCCATCTCATTATCCTCCTCCATCTCGGGACCAATAATTTTCGAAGCCTCAGCGCCTCGCTCCGAATCCTGATCAGCCAAATCTTTCGACGAATCACGAGTTACTCCCGTCAAACGCCCCGATTGTGAACCATCCAAATTCTTATCAATTCTACAAAATTTTTTGTTATTAAAATTTTAATTCTTTATATTCTATTCAATTTATAACTTAATTTTGAATTAAAAATTTTTTTTGAAACTCACTTATACTTTCGACCTAGACTATCCTTTCGTTTCGGTGAAATCTGTCCACTGGTTTGATCAGAAATTTTTCTACTTCGTTTCTCCTTTTTTCCATTCTCCTTCTTCTCCATTTCCGTATCAAACATATCGTTAACATTCAAAACACCAAATTTCTCGCCATAAATTTTCCTCACCGATTGAATTAAACGACTGCAAGCTCTCATTTGTCGTCGATGACAAAATGGATGACAAAAATACTGATGAGAACAATAGAAATTCATGACATTCATTGTTTGTACCATAACTCTCATCCAGGGGAAATTTTTATTTGTCTCATCAGTATCGTTACTGTCACTTGGACTCTCGGGTGGTTGATCGTCACTTAAAATTCCCGGCGATTCTTCACCACTTACTTCGCCACCGAGTCCCGGCTCTGATGTGTCACTACGATCCGACAGTGAACTCACTTTTCTCTTCGATTGAATGGAATCTGCTCGTTTCACTACATCTGAAATTTATTTCTTTTCTTCATTTTGAAAAGAAAGAAAAAAAAATGCGGTAAAATTGAAGAGATACTTACAGGCCTCACATTCTATGTCTTTACCCTCTTTGGTATTTCTTCTTAATTTGAGACTTCTTCTTTTGAAGGAACCTGTATTTGCATTTCCGGTAGTTCCCCGACGTAGAAGAAATGGTCTTCCTTGCGGTGCTTGCATTCGTTTATTTTTCTCTTTCTCATTGTTTTGAATCTCCTCGCCCTGAATTGTCACGTTCGATTTACTGCTACCTTCTGATTCATTGTCAGGCTCGTGTAAAACGAAACTGATTTTTCTTTCTGAAATAAATTTCAAAAAAATTATGATTATAATAATGATAATATTTTGTTCATCAAATTGTTTTGGTTTTTTTTACTTAAAAATATAAATGAAATTTGATATAAATATAATTAAAGATGAGCGATTGATAAAATAATAATTTTTTATTATAAGAATATTGTTACTGTAACTTCTTTAAAATTATTTTTATCATTTCAATTCAGCTATTATTTTCTACAATTTTTAATTAAATTTCTTTTTTAAAACAATTATTTTTAATAATTTTTAAAAATGTTCTTTGTGAATTTTCAAATCCATTTTTATTCAACTCAATTTTACGAAATTTCAATTATTCGAAATTCTTCAAATTAAATAAATATTAGAAAATAAAAACTTCAAATAATTTCAAAAAAATTCAATTTAACTTTTTCAAAAAAATTAATTTCACAGAATTGTTGGTTAAAAGGATAAAAAGTTCAGATTTTCCAAGATTTTAATTTGGAATTTTTTTTCAAAATTCAATTATTTTTAAATATTCAATTATTATCTCAAATTTGAACGAAAATTCAATTGATTAATTATACAAAAATAAATAATTTATTAAACAATATTGAATCTTTCTAAATAAATTTTTATAAAGAACTTTATCAACAAAGTTTAAAATAATTGAAAAATAATTGAATAATTGAATTGAATCCTTTTGACGAATTTTAATAAAATTTTGAAAAATAATTACATTTTTCGAGGAATTCGATTAAAATTGTATTAAAAATAATTAAAAATTTGCAGAGTATTTTATTAAAATTTATGAAAATAATTGAATTTTGGAGAATAATTTTATTATTTGAAAAGATAATTGAAATTTTGAAGAAAATTTTTAAAAATTTTTTAACATAATTGAATTTTTGAGAAGAATTTTATAACTTTTGAAAATAATTGAATTACTGCAATAATTTGTAACTTTTCCAAAATTCAATTTTTTTAGTATTTTTAACTAAAATTCTTCTATAAATCCATTATTTTTAATAACTTAATAATTAATAATTAAATATGTATTAAAAAATCAACTAATTTCAAGAGAATTATAATTAAAATTTAAAAAAAAATTAATTCTACAGAATTTTTAATTAAAAAGTATGAAAAATTCAGATTTTCAAAGATTTTAATTTTAGAACATTTTCAAAATTCAATTATTTCTATTACTCCAGAATGCTTTTAATATTCAGTCATTATCTAAAATTTTAACTAAAATTCATTTTTAAATCAATTTTTATTAGGAAATTGAACGAGAATTCAATTATTTAAATACAAAAATAAATAATTTATTGAATGTTTCTTAAAATTGAATTCTCATAAAGAATTAAATTTTATTTTATCAACAAATTTTTAAATAATTGAATTCGTTTAAAAATGTAATTACATTTTTTGAGGAATGTGATTAGAATTGTACTGAAAATAATTGAAATTCTACTATGAGTTTTATTATTTATAAAAGTAATTGAATTGCTAAAAAGAAGTTTATTACAATTTTTTATTTAATAATTGAATTATTTGGAAATTTTTATTAAAATATTAGATATTGAAAATCATCGAATTGAAGAAAATTTTGGAAAATAATTGAATTTCGGAGAACAATTTCATTATTTATAAAGATAATTGAAATTTTTATTAGAATTTAAAAAATTTTTTATACATAATTAAGTTTGTGAGACGAATTGTAATAAAATTTTTAAGAATAATCCCATTTTTCGATGAATTCGATTAAAATTGTATTAAAAATAATTGAAATTCTGCAATAAGTTTTATTATTTATGAAAATAATTGAATCCCAGTAAAAAAATTTTATTATTTATGAAAATAATGTAATTTTTGCTAATTATAAAATGCAATTTATTAACTTTTCGTACTTTTTGTTTGAGCTCTGTAAAAATATTGTTAATAATAAAAACAAAAAAATAAAAAGTGAATAATAAAAAATTACCAGTTTCACGGTCTCCAGCGATGGATTGTAAACTTTGAGCCGAAGTCTGCGAATGTCCCATGGAAGATAAAGCCATACTCCATCGCCGATTGGCTTCGCGACTATATATTTTCTCCCAAGGAGGAGGTCTTTCTTTTGTGGACATTCGGTTTGATTTTGGCAAAGTTTGATAAGTTTCTCGAAGAAAGGCCGTGATTTCAAGCAGCAGCATACAGGCAACCATTCTCAATGACACCGGACAGGACGAGCCATAAGTATTAACACTCGCTAAAAATATTCATTTCTCCATTAATAAATAAAATAATAACACAAATTCAATATTCAAATGAAAATTATACAATAATTTCTGTTCACTTTCATTCATTTAAAGTTATAATTTATAATTCTCAGACAACTTATAATTTATTTATAGCATTCAATTCAAGTAAATAAATTTAGTTTGTTTCAAATTTAATAATTTGAAACTAATTGAGAAAAAAATTAAATAGAAAAGAAAACAAATCAAGAAACAAAATGAAAAAATAAATAAAACTAGAGAAAGAATATATAAATAAAATAAAAATGAGAAGATTTTGTAGGATATTATAATAAAAAATACCATCGTCCAGAAAATTTTCCTCTTCATCTTCAATTATTAAATCTCGATGTTTCGTTTCATCTGAAACAACAGCTGACGCATTTTCCATTACTTTTTTGTCCTCTACGAGGAATTCGTCTAAACGTGCTCCAATCGCCTGGATAAAGATAGGAAAAATTAATTCAGAATTTTAATTTAATTTTAATATCAAAGTACTTAATTTAATTAATTTCAGAATAAATAAATAAGAAATGTAAAATTTTGTCATACTTCAGCCCATTGGTAAAATAATTTCCCCGCCGATCTTTGCAAGAGATGCGTTCGTCTGAGACCAGTTGATGACGATCGATTATTCAAAGGCATTGACGGACGAAATAATGGAAAATTCAATTTCATCCATACAGGCCAATGTCCTTTATTGCATTGATGAACAAAATGTGCACACTCCAAAAACATTGTTGCTCGTGCAACTATTGGCGCATAAGGCTGAAAATAATTTCTCATTATTTTAAATTTTACCCTCAATTTAATTTAATTATGAAATTTTACATAAAATTATAAATTGTTTTCCCACCAAATCGAGAAGAGCAGCCATTAAATGATGATCGGGAACAGAACCAGGCTGACATGTATCCAATAGAAAAGAAAATCTCAACATTCCATCGAAAACTGAACCTCGTGGTACTAGACGTCGTTCTTTTAAAATTACATATTCCGAGTCTCTTGAAGCCTCGCCAGTTTCCAGAGAATTTTTCCGACTAAAATCTTTGAAATAAAACAAAATAAGCAAAATTTTTAACTAAATAAGTTATAAACAAAATAAATAAAATTTCAACTAAACACCTAAATATTAAACAAAATAAATAAAGTTTTAACTAAATAAATAATAAACAAGATAAATAAACTTCTAACTAAATAAATAATTATAAAAAACAAATAAAGTCTACAATAGATAAAAAAAAAATTAACTTACAACTGCCTGGTGTTTCTTCCATACTTTCTTTCTTCTTCCCTTTAACTAAACCAATTTTACTCAATTGATTTTCCATTCGACGTTTCGCTTTCTGTAAAGTGTGGCTCACGCTGAAAAAAATAAGTTTATATCACAATTTTTCTCTTTAAACAAGTAAATTTTTATTTGTGGATCTTAAAAAAAGAAAATCGAAGTTAAAATTTATGTTTGAGTAATAAAATTACCCTCGGGTGGTTCTTGACGTTCCCCGTTGTCTTCCACGACGTCTCAAACTCGGTTGTTTTACGAAACTGCTTTCAGTTGGAGATTCGCTACTGTCATGACTATCAGTCGATTCTGTTCGTCCATATTCTTTTCGGAACCAATTTACTAAAAAATAATTTATTACATTCCTTCTTTTCTTTTTCTAACAAGTAATATTAATAATAAATTATTATATTAATTATTAATATTAATAATAAAATTATAATTAATCTGCTTAAAATTAAAAATTTCAGCGATAGGAAATAATTTTGAATTTATTATAATAAAAATCGTCAAAGAAAATTGTTTACCTATTCCGCCAATTTTTTGACGTGTTGTTTTTCTAGATTTCGGTCTTGAGAAGGGTTCGCCTAGTTCCAAATTTCGATCACTCTGTCGAGGAGTGAGAGCATGTTTTTTTCTTACATTCCCTAAGGGACTTTGACTTGTTTTTGGATTCTCATCGCTTCCGTCTGTCTCAACTAAACTCTAAATTCCAAAATTTCATTAGTCATCGCAAAAAAGTGCAAAATTATTAAATAACACATTTTAAACTCTAAGAGAGTTGCTAAGGATGCAAACCTTCCTGATTATAGATCAGGGGTGAAATTCTAAAAATCAAAAATCATTTTATTCTTTTTTTTTGTTATTTTATTTATTTCTGAGGTATTAATTTAAAACCAAGTCGTTTAAAATAAATACCACGATTTCTAATTTATTTTTCTATATTTTATATCAAATTCATCATTTTCGCTTATTTTGCAATTATTTTTTGTATTTTTTAAGATTATTTTTTTAAATGTTTATAAATTATTCAATATTTTTTTAATACTTTGCATTTTTTTTAGCATTTTTAAAATAATTATTTTTTTTTTGTTTCTAATTTTCCAAATATTATTTATTAGATCAATTTTAACGTGATCTTATTTATTAGCTTTTATCATTTATTATGCGAATAAAAAAATGTTGATAATCGAAAATTTTTTTATTCTAAAAATAAACATGCTTTTGATTTTTTTAAGCTGATTTCTATTTGGTAAAAAAAGAATTTTCAAATGAAAAGAAAAGCTTCACCAGGGAAGACAAGGGGAAAAAAGAAAGAAAACTAGTTAAGCTACACATTGAGAAAACTTTTTACAAAACTGGAATCTTACCAGCAACTCTCCTTTGTAATTGCGAGTCATATTTACCGCGCAAGTCGAAGAAGCGCTTCTCTTTTTAAAAAGAAACTTGCGCGTACTCCTATCATCTGCTCCATAGGCTTCTCCACCTTCTGCATTTTCCTCGAAATCCGATGGATGCATGTGTCTTTAAAAAAAAAATCCCCCAATTATTAAACATAACATAGAAAAAAATAAAATAGAAAATAATTTCCCTATGGAATTTCTAAAAAAGATATAATAAAAAAAGACTAAAATCAGAAGAAATTAAATTCTATTTAAGAAATTTTCTTAATTAAAAATTCATTTAAATAAAATTTTTAATTAAGTTAATTTAAAATTAGCAAAACTACACGCGAGCAAGCGAGCGTGAAATTTTCGTTCCCACTTTTACTTTAAAAAATTTGATTTTTGAAATTTAATGAAAATTCTTCAATTTTTAAAAAACATAATTTTTCTAACAGTTTTTCTTTAAATTTAATTATTTGAACAACTCGTATACAAATCGACAAGATATTTCCAACAGCATTCTAAATTTTTTTTTTTTAAATTCAATTACTTTCCAAATTTTCAAATAGAATACTTCAAAAATACCTTTATAATTCAAAATAATTTTTAAAACTAAACAAATAATATTCATTCAAATATAAATTTCAATGAAATTTGACAAAATTTTCACTTGTTTCAATTCTTTAAAATTATTTTCGGAAATACAATTATTTTCAGAAACTTTTAATTACATTCGGACAAATAGTTTTTAAAATTAGTTTACTTCAACGTTTCGAAATCTAAATGATTTTCATATTCTATTATAATCTAAAATTTAAACTAAAATTCATTTTCAAATAAATTTTTATTAGAAAATTCTACGAGAATTCATTTATTTAAATACAAAAGTAAATTATTTATTGAATAATTGAATGTTTCTTAAAATTTACTTCTTATAAAGAATTTTATTAACAAATTTTTAAATAATTGAATTCTTTTGATGAATTTTAATAAAATTTTTTAGAATAATAACATTTTTCAAGGAATTTGATTAGAATTGTATTAAAAATAATTGAAATTCTGCGATGAGTTTTATTATTTCTGAAAATTACTGAATTATTGAAAAGAAACTTACAAAAAAATTTGCAAGTATTTGAATTCCTGTGAAATTTTTTTTTATTTATGAAAATAATTAAATGTTTGCGTACAATTTTATTAAAATTCTTTGTAAATAATTGAATTCTTTTGGGTAATTTTATTAAAATAGTAGATATTGAAAATCATTGAATTGAGGAAATTTTTTGAAAATAATTGAAATTTTGACGAGAATTTTATTAAAATTTTAAAAAATAATTTAAATTTTGAATTATTAAAATTTTTCAAAAATCTAAGTTCATTAAAATTTCTAATTAAATGCATTCAACATTGAAATTTTATAAAATTTCAAATCATAACTCTTTGAAGTTAATTTATTTATGAAAATTGTAAACGCAACTCTTTTAAAATCGAATTAATTTTGAAATATTTAAGTAAAATTATTCATTAAATAATTTACTTATTTTATGACAGTTGTTCAAGACTTAAGGTTATGTTATTCAGGGGTCACGTGACTCATAGTAAAGTATATGGGGCACGTGACCACTGAATAACATGCCCTTAAGTTATTTAAAAAGAAATTTTTGTCAGAAATTGAAAAAATTGAAGGTTTTATATTAGAATTTGTGGTAATTTTATAGTTTATGAGTTAAACCAAAAAAAACACAAAAATTCAGAATTTTCTTATGAATTCTAAAAATTTAATTTTTTTAAATGAAAAATAAATCAAAACATTTACCTGATGACTCGAGTGGTTTGAATGTAACTATTGCAGCGTTTATTAGGCAAATCGGAGGAATCTAAAATTCCGCTGAGTACAACTCGACGAAATATTCCGCCATGCGCCTCCTTGACGTAGGTCATAAATTGTCTAACGTCACAATAGAGAGTGATATTGTCCTGTGATTTTAGTTTCTTTATATTTTGCACACAAAGTGTGACAAATGGTTTGAACATATAGGCCATAATTTGTCCCTCAATGCTCCGGAAGCCATGTGCTGGTGCTCCTAAACTACTGTAAGGTGTTGTTCCAGTGCCAGCAGTGGCCCACGTCGAGGCAGGGTTTGTCGAAGTTCCCGGTGTCGTGGACGCCGCATTTCCCGACGGAGAACTCCCTGGACCCGAGGCTCCGCAGCTCGCACCAAAATTCGTCGCATAACTCCCCTGCGGCACCGAGTCTGGCGATTTACTTGAGCCTCTCTTCTGATCTGATTAATCGTTAATTCTCTAATTAATTAAATTCAAATAATGACAAAAAACTAACCTTTACTCAAAAATAATATACTTTATATTTTGTGTAAAGATCAAAATCAATACTCAAAATTTTCTTTATATTTTGAGTAACGATAATTTAAAATATTTATTTACTCTTATTTACTTTACTCAAATATAAAATAAATATGAAATAAAAATTAGAATCATAATTATATTATAAAATTTTCAAAACTAGTAAATTGAGTGTAAATTAAAGTAACAAACTCACTGAGGGGAGAAAGAAGGGAACTTGGCTCGAGACAGAATCCAACGTAAGAGTGAAAGAGATCTAAAAGTTCATTAATAGGCATCTCGCGAATAAGAATGCGTAGTAATTTTGCAAATTGTTTGGGACTCGCTTTATGGAGTCGCGTGAGAATCGATTGTGCCTGAGAGCGACAGAGATCGGCTTGTGGTCCACGAATACCATCGGAACATCCATGAGGACATCCGAGATGTTTTATCACTCTTATCACGCAATTCATCAGAATATTATGATCTGAGCCTTTGCGTATATTTTGCGTCTCCTCCGGATATCCCGGACCAGGTTCATTTATTATTGAATCCTGCTTCTTGCTCTCTGTATCGAATTTATCACCTGAAATATAAGAGAAAATAATTAATAAAAATGAAAATTTTTAATTTAAGGCAAAATTAGAAATTAATTTACGGAAACTAGTAAAAGAACTAAAATAAATAAATTACAATTTTAATTAATTTTAAATCAAAATATTAGAAAATATTTTTTAAATAAATTTTAAATTTTAAATCTAATTTATAAATATTTTTCGAATATTAGATAATATTGATATATTTTTTTGTATGTAATAAAACGTAAGTATTCAGACACGAAAAAAGATATAATATTTTTTTTTAAATTTACAAAGTGAACAAAATTAAAAACGAAAAAAAATTAAATTGACAAAATGGCAGAATTACAAAATAGTCGATGTTTATTTAAATTATTGTAAAAAGAAAATAAAAATAAATTTTTAAACACGAAACCACTAAAGTAAAAAATAAACAAATAAATTAATAAAGATAAAAATAAAAATTGAATTTTTTAAATTAAATAGTTACCATTGAAATATTCCATGGTTTCTTCACGAAGGCACTGTTTCAAAACACCAACTTCAATGAGAGCAACAACCAAATTTAAAATCAATTCACAAACTCGAAGAGTGCAAAACGTAGTTTCCCGAAGTGCAACGTTATGTACAGCCTGTTAAAATTATTATTCGGTAATTAATTTACATAATATTATGAATAAATATTTAAAAATAATCGTAATAAATTACAGCAGCTAATTAGAGAAGAAATTAAAACTCACTCGTAAAACGACTCGGAAATCTACATCGCCCTCTTTAGTGATAAATTTTGCAGAACCAGGAGCTTCCGGTATTTCATCACCTGTATAGGTAATATTCGAGTCGGTTTGCGATCTGGTCAAACTCGGTTTCCTATCGCAATCTAATCGAGAGCCATGAATTCCAATCGCGTCTAATTGACTGTCAATCGAACCCTAGAAAAATAAAAAAAAAGTATATAAAATAATATTGTAAACAATGAATGAAAATCGTATTTTTTAATTAATTAATGACATAAATTTTGTTTTCTAATTTTTTTTGAAAATTTTTCTTTTTAATATTTTGAATTTTAAAATTAATGAAATTCTAATTTAATGCCTTGAAGATTATAGAAGATTGGAAATTATACAAAAAAATTAATGAAACCAAAATGGTTTTCAATTAAAAATATTTCTGTTAGGTATAATATTTCTTATTTATTTCATTAAAACTTTCAATCTGAAATAATTGAATTCTTTCGAAAAAACTTATTAAATTTTTTAAAAATAATTGAATTGTTCGAGAAATTTTATTAAAATTCTATTGGAAATAATTGAATTCTCTAAAAAAATGTTAAAATATTTAAAAATAATTGAATTCTTTCGAGAAATTTTATTAAAATTTTTTACAAAAAAATTGAATTGTCTAGAAAAATGTTAAAATTTTTAAAAATGATTGAATTCTTTCGAGAAATTTTATTAAATTTTTCTAAAATAATTGAATCCTTCGAGAACTTTTATTAAAATTAAAATTTTTTAAATAATTGAATTTTCTAAAAAATATTGAAAATAATTTAATTTTCTAAAAAAAATGTTGAAATATTTTAAAATAATTGAATTCTTTCGAGAAATCTTACTAAATTTTTTTAAATAATTGAAGCGATTGAAAAATTTTATTAAAATTCTAAGCAAAGAATTTTCTCAATGTTTTTTAAAATAATTAAATTTTCTAGAAAAATGTTAAAATTTTTAAAAATAATTGAATTTAAATTTAAAAAACTTTAAAAAATAATTTAATTCTACGAGACATTTTCAAGTAATTGAATTTCTGATAAGAATTTTATTAAAATTCTTTAAAATATAAATAATTAAATTCCTGAGAAAAATTTTGTAAATTATGAAAATAATTGAAATTTTATTAAAATTTTAGAATTTAATTTTTTTAGGAAATTGAAAAATAGAAAATTAATTGAAATTGCGTATTGAAAATATTCCAATTCTCATAAAGAATTTGATCAAAATCTTTCAAATTAATTTGAATTTTTACGAATAGTTTTATCAAAGTTTTAAAAATAATTGAATTCTTTTGAAAAATTTTATCGAAAATAATTAAATTCCTGCAAAGAATTTTAATCAAGTTTAATAAAATAAAATATAATTAAATTTCTTATCAAAATTTAAACTTCAAAATTCGATTTTTCTTGATTAAATTCTTTCATTACTTTTTTGTTTAAATTTATTACTTACGTGTCGTTTTGTAAAATCTGGCGAAGGAGTTGGCGTGTGTTCAGTGACGGTGATTATGGGATTTTGAGCAGAATAACAAGGACTGTAGACATTACTCTGCTTCCTTTCGACCTTTGTATCGCCAATGTATCTATAATTAAAAATTATTAAAAATTTCATAATCGAAAAAATAGTCCACAAATCTTTTTAAATCATTTTTCATGCCAACTTTTCAAAATTTACAAGCAATAAATTCTAAATATTTATATCTACGAAATGAATTAAATTCTACGTCCTTTTCTACTTTCTGCGACCTAATCTTGTGCTTCCATGCTTTCTTGACATGTTTTTAAATTTCTAGTAAAATAATAATTATTTATTTCATTTACATTTAAATTAACAATACAATCTAATTTTCGGAAAATAATAATTTTTTAACACAAAATGAATATTAAAATAACGAAAAATTACTATTAAGTTAAATATTAAATCAATTAAATTATTTTCAGGGAAAAAATTCTTCTTGCTATTAATTTTAGTAATTTACAAAAATACAAAAAAATAGTTTCGACTCAAAGAATTTCATGTTACTTTTGACTAAAACAATTTTTCGTAATCTAAAAAGTAAAAATTTAATAATTTCAAATGAAGAAAATAAAATTGTTTTCGTCATTACGATCTCCATTGTTTTTAAGTTTTAGTTAATATACATTTAAAATTTTGTTCGTGGAATATTTAAAATACTAAAATATTAAAAAAAAATCTACAGATGAATTTTTTTAGCACTAAGTACATTCTCATCGAGAGAAAATATTTTTGTTATAAAAGCTTGATGATTGATGCTTTCGTGCTCGATTAAGTAGACTACAAAAATTATGTAATTCTTTTATTATCATTATAAAAAGGAAAAGCGTGAAAATACTTAAATAATTACAAAAGTGGAGTCTCGTTTTTTAGATTTAATTTTTGACTTACCCTCCCGCGGTCAGCTCGTTAATCAAGCAGCTGAGCACGAGTTCGGGGTGAAAAGACGTACGAGAGATAGATAAAGGCATACAGAGAGAAAGAAATTACGAATAAGAACGAGAAAAATATTAAAAAGAAAAAATAAATTACGTTTTAAACCCGAATTTTTTATCTACTGCAAAAAAATTGAAACTAAGACATAAAAAAGAAAAATTTGTACAAGAAATTCGATTGATTCTATGTAATCGTTTCGTTAATGTCCATACTTACAAATTGCTTTTAAATTTTTAACTTTACCATTTTGTTTTTCGAATAAAATTTATTTACAATAGTATCTAATTATTGCTAATTTCTAAAATTAATATATTTATTGTGAAATTAAATTTTTAATGATTTCTATCTACAAAAAAAAAATTGTTCCCTTTTTTTCAATTATTTAAAATTCAAAATCTATTTCGAAAAAAATTTCTATCACAATCCTGGTGTTATTTACAAATCTAATCTATAATTCTAGTGAATTGAGAATAATTCTATTGTAAATTAATCAAAATTCTAATATATTCATAATTTTTACCATTTCTTTTCTAATTAATTTCCACTAATTAACTTTTACTAAATTTTTACTAATTATGTTTTACTAATTTTATATATTACCTTTCTAGTAATTACGATTCTAATTCACTAATGATAAATATATATAAAAGATTCTAATACGACTGAAATTTTTTAGTCTAAATTTTCGTCGCTTATTAATATAACTAATAATTGAAAAATATAAATCGAAATCTCTAAAAACTTTGTAAATTGCAAGACATAAAGTAGATTATATAATTGTAAAATTCTCGAAGTGAAAAATTTGTTTTCCTTAAAAGAAGATATTTTTTTTTGGAGATTATATAAATAAAGAGTATAAAGAAGAAATGGATATTGAGAATTGTCAAAGAGAAAAAAATGACATTGTAGATATGTAGTAATTAATAATAATAAAAAAGATAAAAATGTAAATTAGAAAATTTATTTCTCTCTTACCTTAAACTTGGCATGCTTTTTCCTTTAACTAAATTCGTGGGAAAATGAATGTGATCGACGTCCTTGGCCTCGAAAATTTTCGAATACGTTGAACCCTGTCTTGTTAAAAGTTCATCAGCTGTGTCCAAACTTCTGTGACATTCCTTTTTTTTTAAAAAAAAAGAACCAAAAGATTAGGAAATTATTAAATTAATATATTAATATTTATTCGTTTGTTAAACATCAATTTATTAATATTAATTTATCGATAAATTAATTAATATTAATTTAGTAATTAGTAAGAATTAATTTATCAATTAGTAATAATTAATTTTGCAATAAGTGATAATTAATTTTGAATATCTACAATATTAATTTAATAAAAATAATTACCAACTCTTGAAGAGGTTTTGCTTCTTCCTGGCCAATTTTTTCCAAGGCCTTTTCTGATTTCGAGAGAAGTTTCGTTTCCACAAAAGCTTTCAAATCAGCGATTTTCATTCGTTTCTTCGTTTTTTCGCTGGCTCTTCTCGTATGACTACTTTCTGTGAATTTAGTTAAAATTAATAAGCTCAAAATTTAGTAACTAATTAATATTAATTCAATATTTTTTGGGAGGCCATAAAATTATATAAATAAAAGATAATTAATATTAGTTATTAATCTTACCAGCAAGAACAGAATTATCTCGCGTATCGGGAACTTCAATAATTTCCTTTCCGTCGTCCTTCTTCTTAGTCTCAGGACTTTGATAAATAGAGACCTCAATTTTCGGAATTGGAAGAGAATTACTACGACGTCGAGGCATTTGTTGCACCGAACTTTGTTCATTGATTCTTTTCAATCTAATTTGAGAAAAAGTGAAACGAAATATTTTAAATGTGATAAAAATAAACTCTTTAAATTAATAATTAATTCAATTAATTAATTTCCATGTACAATAATTATATTATTTTCATTTTAACTTTTCCTTTCTTAAAAATAAAGGTCGAATAAAAAAAATGAACAAAAAGATCGGATAAAAAAAATGAAGGAAAATATCGAAAAATATTTTACTTCAAATTTATTGTGAAACTAAAAAAAAAAATTCTACCTGTTGAGTAAATATTGAAGGGCCCAAAAAATTCCCTCTTCTTGCCACTGCGCTACCAAAAGACATCTCAAAACGGAAACATCAAGAAAAGTTGCTGCACGTACATCGACATCAACATGCGATCCTTTTGATCCTGATCCTTCGCTGGAAAATCTTTGATTTAATATGATTTTCTCTCTCATGTCATCGTAACCGTAGCTCCTGTCGTCTTTTTCTTTATCGAATTCGCTGAACAAAAAAAGAGTCAAAAATCAATTTTTAAATCTAGAGAGAATATTAAATTTTATTTTAATTCAATTGAAAAAAAATTGATTATTAAACAGATGGAAAATAAAACAAATTAATTAATTAACTACCTCTCTTTTTTTGATTTTCCGTCCATGTGTTGACAAGTGTCTAAACCAGAAATGGCAGTGACTTGCTCTATTGTTACTGTCGATCTTGAACTTGTCGTTCTTCCCATTGCAACGTGAAAAATACTAGCGTCGCCCTAATTGCAAAAAAAAAAAAAAAAAAAAAATAATTAAATCTTTTCAATTCTAAAATTAATGTACCTACTGAAAATCATTGAATTCTTACATTGCAAAGTATTTATTAAAAAATTTGAAAATAATATTGAAATTTATAAAGAATTTTATTAAAAACTTTTGAGAACAATTGAATTGTTTAGAAAAATTTTATTACAATTTTTAAAAATAATTGAATTTATCTTGAATATAATTGAATTTTTTCCTAGAAATTTTATTAAAATTCTATTGAAAGTAATTGAATTTCTTAGAAGAATTTTATTATTTACGAAAATAATTGAATTCTTGCGAAGAATTTTACAATTTATAAAAATAATTTAATTGTTTCGCAGTATTTTATCAGAATTGTTAAAAATAATTGAATATTTAATACAAGTCTTGAAAATAATTTTGAATTTAAATAATATTTTTAAAAATAATTGTATTCTTTCGGAAAATTTTATTAAAATTGTATTGAAAATAATTGAATTCCTCCGAAACATTTCATTATTTATGAAAATAATTTAATTCCTTTGAAGAATTTTATTATTTATAAAAATATTTTAATTTTGCGAAGAATTTTCTTATTTATGAAAATAATTAAATTCTTGCCAAGAATTTTACAATTCATAAAAATAATTGAATTGTTTCGAAGAATTTTATCAGAATTGTTGAAAGTAATATTGAATTTTGATTAAAACTCTTGAAAATAATTGAATTTAAATAATATTTTTAAAAACAATTCTTTCGTTAAATTTTATTAAATATGTATTGAAAAATAATTGAATTCCTCCGAAACATTTTATTATTTATGTAATTATTTTAATTCTTGCCAAGAATATTTAATATTATGTACTTAATACGTGAATTTTTAAAATTTTTAATTATAAAAATAATCAATTTAAAAAAAATTAAGTGTCGTTTTAGACTTACTGCGAAGATGGTTGAAACTTCTTTGACCCCGTCAATTATTCTATCGGATTCACTCAGTGATGGAAGTCTGAATATCACCTGGAATATAATTTTTCTATTAAAAAATGAACCCAAAATTTGTAAAATTAAGGAAAAAGTTTTAAAAATTACAAAGAAAATTTACATATATAATTAAAAGTATAAAAAATTAAATAAAAATTACAAAAATCTTACAACATGTTCGTCTTCTGTACTTGAACTTTCTTCTGGAATTGTCTCGGGAAATACTGTATCTTTTGGCGACGAAACCCATGAGCCCTAAATAGATAAAAAATTTAATATTTCTTTAGAAAATTTAATATTTCTTAATAAAAAAAAATCTTTATTAAAAAAAAAAAAAAAAAAAAAAATTTGTGAAAACTACATGAGAATATGAAACGAAAAAACATTTCCTACTTCATCGTCTTGGAGTTTTCCCGATGGCACCAAACTCGATTCGGAAATACTCGCAGTTTGACTCTGTGGACTGTCTGTAGCTAAAAAATAAATATACAATTAAAAACAAAAATTAGATAAATTCAAAAAATATTCATAAAATTATTCAATTCAATAATTTCAAAAAATAGTCAAAATATAGAAAAAAGAAATACTAAATAGAAAACCAAGTAAAAAATTATTTTTCAATAAAGAGTAAAAAGATTCTCACCTCCAAAAAAGACGTCATCTTGAACTTCCTGCTTCTTCGTTGTTCTTGTCGATTTACTCCAAAGTGCTCTTGGTTTTGGACGAACGTGAGCAGTGAAACACGAGGCCTCAGGATGGCGAAATTCACACATTGCATTCCATATTTTCAAACCATTTTCCAAACGAAGATTCGATTTGAAATCGATGTCCTTTAAATGATTGCACATTGGTGCAAAAAGATAGACAAAAACCTGTAAAATAAATTTTTTTGTTCACCTTCCTCTCGCATCAAGAATTAATTAATTACTAACGAAGCTGTCAATTTATTAGATACCAATTAAATAATAATTTAATAACAATTTAATTAAAAAAAATAGAAAAAGTAAAATAAAATTATTTTTAGTTTTATGAATAAATCAAATTATTATACAATAAAGAGAAAATAGTTTTTACCGTCATTGTTGGTATTGAAAAAAGATAATAAAACGGATTATTGATGTCACCATTGGGGTCTGCACATTCTTCGGCCGAATCTAACAAAATCCAATGCAAAATATACAACAGAGTTGTTTCCATTGCGCCCAAATTTTGTAGATCTTTTCTAAAAATAAATTAGAAAAATTTTAGTTCACATATCTAATTAATTATGATAATCTATATTAATTTTTAAATATTTTCTAAAAATGATTGTATTCTTTCGAGAAATTTTATTAAAATTGTATTGAACATAACTCACTTGCAATTCAAGACATTTGCAGTCGCATGAAGAACAACGGGAAGAGCTGCTTGGATTAATCGCCACCTTGGGATGCTGGACAGCATTTTCCTCAAAGATGGTGTGAGTTCATTGTGTAGATTTTGGACAAACACCTTCTCCATAGACTAGAAAACAATAAATTTTTTTTTAAATTATCTTATTCTCTTTTTAACAAGAATTTTACAAAAAAAAATTTACTAATCAATAATATTTACCGTGCAAGCTTCTTTCATTTCCTGATAAATATTCATAAAATCGTCAGTATGAAACAAATAAAAGTTTTTTAATAACAATGTTTACGACGTATGTTAAAATAATAAAGAATATTTTTTTCAAAGTAGTTAAAAAAATTTGTAAATAGTAACTTTGAAAAATTATTTAAAAAATTAAAAATTACTTTGCAGATTAAATATTACTTTAAAGATTAAATATTACTTTAAACATTAAATATTACTTTAAAGATACAAAATTACTTGAAAGATTAAAAATTACTTAAAGAATTAAAAAGTACATTAAAAATTATTTAAAAAATAAAAAATTACTGTAAAAATTGATAGAAAAATAAAAAATCACTATATAAAAATTAATTATTACTATAGAAATTAAAAATTATTATACTTATTAATTACAAAAATTAATTACGAAATTACAAAAAATTAAAATTAAATAATAAAGACAAATGATATGCAATATAGTAATAATAAAGAATAAAATCGAATCTACATTACAAAATTCAAAAAAGCAAAAATATTATACAACTATATATATATATCACAAATTACAAAATGTTATTACAAGAAAGTAATCAAAAAAATGATATAAAAAATTATACAATTTTTAAACTTGAATTTGTTGAATTTCCTTCTTATGATTTAATGATTTATTTTTAACATTCTCATTTTTCAATAATTCAAATTTAAAAAAATTATTATAAAGTATTTAGTAGAGCAACAATTATTTTCTAATAATAATATTGCCAATAATAATATTAATAATAATAATAACAATAATAATAATAATAAATAAATAAATATAAATTTAATAAAGATAATAATAACAAACATGTGAAAAATTGAAAGGCATGAACTATGTGATAATAATAATAATAATAATAAAAAAAATAATATTAATTATAATTAAAGAATAGAAATATTAAATAAAAAGCTATACATTTAGTCTACTGTATAATGTCGATTGTTCGATGATTTTTGTAGAAGTAAAAATTTTCGCCATAAAATTGTAAGTATTAACGGCGGTGTCAATGATTTGTTTAATATTACCAGTTGTCGTTATATCTGAGTAAATAATTAATTACACTTTTTTTTTTAACTAATTAGTGATAATTTTTGTTTAGAAAACGAATTAAATTGTTTTTTTTAATTATAGTGGTGCCAGTGAGAAATAAACATTTCAAAATTATTCCAAACACGTGCACTGTGATTAATTTATTATAATTTTTATTATAATAAAGATGTGTAATTGGAAGGGTGATAGTGAATAATTGTTGTCATGTGAAAATATACAGACAAGTGTTGGAAATTGGTTTTTGGTATGTAGATAAATATAACATGCAAGTTAGGTTTGTTTTTTTTTTTAATTTTTTTTTTTTGTAATTTTTTGGCAAGCAGGTGTCAAAAGGACAGCGAACTTACATGATGACCGGGCGCGTGTTGACAGAACTGCAGGTGACACATGGAGACGGCCGCGTGGAGGTTTTTTTTTTATTAGTGCAGGTCAGGTAGCTCAGGCAGGATAAGGTAATTTTTTTTTTTTAAGGATTTACTCCACATAGGCTCAAAAATCACGGAATATTCCTTTGACATTCCAGGAATATATACGTGCAAAATATTTCATTAATATTCCAAAGAATAATTTTCTTCAATTTTGGAATTTTTATTTCCAAGAAATAAAAGTGGAAAGTTTCGATAAATTATTATTTTGATTTAATAACATCATTTGATTGAATAATATTTTATTATATTATTTAGTTGAATAACATTTGATTATATAATTTAATTAAATAATATTTAATTACAGTATTTAAATATATTGTAAAAAAGAAATGTTAGAAAAATATATTTAAAAAAATATTTAATTTCATTAGATATTTAAATATATAGAATACTTAATTTTATTATTTAATTCTACAATTAAAAGAAAATAATAAAATCAAAGTATTTCCGCAGAGAAAATTTGCGAAGACTAATTCGATTAATTTATTGATTATCGACTACTGGATGTAATAATTTTATTGAGGGTCATTCGGACCTCCCGATAAAATTAATCATCGAAGGGAAATTATTATTTATTGCATTAATTCATCGGGTGAAAATGGTTTATCGATATATACATATAGAAAATATTTAACAAATAAACCAGAAAGAATATCATAAAAAATTTATCGTAAATTACGAATTCTCTATTTTTGCTTTTATTTTTTTAATTTCATTTTATCTTTCCCGTAAAATTTTTGTATTTAAATATTTTTTCTGGTTATCAAACGAAATAATATAGATATTTACAATAAAAGTCTTGCAGTGCGAATACGATTCTACAAAATTATAATTCAACACTTTTTTAAGAATTATTTCTTTTTAAATTTTTATATTTTAGTTCGTTAGCGACAATTTTAGCATATTTTTTAAATTATTAATTTTAATAAACGATTTATAAAAAATTATTATTTATTTCAACGCAGTGATTTATTAAAAATATTAGTCAAATATTAAGTTCACTTCTAGGAAAAAAAATACAAATTTCATTAACTAATTTATCAATATAAATATTTTTTTTTATAAATATTTAAATGTTTATCTAAATAAATAAATATTTATTTTAATAGTTTGAATACTAATTTTTACGATTCTGAACAAGATCAGTTATTTAACAATCTTAATACCTGGTTTTTATTAGAAACAATAAATTAAAATATTTCACTGAAAAGAAATTTTGCTAATTTTCTCTTTTGGAGATTAATTAAATTTCTTACGATATTAATAGTAAAAAAAAAATTCTCACCACACATGAAGCCTCGTGAAGTTTGCCGAGTTTTGATCGAGTGAACGGCCTGAAAATTTACATAATGTTTAATATAAAATCAGAATGGAGTAAAAAAATAAACAAAAAAAAAACAAAAAACAAAAACAAAAAGTAGAAAAAATAATAAAATATAAAAATTATTATTTATCACTCACCGAAGTTGAGACCAAAGATACAATTGAATTGGAATAGGCAAAGGTTGTTCGATGCCATTTGCATCCAAAGATCTTCGTTGCTCCATCTTTGTTTTTTCTAAGCAAAAAATTTAATGAAAAAAATTTTAATTTACATTTCATTCTAAATTAGCGTTAAAAAGAATTTTTCAAAGAGAAATTCTTTTAGAATTCTAAAAGAGATTGTTAGAACAAAATAATTTCTTGCCACGAAGAATAAAAATAAATTACAGAGAAAATAATACAAAAAATTAAATAAAAATTTAATTTCCATTGAAAAACTTCTTTTTGAAATTAGTTTCTAAAGTATTGTTTAGAACAGAATAATTTGTCACGAAGAATAGAAATAAATTATAGAGAAATTAATACAAAATATTGCAATTAGAAATGGAAAATAAAATTCGGATTTGAAAACCGAGTTTAAGAGTAAATAAAAAAATGCAATTTTAAAGAGAGAAATTTGAATAAAATCGCAAATTGTAAATTCATTTTCGAACCAATTGTTCATAAAATAGAATTTCTAAATTATTATTCCAAAATTCCAGAAAAAAACCTCTTTTTCCTCTTTGAAATTTTGGTCTTTATAAGTTATTAATTTGAAATTACATTGAAATTTGTGAAATCAGTGAAAAATGAAGTGTCTGAGCGCTGTTAAATGTCGTGGGGGTGAAAAATTGAAAATTCCTCCTAAATTCGCGTCAACACTGATAAAATTAATTTCCACTGAGAAACAATCACTGATTGTCAACGCCATTGTGCAAATTTTTATAGTTGACATTGGTGTTTGATCACGTGCCACTCTTGGTCTAGTGGTACACTTTCGCCATTTTGAGCAGGTAATTCAGCATTTTCTATCCTTCTTTTTTATTCTCAAAAGGGAAGATCTGTGTCACCTGAGGGTGATTCGTGGACTAAGAGGTATAACATAAAATACGTACATTCCATGAAAAGTAGAATGAGAATGCGCGCGCGACTCTTCATCGATCAGCCCCGAGGAAACTGCAAACTCTCTCTCTCACACTGCTACTGCTGGACCAACCCATTCTGAACATCCAACTGCCTTACATTCTCAACAATTTTCCATTTTCTTCGATTTTTTCTTTAAATTCCACATTTCTTAACTGTGCTATACCGTCGATTTTTTTCTAATTTCTCTTCTTCAAATTTTCTCTTTAGTAATTTTCCATTTTCTTCAAGTTTTCTTTAATTTAATGATTTTTAATTCTACTCCCCTCGAATTGTCTTCTAATTCTTCTTCATTAAATTGTCTCTAATTTTTTTCTCTTTATAGTTTTGATTTAAAAAATTGTCAAACACTGAAAAAATTCAGAAAAATCAAAATTTTAAATAAATAAGTAATAAAAAAAAATGAAAATGAAAGAAAAAAAATAAAAAATTACCTTCAATTTTTTTGAATTTCTATTCTTCAAATTTTCTCTAAATTTTCTCCTTATTTTCAGTAATTTTCCATTTTCTTCCAGTTTTCTTTAATTTCACTTTTTTTAATTGTACTCCTCTCGAATTGTCCTCTAATTTCTCTCCTTCAAATTTTCTCTAATATTCTCTATTTGTAATTTTGTTTAGAAAAATTGTCTAAATACTGAAAAAAATTCAGAAAAATCAAATCTCTAAATAAATAAGTAAATAAATAAAATTAATAAAGGAAAATAAAAGAAAAACTTACCGTCAATTTTCAAACTTCTTTTCTTCAAATTTTCTTCTTTATTTTCAGTAATATTCCATTTTCTTCGATATTTTTTAATTGCATTCCCTTTGAATTGTCCTCTAATTTTTCTCTGAGTAATTTTTCTAAAAAAAATGGCAAAGATTGAAAAGAGTCATAAAAATTAATAAATAAAATGAATAATAAATTAAGTTCAATAAATAAATGAACTGTAAAGAAGAAGAAAATAAATAAAAGAAAAACTTACCATCAATTTTTTCTAATTTCTCTTCTTCGAATTCTTTCTAAATTTTCTTCTTTATTTCCAGTAATTTTCCATTTCCCACGAGTTTTCTTAAATTTCACTTTTTTTAATTGCACTTCTCTCGAATTGTCCTTTAATTTCTTTCCTTCAATTTTTCTCTAATTCTTCTCTTTGTAATTTTGTTTAGAAAAATTGTCCAAAGACTGAAAAAAATTCGGAATAATGAAAATTCTAAATATAAAAGTAAATAAATGAAATAAATAAAAGAAATTTTTATTTTTGCTGGCCTGTTAAGACTTAATACTAAATAAATAAAATAAATTATAAAATATGTAAAATAAATAAATGAAAATAAAAGAAGAACTTACGGTCAATTTTGTCTAATTTCTCTTCTTCAAATTTTCTCTTTATTTTCAGTAATTTTCCATTTTCTTCGATTTTTCTATAATTTTACATTCCTAATTGTACTTCCTTCGATTTTTTCTTTTATTTCTCTCCTTGAAATTTTCTTAAATTTATCTCTTTGTAGTTTTGTTTAGCAAAATTGTTTAAAGACTGAAAAAAATTCATAAAAATCAAATTTCTGAACTAGTAAATAAGCAAAATTTATTTATTTTAATCTTACACGGGTTCGAAAGAAATTTCTATTTTTGTAAGACTTTTAATACTAAAAGGGCTTGTTCCTTATAATGGATAAATGAATAAATAAATGTATAGATAAATAAAAAATAAATAAATAAACAAAAAAAAAATATATAGAAAAACTTACCAAATTTATTCTTCCTCGGACATATTTATTGCCATTAATTTTCTATTTATCAAACACGATTTCAATTTATTTTCAAAAAAATCCTCAACATCCTTTAAATTCATATCCATCTCGATAGAAATTTCATCGGCATTTTTTGTACTCTGATTATTTTCGTTGTTTGCTGATTTTCTCGATATTGACTTAACTTCAATGTAAACTTCACTTCCTGCTATTCGTTTCGCTTCATTTTTCACAAATTTACAAACGTCTTTCCACAATTCTCGTTGTGCTGGATGTAATGTTTCGACTAATTGCTGAAATGTTTCCCAATCCATTCCCTCCTCGCCATTTAAAATTCTTCTATACATTGAGGATATTTTTATTTTTTCTCTAGACTGTAAATCAATTTCTCTTCTTTCAGTTGAAGATATTTTTTCCGAATTTCCTTCATTTTTCCCTGCATTCACGTGGGAATTTTTCTTTCTATTCTCATTTAAAAATTCATTGGATAATTTATTTTCGTCTATTAATTTTTTGTCCATGGATCTGAAAAAGTGATTTTTTGAAAATTATTAGAAATATAAATATTTTGTTATTTAAGTGTTTAAATTTATTTATTCGAATATGAATTGTTAGAGTAAAAATCAAAAAGAAAGAATTTATATATCTAATTCTGTGGAAAGCATCATAAAATCAAAATCGTTTCTGACTGAAAATTAATTGAATTTTTTTTTACCCAACAGATTCAATTTGGATTTTTCCACGAGGAACGTCTGTTAATGACGTGATTGATGTTTGCATTCCAATTGATTGACAACTTGCTTTCGAATTTTTTATTTCTTCTGATAAATTTCCGTTTTGCAAAATTCTTTCTTTTTGTGAAAACATTTTTCTAGGTGAATTTCTCTTTTCCGGTAAATTTAATTTTACACTATTAGAAGATATTTTTTCACGTAAATATATTTGGGAAGATTTTCTTTCTTCTGAAATTATTTTTGTTTCTTCTAAAAGTATTTCTGCTTCTTTTAAAGATACTTCTTTTCTATCTGAAGATAATTTCCTTTCATCTAAAGATAATTTTCTTTCATCTAAAGAGAATTTTTTTTCATCTGAAGATAATTTCTTTTCCTCGAAAGAAGTTTTTTCTTCTAAAGAAAATTTTTCCTCCACTGATTTTCTTCTTTGCAAAAATAATAATTCTTCTGAAGACATTTTTTCCTGGGACAAAATATTTTCTTGTAAATTTTTCTTCTTTTCTCCTCTTTTTTCGGCTGAATATTTCTTCTGCTCAAGAGAATCGTTCAATAAAGATTTCGCCTCCTGTGGTGATTGCAATTTTTGCAAAGATTTCTTTTTTCGCAGAGATCGGTTGAAACATTCATAATCTGAATTTTCTTCAGAAGAGGAATCTGTATTTTCCTTTTCAATATCTTCTTCATCTTCTTCCTCCACTTGTGATAGAAAATTCCTCTCATCATTAAAATAATTTTTAGTAATAATTTCATCCTCTTGTACTTTTTTTCTGTCAATAAAATAATTCTTGAAAATAATTTCTTCCTTAATTTGTGATTTTTTCTCATCGTTGAAATTTTTGGAAATTTCTTCTTTCTGTGATTTTTTTTCCAAATTTTTTTTTTCATCACTAAAATTATTTTTATTTTGAGTAATAATTTTTTCTTCCCCTACTTCTTTTGGTAAATTTTTCTCAAGATTAAAATTATTTATAGTTTCTTCTTTTTCAATACGATCCATCGATTCATTGGCACAATTTGAAACGAAATGACTAAATTTTGATTTCAAACTATCGCCATGATAAAGTCCTTCAACTTCTGGAAGCTGTGAAGGTTTATTCTTTCTAAAAAAATTATTATCTCCCTTCGCCAAATGTTTTTCAGCATTTTTCTCGTCGTCTCTATCTTCTCCCTCAATTTCCCCAATAATTATAATTTCTTCCTTTTCATCATCATTTTTCAATTTTTTTTTCACATTCAAATTATTTTTTAAATTATTTTTCACTTCCACTATTTTTTTTCCATCGTTTTTACAATTTGTTTGTTCGACAATTACATTATTCTCATTAATTTTATTAGACTGTTTTTGATTTAATTTTCGATTTAAAATAAATTGCGCGAGTCTCATTTTTGATTTGGAATTATTTGCTGACGATTTCCAGGTAGGAATCACGTCCACTTGGATAACAGGTCTCTCTGAATATTTATCAATTTTACGATAATTTAATTTTTCCAAATTCTTATCATTTAATTCATCGTTATTAATGTTTGGAGAATTAATATTTCCCTCTGAATGAAAATTGTGAGAATTCGTTTCATTTTTTGGTAATTTTCTATATTTCTCGTTTCCTTGATGCGAATCGATTTTTTTCTCCTCCTTTTGAACCAGTTTCACTCGATCTTCGTGAAATTTTAAATAACTGTTACATTTTGAACGTTGATGATCTATTGGTGATCTGTAAGAAAAATAAAAATTTATAATTAGAAAATTTTTCATTTAAATATATTTTTAAAATATATTGAATTCGAAATATCTTAAATTCAAAATATATTAGATCTAAAATATATTAAATTCGAAATCTATTAAAAATAAAAATTTGTTTACCTGGCAGTTACAAAATTTCGTGAGACTTTTTCCAATGGTCTAACAATTCCTCGATGTCTTCTCTTTTTATTGAGACTAATAACACCGCAGTGTTCGCATTTAATTAGAGAATTATCATTCGTCAGAATTGTCTTTAATTTTCTATCATCGACAATCCAATAATCGAGGAGATATTTTAATTTTAAAATCACTTCGGCAATTGATGTTTCTGTGCTTTCGGTAAATTTCAAAAAATCCGGTTTCAAAGCAACTAAAAGTTTACTAATAGCTCCCAATTCAACGAAAGGTTCCCATTCAATTGACGATGATGATGATTTTTTCAAAAATTGTTCATCGTTATTTTTCAATTTTGTAATAATCGGAAGTTTCGAATTTGTATTATTATTTTTCGTTAAAGACGATACATTGAAATCGGATTCGACGTCTGATTCATAATCAACATTTTTTAACTGTGGAATTTTTGACATTGCACTGTGTAAACTTTCAGTGAAATCAACTTCGAGGTAGAAAGACGTTTCCTTAAATTTTTTCCCATTGAAATCATTTCCAAAATTTGTCATCTCATTGTTAGCAGTGTCATTTTTTCCGAACAATCTGGAAATAATTTAAAAATTAATAAATTGATTAATTTTATTTATTAAAACAAAAACAGAAAAAATAGAAAAAAAATATTGAAATTTTGTAAATGAGGTTATAATAAAAAAGTTTACCTGCTACATTTTTTTGTATCTTTCCAAATATAATTTACGAATGATTCCTAACTATTGTCATTTTTTTTGCGAATTATTATTTTATTAAGTATTTTTCAAAACGTTTGTAAAAAGATTTATTCTACTTGCAGATTTGAAAATTTTCAAAAACACCATGATCAATAAGAAAATTAAAACTCTGAATATTGTTGCAAAACTATTGTCATTGTAAATCAGATTGTTTTCAAATTTTTAATTCTAAAAAAATAAAAAAAAATTTTTTTTTGAAAATAATTAATTAATTCTGTTAATTTTAGTTTTTCTTTTTTATAATTTAAATTTAATTATTCGTTTGAAAAAACATTAATTTTTATTCATTTAAAAAAATAGCGAATTTTTTATTTTCTATTAAAAAGAAACAAAAATGGAACTTAAAATATTCAAAATCAGAAAGAAAGATTTAAAGTATTAAAAAAAGGATTTCAAATATTTAATATAAAAAAAGGGTTTAAAAAAATTCTGGAATATCTTTTTCCCTTTTTATTTTTGGTGAGAAAAAATAAAATCTCTTTTTTAAACATTCCTAGGAAAGTGAAAAAAATTTCTGAAACCTATTTTTGGATTTGGGTCGCAAGAAGGAACGGAAAAACTGACGGAAAAAGGAAAAGTTTTGACATTGACTTTAAAGATTTATTTTCGAAATGATGATTCACAACAGAGTATTGAAACGTTATTTAATTAAATGTACAATTGAACACGATTTATTTTTAATTGCCAAAAAAGAAATGTTTAAAGAAATTTAATTGCGCCAAAAAAAAATTCTTAAAAGAAACTTAATTACAATTTAAACTAAAGATCTTACACAATTCTTTAGAAGTATAAAAATGTAACTTAAATTAAAATTTTCTTTCAAAGAAGAAAATCCAAAAATCAATTCACTGACAATATTATTACTTCAATTTACAAAAACAATATTTACAAAAATTTGGATTTTAATTTAAATTTTAGACAAAATTTCTAAGAAAGAATTTATTTTATTTACAATTCTTTTCCAAAGCAATATATTCACTAACTTCTTTAACAAAAAAATAATTATTATTAATAATTCAATATTAATAGTTTATAAATTATTAAAAATAATTATTTCAAAAATAATTTTCTACTAGAAAAACTTTAATTTAGTATTTCTAATTTAATTTCTATTTTAAAAATGTTAATTTACTATTTTTAATTTAATTTCTATTAAAAAAATCTTCATTTAAAAATGTATTAAAATTGTTTAATTTTGTAATTATAGAAAAAAGTGTTTTTTTTGTCGGGGATTTTATTTTCAAGTTGTACAAAAAAAGTAAAACATTATGAAACGTTGGATATTTACTATAATTATGGGAAAGATGAGGAGGAGAGCAAAGATGCCAAAACTGTTTTTGGATTCGTGACGTTGTTGAATTTAGATTTCTCGTATAGAGATCTTCGTGATCTCAAATGTCTGACAAAAGCGCCCTCTGGGAAAATAAAATGATTAAGCTCGAAAGAAAAAGCTCGCACTTCTGGTTCTTGCTTCGTTTCGTTAACATTCAGAGGACAACTTCATCCGAATCAAGCAGCTACCATGGTAAATTTAGTTCTTTAAAAATATTTTACCAATTTTTTGAATATTTATTTTTTTCCAAAAAATTTATTTTCCTCCAACTTATTTTTTTGGTCAAAAAATTTTTTTTAAACATTAAAATATACTTAAATTTTTAAAAATGCTTTTAATATGTAGATTTTTATTTTATTTTTATTCTTTATCTTCAATTTGAAACAATTTCTTCATTTTCAAAATATTTTTCAAAATATTATTTTTAACAATCATTTTCTTTAGCATTTCTGTTTCTATTTTCATTCCAATTACATTCTAATTTTACAATTTTTTTTAGTTTCTATTTTTAGTTTAATTCAAATTTAAAAAATTAGAAGAATACTATTATTTAAATATAATTCAGTAAAAATACGAAAAATTGTAATTTTCAATATTTTTGAAAAATGTTGAATTTATTGAAATATTTCGAAAATGATATAAATTTTGAAAAAAACCAAAAAATAATTGAATAAAGTAAGAAAATTTGCCAAAATATATTTCGAATTTCCATTTATGTTAAAAAACAAACTTTATCAATATTTATTTTTGTATATATTTTCAAAAAGTAAAAAAAAATCTGTGCAACATTTTTTAAATTAACAAAAAATTTGTTTCATTTCAGGCTGATTTACTGCCCAAGGAAGTCGAAAGTGAGTAATTAACAAGGACAGAAAATAATTACTTCAAGTGATTTTTTGAAAAAATAATTTTTTTTCTATAAAATTCGAAAGTGAAAGTGCTAAGCAAAACAAGTTTTTCAGTGCAAGAATTTTTAGTGATAAAATAAATTTTTCCAACAAGTAAAAATAAAAGAAATAAATAATTAGAAACTTAAAAATAATTACAACTATTAATAAATAATTAAAATAATTTTTATCTGCTCATTAAAAAATTAATCCTAATACGAAAATAAATTAAACCTTAAAAAAGTAAATTGATAAATAAGTTGTTAATTCTGTTAAAATATTTATTTAATATAATGAAAAATAAGGAAACCCCGAAAAAAGTAATTTTACAAAAAACAGTAATTTTGTTTGAAACAATTAACAATGAAAATTAATTAAATCCTACAAAATTTGAATAAATAAATAATAAATGAAGGAATAAATAAATTAATTAATGAATAAATAAATAAATAAATAAATAAATAAATAAATAAATTAATTAAAAAATAAATTAATAATAAATAAAATAATAAGCAAACTCTAAAAGTAATTCAAACATTTCAATAATTTACAAAAATAAATAATACAATTATTACAATAATAATTTTACTACAAATAATTAATAAAAAAAAATTAATTAAACCCCAAGGAAGTAAATTTACAAAAAACAGTTAATTTTGTTAAAATAATTGAAAAAAAATAAGAACAAAATTTTTAATTACCGAAAAAATGCCAAATACTTAAAAAAAAAGAGAATTGCGTTCAAAAGTTCGTATAAATAATAAAAAAATAAAAATAGTCTCTAAATTTAAAACAATTATAAATGAAGTAATAACAAATGAAGAAATACATCTCTTGTTTTGAATTTCAATAGATTATTTTTGATTACGCAAGAAATGTCTGCGTACCATTCGTAGTTTCCAATCCAATTGTGGAAGCCAGAGTTTCGTGTTTAAAATAGTTTTCGTGCTGATCTTATATGGTCGGCCGGGGGTAATGTGACCCAGAGTGTATTTATGGGGGAGGGAAGGCGTGTGAGATCAACTAAAGTTTAAAAATAGTCCTCGATATTTTTAAGTTAATTCTTCTTATATTTTACCACCAATTTTTCGGGGCGGAAAAAAAAGTCTTTAAAGAAAATTTCTCAAAAAAAAAACAAAGTTTTAAATAAATCCACTTCTTTCTCTTCCCCGAAAAAAAATATTACAAGTCGTCAATTATCTTCTTCTTCTTCTTCTTAAATGACTATTTCTTTAATTTTATAACTTTTTAATAATGTCAAAAATTACTAAAAATAGCAAAAAATTTTTTTTAAAATATTTCTAAAGTAAAATGTTTATTTATTTGCAACTAATTTAGAATTATTTATATTTATTATTATTGTTATTATTATTTTGAAATTACTATTAATAATTTTGCTATTGTTGTTAATTTATTTTATTTATTTATTTATTCCTTAATTAAAGTTCCTAGAACTAAATTGTTATTATAATTATTATCTTGTTTATTAATATTATTATTATTTTATTTCCTTGATAATAATTCGATAAATAAATAATAAATATCTATAGGTAAAATAATAAATAATAACAGTAATCAATAATATTTAATTTATAATTTATTTCATAATTAATAACATTAATAACTATTAAATAATAATAAATAAATAAATAATAAATAATAGGAAATTGAATTAATTATTGCCCGAAAAAATGATTTACTTAACACAGCTACAAATTTCACTAAATATTGTTGAATTAAATAAAAAGAAGAAAAACAAACAACTATGTTCTGTTTCATTGTTTGTTTTTAATAATTAAAAAAATAATTAAAAAAATTTGTCTGAATGTCTTCGTTTTTTCTGTCTTATTATTAAAAAAAAACAAATAATTGTAATAGGTAGAATTTAATTATTAATAGTAATTATTAATAATATTATTAATAACAATCAACAATTATTATTAATAATATAATTATTTACAAAAAAAAAATAATAATAAGTAGTCAACTTTTTTAAAATAGCATTGCCCCGTTTAGTACTTAAATAAATAAATAAATTTAATAGAATTCTAATTTTGTTTACAATAGTTGACATAATTACTATAAATTTTGATACCTATTTATTGTAGAAAAATTTTTAAAAAATCAAAATTAATTTTTTTCTGTTTCTATTCGCAGAGGCACAATTCGCCTTCTCAATTTATGATGCCGATGGCTCAAATGTCATCGACGCCTTCGATCTAGGAAATGTTCTACGTGCCCTCAATTGCAATCCAACAAATGCAACTATTCAGAAATTTGGTGGCACTGAAAAACGTGGCGAGAAAACAATGTGCGTCGAGGAATTTCTTCCAATTTTCAGTGACGCAAAGAAAGACAAAGATCAAGGATGCTACGAGGATTTCCTCGAATGTTTGAAACTCTACGATAAACAGGAAAATGGAACCATGCTCTTGGCTGAACTCTCTCATTTATTAGTTACCCTTGGTAAATTAAATTTTCATCTATGTTTTTTAAAAATTTTTGATAGAAAAAATATTTTCTACTCAAACTTTTCAAAAATTGAAATAGAAAAAAATTTTCACTAAAAGTTTTCAAAGATTAAAATAAAAACAAAAATTTGTAGTAAAAGCTTGTATAAATTTAAATAAAACAAAATTTTCTACTAAAAACTTTTGAAAGATTGACATAAAAAAATTTTGTAATAAAAGTTTTTAAAAATTTAAAAAAAAGAAAATTTGATAGTAAAAGTTTCTAAAAAGTCAAATAGAAAATAATTTTCTACTAAAATTTTCCAAAAATTAGAATAGAAAAAAATTTTCTACTAACAAGTTTTACCAAAAGTTTAAAAAAATTGAAATAGAATAAAATTTTCTACTAAGAGTTTCAAAAAATTCAAATTAAAAAAAATTTTCTACTAAAAATTTTCAAAACATTGACATAAAAAAAATTTTGTAATAAAAGTTTTTTAAAATTTAAATAGAAGAAAATTTGATACTAAAAGTTTCTAAAAAGTCAAATAGAAAATAATATTCTACTAAAATTTTCCAAAAATTAAAATAGAAAAAAATTTTCTACTAAAAATTTTTACCAAAACTTTTAAAAAATTGAAATAGAAAAAAAGTTTTACTACAAGTTTTCAGAGATTGGAATAAACAAAAAGTTTGTAGTAAAAGCTTTTATAAATTTAAAAAGAACCAAATTTTCTACTAAAAGTTTTCAAAGATTAAAATAAAAAAAGAAATTTGTAGTATATAAATGTTTTTAAAAATTCAAATAAAAAAAAATTTTCTGCTATACTTTTTTAAGAATTGAAGTAGAAAAGAATTTTCAACTAAAAACTTTACCAAAACAACAAAAATTTCTTTTCATTTTTAGTATTACAGTCTAATTAGTATTAATATTTAATTAACTTTCTAATTAGTAGATATTCATCTACTACTTTAAATTACAAGAAGTTTTCTTTTATTTTTAACATAATTTTACTACATTTAGTAATTATAATTTTTGTCCTCTTTAAACTTTTAGTACAAAATTTCTTAAAAATGCCAAAATAAAAATTTACAAGAATTCAGAAAATTACAAACAAATTTTGTCAAAAAAATTATGAAAGCTAATAAAAATTAAAAAAAGGAATAAAAAAATAAAACAATAACAAATAAAATTTTTTTAGGCGAAAAATTAGTCGAATCCGAAGTTGAGGAAGTCTTCAGAGACTGCTTGGACCCCGAAGATGAAGATGGTTTCATCCCCTACAACCGTAAGTTGTACTATTAAAATTATACCTACACTCGCAAAACAAACATTTTTTTTTCCCTAAAGCACACTAAACAAATTTTGTTATTAATAAAACAGTAGAAATTTGTAATCCCAGTAGTAGTAACTTACCCCCCTTTTTCCACCCCTTCTCCAAAATTTTCAATTTTTCTCGTAGTTCTCTAAAAATTAATTTATTAAAAAAAATCAATTTTCTAGCAAAAACACAAAAAAAAATTTTCTCCCATTTCATGGAATCAATACCGGAATTATAATGGCTGTGAGCGACAGATCGTACCACCAATTTTAAAGGAACAATTTTTTTTTCCTCCAAAGGTTTCCCACAAGGTTTGATTTTCCCAAAATTTTGTTTGTCATTTACAGCATTCATCAAGAAATTTATGGCGTAAATTATGCAGCGAGAAACGAGAGATTCATAGGCGTTTAAAAAATGAGGTCGTCAATCGTAAGTAAATCCCAAATAAAATGGTGTCTCCTTTACTCTTTAAACATTTTTTCCTCTACTTCTTGGTTTCAATTTTTTAATCAAACCAATTTTTTTCGCTTTTTGCTTTTCTCAAATTTCTTGTCAATATATAGGAAAAAACGCAACGTTGCAGCGCTGCAGAGATGCTGAATCGATAACCGCCACTTTGCTTTCTGTCAATACAAAAAAAATTGCCAAATGTTTTTATATCTGTATTCTGTCTCATTAATTACTTCTCATTAATATTTATGTTAATTACTCTATATATAATGAAACACTAAAAAAAATTTATTTCATTCAATTAATTATTTATCATTTTAATTATTCATTCAATTTATTTGTTTTTGTGGAATTTATACAGATTTACATTATTTTATTTAGAAAAACTATTTTTCTAATAAACATTTTTATTTAATTATATTTTAAATATTTACAAGATTGGAAAAAATATATCTTTTAATATTTTAAATAAAAAAATTCAGATTCAGTTTAAATTTTGATTGGAAAAAGTAATTTTTAGTTTAAATTTTAATTACAAAGATTAATTTTTACTTTAAAATTGTTGAGTAAAAAAACTGATTTTTAGTTTAAATTTTAATTACAAAAATTAATTTTTACTTTTAAATTTTTGAGTAGAAAAACTAATTTTTAGTTTAAATTTTAATAAGAAAAATAAATTTTTCAATTTAAAACTTGATTAAAAAAATTAATTTTTAGTTCAAAATTTTATTAGAAACATTAATTTTTAGTTTAAATTGTGAATAGAAAAATTAATTTTTAATTTTAATTTTGATTGGCAAAATTAATTTTTAGTTTAAATTTTAATTAGAAAAATTAATTTTTACTTTAAATAAAATTAATTAATTAATTAATTAATTAATTAAATACTTCAATAAAATTTTCATTTGAATATATCTTTTTGATTTTTGAGATAAATAATAATTTGTCGATATAAATATAAATTTATTTGATAGTAATTATTTGAATCAAGTGAATTTTTTTTCAGTGTAAATTTACTGTATAAAAATGTATAGGGTAAAAAAACCTTGCGATGCCAGGTTTACATTTTATTGCTATTAAAAATAGCAAATATATTTCTGTTTCTTTTCACATTTTACTCTCTTCTAATTTTTCTCAAAAATTTTTACATGAAAAAATCGATTTTAATTTTTGTTAAATAAATAATATTTCTTAAATATTCAATAAATTTTGAGAGAATGTTTCTTTATGCTCACCTCTTGTGAGGTAAATAAATAAAATAATTATTTAAATAATAAATAAAATAAATGAAGTAACAAATAAATTAAAAAATAAAATATAAACAAAAAGTTTTTTAATATACAATTAAAATTTTTATTTCAAATTTTAAGCATTTAAAAATTTTAAACTTAACATTGTTACTGTTAATAATTAAAATTTTACTTTAATTATTATTTATTAAATTTATTTAATTTTAATTAAATTAAAATAATTTAATTAATTTGCTAAACTAAATTTAATATTAGTAGTAAAAAAAATATATCTAAATCGATTTTATAAAAAAAAAGTATTCTAAAAATTCTACCAAAAGTAAAGTTTACATGAAGAAAAATTTTCTCAAAATTGTAAGAATATTTATAATTAAAATCGCAATTTTTTCAAAGTATATGAAAAAGTGAGAGAAACACATTAACTGAAATAATTTTTTTTTTAAACATTCATTTTAATTAACAATTCTTCTTTCTAGTTGGAAAGAAAAACTTCATTATCTTCACTATTAAAAAGAAAACACTCACATAATCAAAAAATCTTGTTGCTTCTCTTCAGAAAAACATATAATTTAATATTTATAATAAAAATAAATAACAATTTCTCTCGAATCGAAATAAAAATTCTCTATAAATAACTTCCTCGCAATGTTAAAAATTGCTATTTTTTTAAAACATTTTCTGTATATTTTTGTCTTCGCGTTTTGTATTGTCAAAATTTTTCTCACCGACGAAAAAAAAGTTTACTGTGAATGTAAATTTTTACAAAATTATATGACAAAACAAATTAATGTTGTGTCTTCGCTTTTTAAAAAAGTGTAAAAAGTAGTAAAAATTTTCCATTATATTTTTGTTATTATTTTTTAAATTATTAATGTTTATTTTTTGTTTATTTATTATTTTTTATTTCATCAGTAATTCAGTATTTATTCATTCAGTATTTCTTTTTCATTTAGTATTAAAAGCTTTTGTTTAATAACAATAAATATTTCTTTTAAATATTCAGTAATTTTTCTTCTCAATATTGTAATATTAATTCAATGAAATAAATATTTTATGCAAATTAATATTTGTGCTGAAAAAAATGAATTTTTTCAATATTGATTTTTTCAATTATATTTTAGAAGTAAAATAATAAATTCTCAACATAGTCAATTATACTATTCTATTATAATTAACGAAATATAATAATTTTCATTAATTATTGATTATTAAAATTAATTATTAAAATTAAAATAATTTTTTTTTAACGAAATAAAATTTTTTCAATGAATATAATAGTTTCATAATACAAATTAAAAAATTATAATAAAAATAGAAAAAATTTTTTTTTTCTTTTACTACTTTTTTTTGTCGCTATCTGTACTGTCCGAAAAAAAGGAGAAAAGAAGTGACATTTCTTCAAATTAAAAAATAAATAAAAGAGAGATTATTTTTGTAGAAATTAAAATGAATTTTTAATTTTACAGCATTCCTGAAACGACTATGCGAAAGGGCAGCAGCAGGTTCCGAAGATTAATTAATTCATCATTATTTTTTCTCCTCTCCAACGAGGGAAAATTATTCAAAAAAAAATAAAAATATTTTCTACACTTCTCATCATTATTAAGACGAATGAATTCTATATTCAACGTTTTTACAATTATTTACATCAACCGATACTCAAAAGAATAAAAAAAAAGGAAACAAATAAAGAAAAGCAAGAAATTAAAAAAACTACAAATAATTATTTATATTATTTAATAATTTTATCAATAATTATTATATAGAATGAAAAAATAATAGACTTCAATATCTGTGTCTCCATACTGTATTGTAAAACAACAAAGCAATATTATAAATATATAATAACGAAACAACGAAATTCAATTCAATATTTGTCATTGTACAATATTATAACTTAATAAATTATTTGTTATATGGTTACGAAATGCATGTGTTTATTTTTAATTAATTTAATCGTAGTTTAAATATTTCTCTTTTAGATAATAATAATTAATAACAAACAATTTCGAATAGAAAATAAATTATAAATTTAATAATCAATAATAAAAGATGAAAAAGTAAATTTTTAAGAAAGAGTTTTTTTTACAATAGTTTCACATTTTTTTTTATTAATTTTCTTATTATAATAAAATGGAATAAATAATTTCAAAATTATTTTCAAAATTTTCTAAATTAAAAAAAGAGAATTTGTCTCAAATTGTCCTTGATGAATAATATATAAAATAATAAATGTGTCGGATAGATGAAGAAAAATGATTATTGAAATTTGATTGTAACAATAGAAATGGAATTACAATAAAATTGCATTAATTTCACTCAAGATGTGAGAGAAACACTTGCGTCATCAACTGAAGACGATGATCGCAGGAAGTGGACAGTTTTTCAGCTTCCGTTTGAGAAAAATTCAGTTCACGGACATTAATGCGTGACGCATCAAACTTAATTGCTACTTTATTACGGAAGAAGGTGTTATTCATTGAAAGTTGTAATTAGCAGTGCGAATTTTTACCTTTTCTGATATTTCGCGTCATTACCTTCATGTGGTTCATTAGACAGATTTCTCTTTCTTTATTAAAACAATATTTTCGATTAATTAATAATTGAATATTATTTATTTCAATAAACTAAGTAAATTATAATTATAATTTTCACTAAAAATAAATATTTTACAATTATAAATATTTTTTTTATTAAAAAAATCAATTTTAATTTATTTAGGGAATATAAATAAATAACAGGATTGCAACAAAAAATTAATTTTGTTTTTCCCTGACTTTTCCCTGATTTCTAGACTTTTTCCTGACTGATTTTGACTTTTTCCCTGACCCTAAAGAATATTCTGGTTCACCCTAAAAATTATTAGATACTCAAAAAAAAAAAAAAAACATTTTATTACATTTACTTACGAATTTCTTTAAATGTAAAATTATTCGCAAATATCAATAACTTCATTTTTAATTAAGTATTTAATTATTATTTTTCCATAGGAATTGAAATTCTTCAAAACATTCAAATTCAAACATTTTTAAAATTCAAAACAACTTATAAGAATATTATTATTTTATAAAAAAAATTAAATTATTTAAAAAAAAATTGATAAAATTTGTTGCAAGAATTCAATTACTTTCATAAATTAATAAAATTCTAGGTTACTTAAAATTCTTCACAGGATAACAATTATTTTTAATACAATTTTAAATAAATTTCTCAAAAATGAAATTATTCTCAAAAATGTTTTTCAAGAATTAAATTACATTTCACAAATAAAAAAATTCTTCGCTGAAATTCAAAAATTGTCAAAATTTACTATTTTAATAAAAGTTTTCAAAAAAATTCAATTATTTAAAAAAAAATGTAATAAAATTCGTTGCAGGAATTCAATTATTTTCTTTACATTATTTCAATTATTTAAAAGAAAATTTGATAAAATTGGTTGTAAGAATTCCATTATTTTCATAAATTATAAAATTTATCTGAGGATTTCAATTATTTTTAATACAATTTAAAATAAAATCCTAGAAAAATGGAATTATTTTCTTAAATTTTTTGCAAGTATTTAATTACATTTCACGAATATAATGAAATTCTTCGTTGAAATTCAAATATTTTCAAAATCTACTATTTTAATAAAAGTTCTCAAAAGAATTCAATTATTTAAAAAAAAATGTAATAAAATTCGTTGCAGGAATTCAATTATTTTCATAAATAATAAAATTCCTTACATTATTTCAATTATTTAAAAAAATGTTGATAAAATTTTTTGCAAGAATTCAATTACTTTCATAAATTAATAAAATTCTTCACAGGATTTCAATTATTTTTAAATTAAATTATCATAAAGAATTTTATCAACATAATTGAATTTTTTCGAGGAATTTTAATAAAATTTTCAAGAATGATTAAATTTTTCGAGGAATTCAATTGAAATTGTATTAAAAATAATTTAAATTCTGTGATGAGTTTTATTGTTTATGAAAATAATTGAATTTTAGTAAAAAATGTTATTATTTATGAAAATAATTTCATGTTTGCTTAGTATTTTATCAACATTTTTTATTTTTAAATAATTGAATTCTTTTGAAAAATTTTTTTAAAGTAGTAGATATTGAAAATGAATTGGAGAAATTTTTTTTGAAAATAATTGAAATTTTGCAAAGAATTTTATTAAAAATTTTTGAAAATAATTGAAATTTGGAGAAGAATTTTATTATTTTTAAAGATAATTGAATTTTGACGACAATTTTTTTTAAGTTTTGAACATAATTGAATTTTCTAAAATTCAATTTTTTCCAGTCCTTTAATAGGAATCCCTGACTTTTCCCTGATTTTCCTGACCAATTTTACTTTCCCAGACTTTTCCCTGATTTCTCTGACCTGTGGCAACCCTGAATAATTATAATTTTCACTATAAAAATAAATAATTTACAATTGGAATTATTTTTTTTATTAAAAAAATAAATTTTAATTTATTTATGAAGTAGAGGGGCGGGGATGCTTTTTGACGCCAAGGTATGTTTCCAAATAAATAAATTAAATAAAAAAATTAATAAAATTGCTAACATAAATGTTGGGATTATTTTTTTTTTATTCAAAATTATAAATAAAAATACAAATTAAATAAATAAAATATAGAGAAGTTTTAATAAAATTATTAACATAAATATTTCACACTTGATTTACTTATTAAAAAAGAATTAAATAAAAATACGAATTAAATAAATAAAATGAAAAATTAAAAACAAATTGTCAATTTATAAAATTCTAAATATTTTGCAGTGGAATTAAATAGTTAAAAAAATATATTTCAAAAAACATATTTTAGAAAAATATGTTATAAATAATAATAAGAAGTAAATTTTACAGAAACATGTTAAATCAAATTTGAAAAAAATGTAATTAGTCAAATTAGGATCTTATTACTGATTGAACGATTCTTGTCAGGATAATATTCCTTACGGCCAGGAGTGTTATTATCTCTTTATCTTGTTAGAAACTTGAAACTGTGCGGAGTTATACGGAGATCACGTAATGGATATGGGAAACTTGATTATGATCAGTAGCAGGCGCATGTGACTCGTGGTTTAAATTAGTATAATTTGACCGATTAAAAGTAATAAGATCCGATTCTACAATTTCTAATATTTTATAGAATACAATATCACGCGCGCGAGTTAAATTTTCTTCGATAGAAAAAAAGGAAAAAACAAATCCAATTAAAATCCATAATTTATTCTTCTCAGGAAATAAATTTTTCAAAATAGGAAATATTCTTCATCACCTCGATCATTAATTTAATAACAGGACATTATAGATTTTTATTTGCTTCTTGTTAAAAAATTTTGTTTAAAATTAATTATAAATCTTAGTAAATTTTTGTTATGGTTTATAATAAAAATTTGTACTATATTTAATAATTATTTTTAAATTATTGTTCAAATTATTTTTTGGTTTAACAATTTAACAATAATGTTAAATATTAATAATATTAATAATAATAGTATTTATAATACAAATAATATTCATTTATGGAAATAATTTTTATTAACAATTTAACAATAATATTTAATAATATTAATAATATTTTATATTAATAATAATATTTAATAATATCTAACAATAATAAATATTAATAATATTAATAATAATAATATTTATAATACAAATAATATTCATTCATTGAAATAATTTTTATAACATTTAATAAGAACGTTAAAAAACTATTTTACACTTCAGAAAAAAATCGTATCTGTCTGGGATCGAACGCAACGCTCTTTTCTTTACGTGAATGCAATGCTTTTACTCACGCACCTACCAAAGAGACAAAAAAAAATTATTTTTTAAGTTAGTAATCTTTTGCTTGTTTCTCTGCTTTTAAAATTTGTATTTCTTTCCACGAACATTTGAATTTTTTTAGGAACTAATTTTTATTTTATTATTTATTTTATTCTACAGTTTTTTTTTATTTGAAATTTAAAAAATAAATATAGAAAAAATTGGTAGAGTTGTTAAATGGGGGAAATTATTCGAAAAAGCAAATTTTGTTGGAAAGGAATTGCAAATTAATTCGAAAAGCTGAAAATGACTTTATTACCAATTAAACTGAATTTGCAGGAAAGTTGTTTGAATTCAATTAGATTGCTTCATGACAAATTAAGCGAATCATCATTATCTTGTCTGTTTAACTAGAATGTCTTGGCATTTACACTAATTAACATTAAATCTTATCTGAGAAATTTATTTCTTTCACTATATATACGAGTTTTATTTTCATTGTATTAACAAGAAGGAAAAAATTATTTTTTTTGCAAGATTTTATCAAGAGATGACTGTAAATTTTTTTTCGTAAAAAGCCTCCCTTATAATTTTTTTCCAAAATTTATATTTACAATTTTGCCAATTACTTTTGCTGTATAACGTAAAAATATTTTTTTTCGAAAAAAGGGACAAACTAAACAAGAAAAATCTCAAAAAGCACTTCTTACAATGAATCTAAATGACTCACATTATACAACCTCGACAAATGAACCGAATTTAGGAAATTAAGGCTAATCAATCATTC